TAGGTATACTAGCAAACAGTTCTTTAAAGTAAATATATTCTGCATCTCAGATTCTTTGAACAAGACCTTTTAAAATATATATAGATGAAGTATTCTAAAGGTACAAATTAATCATCCAGTAATAACATTAAGTGGTAGCAGTCTAGTAAACTACAGAAGTCATCACAAAATATAACAACATTAGTCTAAATAAAAGCTTTACATTATGGAAAAACAGCAGCAAAACATTTTCTGTGCCTGCTTTAAAAGTTTATAATATGTATATATTTTAACTTTACTGTTTGGTCAGTTTATTAATAAACAGGTTCTTTTGACTCTTACAACTGAATGTAGACATTACAAATATATATATATATGAAAGGGCACCATCTCCATTAATCAGAACAAAGTCTGTTGCTTTTTCTGGGGCTATCTTCATCTGAACCTTACTCAGAATAGGCTAATGGCAGACCAGTGTGCAGTTCTTTGCCCAAATGATTGAGCTCAAAGTGCTGTTAGATACAACTACCGTGTCAAGTGTAAGAGTACTAGGGCAATTTCAGTTGTATTCTCTGAAAGTTAACTAATGTAACAATAACAGTGACAGATGCAACAGTAACCATAACAATAATTTGATATAATGTATCAATTTCTATTCTGTTTTAGGATGGAATAAAATGTATTGTAAACTCTTGCAAAGATTGCAGTGGGAACTGAATAGGGAAGGAGTTCTGTGACCTAATTTTTTTCCCCCTGAAAAAAAATATCCCAATGTTGTTACTTAAGTTTGCAAAACAACTGATAAGTAATCTTTCAAGAAACAAAGATATTTCATTTTCTCCTCTGTTTTCTTTATCTTCCTGCATGATATTACAGTTTATTGAATAGCACTGGTTCAGATTTCTTACCACTTTGTAAGAAGTTACAGGAAAGCAAATGGGAGGGGCTCTAAACAGAGTTACATATGGCATGGCATTGCTGATGTGTTCTCTGTCTCAAGGGTCCTTGGCTGTGAAAGCAGTATTCCAAACAGAGCTCTGACTTCTGGAGACTGCACAGAATGAGGGAAAGTAAAGTTGTAAATGAAGAGGATATGTTTCCTTTAAAGCTCAATATCTGCTTTCCTTCTGCTGTGCGTTAAGTGTAAAATTTAATAGTCGTTTCCAGTTAGAACAGTTTTGTGCACAAATTTTGTATATTAGTATTTCCTGATGGATTTTTCAAAGCGAGATTTTTGTCCGGTGTTTCTCATCATAAATTCACACTGTTTATGTTGTTCCCACAAGGAGTGCGTTAAAGAGGTAAGAATTTCAATCATACAGATATATATTTAAATTAGGCTCTTGAACATAAGTATCAGATTATATCTATACTTAATAATGACAATGTTTTATTTAAAGATTTAGTATTTGTAGATGGTTAGGAATGTTCTTATGTAGGCAGACTGATTTCAGAAACATGTTACGACTTAAGTTTTGTGAAGATCTGGTTAATTTTGTGTGTTACATTCATGTTGTTGGAGTGTAATAGGAGGTCTTTAATGTTTGTGGCTACAAGAATATACAATACCAACATCTGTATTTTTCTAGCTGTTTGATATATTATGTAACTCGATTGCTCAGAATATTGGTTGTTAACCTAGGAATAAAGTTAAGTTGCAGTTTGTGTAGATTCTATGCATTGTAAAACAACTCCTCTTATATACCATGTGAGACAGGTAGAGTTAGATTCTAACTATAACTGTGTCCAATAGAAAGATTAATCTTGTTCAGAAAGGAAAATCAGAATACCTGCTAATGCCCATGTAAAATCTATAGACATTTTACTGCTGAATGAATATTCTATTGTTTGATTGATCTGGTAGGAGTTCATTTTGATTGAAGATAAAACAAATTATCTACTATAAACAGTTATGAAAACAGATTTGGATGTAGTGCAGAGAAATATGTCCACCAGTCTTCAACGCATCTAATGGGGTAGTTAAGATCTATCTGAGAGAGAAATACTCTTGATCATTATAATTTTTAAAAATAATTTAATAAACACCAAATAGGATTTTAAAGGTAACTGTAGGAACTGAACAAATGCAGTCAATGTTCAGTCTGGGAGATTATCATGTCAGAGAAAGTCTTGTCATATAAAATTATACTTCTTAGATTTTTAATTTCATATCTATATAAATATAGATATAGACATTAAAAACTGATTTGTATTGCATTGCTTCTGCCTTATTCCATGAATGCTGACTGTAGGGGATTTTTTAAAATCAGAATTCTTATATATGTGGGTCTATAAAGTGTGTGTGTAGAGCGAACATGATAATAAAATGTTATTTACAGTGCCTCAATGCATATATGCACACATGCACTCTTGCATACATGTTTTTATGAAATGCTATACATGGCCTTATTATGTTAAAACTGAAAAGGGGACTGGTGTATTTCTGTATTGCCTATTTGGAAGAGTGGTATGCTTATCTCATCTATTTCAGCCTATAGCTGTGTATGTTAATCCTTGAATCTTAGTAACTAAAATTTACAAAGATATTTAATAAGAATTGGAGGTTGGTACTTGCTTGAATAAGATGAGCAGTTTGGAGGACTATGGGAAGATGGTTGAATGAAGATTAGATGGTAATTTGTTGTTTACAGTCAGATCTGACCTTCATGACACAATGGATTTCACCAGGACTGTCTATCAATAACAGCTTCTTGAGTTCTAGTAACCTAAGCTCATGCTTAAGTAATTGAACTTAGCCACCTTGCTTTTTCTTTGCTTCTTTTTTGATTGTCCTCAATTTTTCCAAACAAGTGGCTCTATGCATGGCATATACAAAATATGTAAAACTTAACTTCATTATTTATGTATCCAGTGAGCACAATACTTGGGTGTCTAATGGTTTTTACTTCATCTGGTATTAAATTATATATACTTTTTGTAATACAAGTTATTTTTAAACAGTAGTAAGTAAGATAATTTTCAGAAAATTATCTGAACTCTGCTGTGCAACCTGGTTTATATACTAGTTGTTTGTTTTTTTTAACTTGAAAGACTTTTCTGTTGGTGTGGATCTTTCAGTTGTGAATATAAAATTTCCATGTTTTAAATATGCACGTAGTTTTGAATGTTATAGCTAGACCTACATCTTTCAATTGGGTCTGTGTTTTTCACCTGTTAGAAACTTTTTTAATAAATGATTAAAAATGGAAAAATGAAGATAAATAAGAATCACGTTAGAAAAGAAATTCTCCATTAAATGACAGGATGAAAAAATGGTTCTTGTGTGATGGCACATTTGTGTGTAGGGGCACCTTTTGAGAGCATAGAGAAATGATTGAATTATTTTAGTAATACAATATGTATTCAGTGAATCAAAACTCATTTACTATATTTTAATTAGGGAACAACTTTAATTTTAATTACATTTGCACATTTAATTCAAGAAATGTGCTATTAGTGTCCATGTTTTGTAATAAATAAAATATACGGCCATGAGATAATGCCAGTGGCATTTACTCTTTAATGAAATTGACTGACTGACTGACTGACTGATTCTGCTACTTAAAATTCCTGGTCTAGATGACTAAATAAGCCAGCTGGGTGAACTTGGGCCAGTCACTCTGTCAACCTAACCTAACTGAAAATAAGAGGAGGAAGGTGTGTTGGATATGTTCACTGCCTTGAATTATTTGTAAAAATAATAAAGGTGGGAAATAAATAAGATAGAAGACTGTAGGACCCATTTATGGAATACTTTGTACAGGAAAACCTTATCTCCTGATTTGGACAGAGTATTTCTCAACCTTAATAATAATAATAGTAAAGTTGGAAGGGACCTTGGAGGTCATCTAGTCCAACCCCCTGCTCGGGCAGGAAACCCTACACCATTTCGGACAAATGGCTGTCCAGTCTCTTCTTAAAAACTTCCAGTGTTGGAGCATTTACTGCTTCTGGAGTCAAGCTGTTCCACTGATTAATTGTTCTCACTGTCAGGAAGTTTCTCCTTAGTTCTAGGTTGCTTCTCTCCTTGATTAGTTTCCACCCGTTGCTTCTTGTCCTGCCTTCAGGTGCTTTGGAAAATAGCTTAATTCCTTGGCATCTTGGCTGGGAATTCTGGGAATTAAAGTCCACACATCTTAAAGTTGCCAAGATGGAGAAATACTGGGACAAAAGATCAAAAAGGTGTGTGTGTGTGTGTGTGTGTGTGTGTGTGTGTGTGTGTGTGTGTTCTAAAAAAGAACTTGCAATATCCAAAGTCTTGCAATATTTCTGAGGGCTAGACTATTTTTGTACTGTGTATAAATTGTACAAATTGATTGTAAAGTTAAAATGGAGTAACTTTGAAATCAGCCATATCTTATTTCACCCATGTCTTAAAAAGTGGACATTTGTTGCTAATAGTAAAGTGATACTGTCCAGACAACAGAGTTTATAATAGTTGCCCAGATTTGATAATTTCAGTAAAGTTAGAAAAAGAAAACAACAAATTTGCAGATTCAAAGGAAGAAAATAAAATGGCTTATTTCAATAATAAGATGATAATTTCCTACAGTTACAACTATAGGTACTTTCCTAAATAATGCACACTGAAATATATTTATTTCATTTAAAAAGGAAGACTCTGTTGGCACTGGGAGGAAATCAGTCCACAAAAGGAATACCCTTATTGGACCAATGAAAACCACAAATTAATATCCACATTAATATTGGTAATGTAGGCAAAGTAAGAGAGAGACGGAAGGAGGAAAAATAGGTAGCTCAAGGTTGTAGAATGTGTGAGTGAGTTTAGTTGAACAAGATTATAAATTTTATAATAACCATTTTTGGATGCTGTAAAAATACTTTAATCAGTTGCTTTAGTCAAGAAACCTGTGAGAGAAATCATGAGACAAATCATCCTTTCATCTCTCATGTGTAATATGTTTAATAAGGTAATTCACAGTATTTGCTTATATGTATATAAATCTAAATAAAATATATGATAATGGCTTTCTTTGTTTGCTCTTATTTCTTTGTTTCAGGGAGTCAAGCCAGCCAGCTTTGATAAAGTAGCTATTCCTGAAGTGAAGGAAATAATTGAGGGATGCATTCGTCAAAATAAAGATGAAAGGTAAATGTTCTTCTACTTGGATTGAGCAGTAGAAATAGGTTGTGTGTTGACAGTTTTGATTAAAAATCTTTCAGTTAATCTGTAATGCATCAGTACTCTAGTAGAAATGTTGGCAGTTTCTTTCAGTAAAGGGCGAAATCCCACCTCTCTGGGTCTGCAGGCTTAGTGCAGCTGCCATTGGGATGGCGCCAGGCTGCAAGCAAGGAATCTTCCGAGAAGTGCCCACCCAGTATGCTCTAGTTTTCAGTCCTGTCCCTTGTCCTGGGAACCCAGCTAAAACCTTGGCCTGACAATCTCCATCTGCCTATCTGTTCTTTCTTAGCTCATGGGCTATACAAAAACAGACAGTAGGCAACTTCAGACCAACAGTCAAGTAAACAGTCAAGAAACTGCCAAAGAGCCATTACTAAACAGCCCAACCAAAGAATCCCTAAGACCACTACCACCCACAGAGACAAGCAAGACATCAGAATATAAACTGACAGCAAACAGCACTCCTTATTAGCACTGATGATGTTACCTAGTTAGGGTAATGAAACATTTGCAAGAAAACAAGCAAGCTCAGAGAGCACCAAGGACCCCTCATTTCAAAGCTGAGCTACAAATATTCTCCTTCATTAGTAGGCTGTATTTGTCCACAGGTCATAGTTTATTGACTCCTTCTTTAGTGTGTAATCTATGAATGTGGCACTGATTTTGCAAGCACACATTAACTTTTCTTTTAATCAAGGTCAAATTACACCCATAGTCTTTCTTTCAAGTTGCACTAATTACTTTCTTTCTAGAAAGGACATAAATTTCCCATTTGTCCTCTCCTCTTTAAAGAATGGGTGAAGCATTAAAATGCATTGACACTATTTCATTTAATAATTAAGTAAAGATCTGCTGCCTCATCCACTGACTAGTATTGTATCATAATGATGTTTCCTTTAGATCTTTAAAAAAAAATAAATGCTTTCTTTCTTTGGAGGACAAAGTGGCATGAATGCATTTTGACTTGGAATAAGAATTAAGGTTTTATTTGGGAAGAAAATATATTCGGTTCAAATGGTAAAGTTTGAATAATCTTTGTATTTAGTTGCACTGCTTCTGTGTCCCTAAATCTCCATCTTACTCATGGATCCCCTAAATTGTATCTTGTTCTCTTCTTTCTATGATTAACAGATACGCTATCAAGGACCTTCTGAACCATGCATTCTTCCAGGAAGAAACTGGTGTGCGTGTAGAATTAGCAGAAGAAGATGATGGAGAGAAAATTGCTATTAAGCTCTGGTTACGAATTGAAGACATTAAAAAGCTAAAAGGAAAATACAAGGATAATGAAGCAATAGAATTTTCTTTTGACTTGGAAAGAGATGTTCCAGAGGATGTAGCACAAGAAATGGTGAGCAATAAAAGGATTAGGTATCTGTCTCTAAATATAGATTTTTGAGTTTGGAATACAGTTTGGTCCATTTGCGTTTTGATAACAATACTTTAAAAGGAAATAATACAGGAAGCTATAATTCATGAGTGAATTAGGTACAAAAATCGTAACTAAACCTATAAGTCTCTCTATTTAATATAAGAATATTTTAAATAGGCAAATAACAATACAATTGGGCAAAACTTTGAAGTAAATACTATTTATATTAGCCAAGACCCACCATGTTTCTTAAAAGTGATTTTCTTCATTTTATACATTGCCAAGTTCTAGTGCAATGGTTCTCAACCTGTGGGTCGGGACCCCATTTGGGGTCGAACAACCATTTCATGGGGGTTGCCAAACAACGCAGTCCGCCATTTTTTTTCCCCTTTTCCTTAGCTGTGCTACTCCCTTTTATTCTGTTGGCTTTTGAAAGCCAATAGAACAGACTCTCTTGAATAGAGTCTAATTCTATTGGCTTTCAAAAGCCAATAGGAATTGTCCAGGCTGTCTCTGCCCTGCTGAGCCCGCCAAAAGTCCCATTCTGCAAACGGTGCTGCACCAGCTGAGTAGTCCTCGACTTACAACCAGTTGAGTAGTCCTCGACCTACAACTGGTTGGGGGTTGCGGCATTAAAAAGGTTGAGAACCACTGTTCTAGTGTATATTTAATGCTTCAGATATGGTTGACATGTATTCAGAAATAATAATATGATGTTTTACATAGTTAAAAGCAATCAAGTCACTTGAACACTTGCTTTTTTAAAATGCAGTTTAGAATGTTTCTTGTCATATTTAATTAGCAAACTTTTTCTGCCATCAATCTGAGACAGATATTTCTAGATGTAATTTCTAAAGTTTAGCTACATAAAATATTTGACATTTTTTTTAAAAAATTCAAAACAAATCCACCTCAAAATGATTTACAGAACAGGAGATATTAAACAACAGAAATATAAATATAAACAACATAATAAACCTTTCATTTCAAGTCTATGTAGATTCTCAATCATCCAGGTCATGGTTGTCCCAAAGATGGTTTTTTCTTTGAAAATGTTTCTCCTTCTCATCTGAGAAGCTTCTTCAGTTGTAACTAACTGACTCAGCAAGTAACAGCCGATCCTCAGAAGTCTTAACAACCAGATGTCTGCAAAGAATATAAATCTTTCCATTCTCCACCAGTCAGTTAGAACTGAAGAAGTTTCTTGGATGAGAAGTGAAATGTTTTCAAAGGAAAAAAAAGAAGAAAGTCCAGTTGCCTTTTGGAAAAAAAGCACAGTTGAGACTTTCATTTCAAGATTACAAATAGAAATCAGTACTTGAAACAGTAGCTGATTGAATATATTTAATTAAAAGTGAATTGAAACATTCAAGTCTTAAATACATCCTGGTTTGAGTTCACCTGTGACTTCAGTTAATAAAACAGGACACTGCATCTAGGCTTTCCTTCCATTCCACGTACCTGTGGATCAGTTGTCCTATGAGGCTGAACAACAGTGCCTATTCTAATAGTTACACAAGTGGTTTATTTCTTTAATAAGATCTCATAACATTTTTGGAGAATACTATGAAGAATAATTTTAAGTCAAATATTTTCTTCTAATATTCTTCTAATAGTTAAAGTTACTTTAAAACTGACAAGCTGATTGTTTTATTTTTGTTGTGTCATTCTAGAAATGGCTGTCTTGCTGTAGTTAATACCATCCATTCCTGTTTTGTGTGCCTTTTTAATAGTTATTTTTTAACTGTGAATGTTTTTAGGCATTATTTTTTTATTGATTGCTATATGCTGCTCAGAGTCACTTTCATGTGAGATGACGGCTATATAGATATGATAAATAGAATAGATGTATTTATTGTAATTCACCATTGTCTAATAGTATGAACTGTTCTTCCTTCAGGTTGAATCTGGATATGTCTGTGAAGGAGATCACAAAACAATGGCTAAAGCTATAAAGGATAGGGTGTCTTTGATTAAGCGAAAGAGAGAGCAGCGTCAGTTGGTGAGGGAAGAACAGGAGAAAAGGAAACAACAAGAAGTCAATCAGAAGCAGCAGACAGAACAGAAAACACAAGCAGGGTCTGCCCAGCAAGGCACAAAACAGGCTGTGCCTACTACAAGTGTCACTGCTGTTCCCACCACTTCAACTTCTGTTTCTACCCAAGTAGAACCTGAGGAACCCGAGGCAGATCAGCATCAACAGGTTCAGTTCCAGCAACCCAGCATTTCCGTATTATGTAAGTACTTTCTGTAGGTGTCACCCAACTTCCACTTTTTTCACTCTTGGATCGTGGAGGCTAAGTTGTCATTAGAGATTAATGGTTAAATGTTGTACCTATGGATGCAGTTTCTGCCTTGCTGTTATGTTCAGAAATAGACACTGGTTCCTGCAGTGACAAAATAATTACAAAGAGAATCTAAATCATCATTGTTGGTTTCATATCTAGCAGAGAGAACCATAAATTGGCAGAATCAGTTGCTGCCATTGTCATCTAATCACACAGTGGAGAAGCCACTCTTTTTCTCCATTTCATTTCCTCCTTACTATCATTAACATTATTATTAAATGCCAATAGTTACATAAATTATGGTGTTGTCATCAGACTGGGCGGGATCAATCTATTTCCTCTATTTAGGAGAACTTTAAAAAAAAATAAAAGGTTCAAAAGAACCTTTGGAGGGGGAATACATGTTTCACTCTACTACCTACTTTACCAAGTAGTTCAGGTACATTGTGAGCGAGAAAAGAAAGGCTGGGAGGAGACTTAGGCAGGCAACTTGGGACCTTTCCTGCTGACTTTGCTTCTGGGAAGCCAGCAGAGAAGGTAGCAAATGGAAATAACATGACCACAGATGCTGCAGTTGGTCGTAAGTACAAACTGGTTGCCAAGTGCCCCAATTTTGTTCATGTGACTGCAGGTGCATTGCAATGATCAGAACTTCAAAGACAGGTCATACATTTCCTCTTCAGCCTTTTCCTATTCTTCACAAGGTGAAGCTACTAAATTATTTCGAAAGGCAGCCCAATACAGAATATATCACTGTCTTACTAGCATACAAAGGGAAAGGCAATTTTGTTCACGTGACTGCAGGTGCACTGCAATGGCTAGAACGTCAAAGACTGGTCATAAGTTCCCTCTTCTTGCTGAACAAGTAGTCATGACTCAATACTTGTATGCATTGACAGTCAATGCAATTTAGCTATTGTATGACCTGACTGGCCCACATAAATATTCACACGTCCTGTTCTGCACAAGATGAAGCTACTAAATTATTTCCAAATGCAGCCAAATACAGAATATATCACTGTCTTACTAGCATATAAAGGAAAAGGCACAGCATGTGGCATATGAGTCTAAATGAGTCTAAAGCATTTGTGACTACCACTGCCTTCCTATCATCTCTGATTAGAATCAGATCCCAAAAAGTTGAACTGCATCTGCAACCAGGTTAAGGATTAATCTAGATTGACTCTGTTTGCCTGTTTTCATCTCCCCAAAATTATTTTCTAACCTCACTTCAAGAAATAGTCAGCTTCCTTGATCCATATCCAGAGAACCAATCTAATCTACTACTGTGTGGAACTTACTAACAGGTAGTACTCGACTTACAACTGCAATTGAGCCTGAAATTTCTGTTGCTAAGTGAGATAGTTAAATAAATTTTAATGACCTTTCTTGCCACAGTTATTAAGTTAGTAACACAGTTATTAATCTGGCTTTCCCATTAACTTTGCTTGTCAGAAGGTCACAAAAGGTCATCTCATGATTCCAGGACACTGTAGCCAATTGTCAAGCTTTTGAATTTTGATCACATGACCATGGGGATGCTGAATCCTCATAAGTATGAAAAATGGTCATAAGTCACTTTCTTCTTCTTTTGCTAATGTTTAACTTGAATCTAACATACGGGCACTTTGTGATCTATTCCACAGATGTCTTTGGTATTAATAACTAGACTCTTGCATTTCCTTCTACCAGCTACACAATTAATTTAATTTCTTCTCTGTGTACTTCATCTTGATATGTCCATCTATATATTGGCATTGTTTTAATTGTTTGAGGAATGTGTTAGCATTAAAATATCGTTGGACTGGCAAAAATTGATAACTCGGCTGGGGATGGGGGGAGAGAATGGACATATAGGGGAAAATTCCTTCCTCTTCTCTTAAGAGGGTTTACAAGCTAAAGTAGTGTGTTCTTTTATAATTATGCCAGACACACAAAATATATGATTTCCTTTTTGGCTTCCTTGGCATTCTTCAGTAAGACACGAAGGCTGGAGGAAACTGCAGGTAAATTACTAAAATTATATAAGTGGGAAGAAGACCAAAAGAGGAAATTGCACATTAGTGTCTCAGTTACTTTCCTCTGAATTACAATTATCATCTCCCAACTCCATGAAGCTCGTCTTTAAATGGCTTGATACAACTTCTGATCTTAAGCTAGACTTTTATACCATAAGCAAAATTGTTACTACTGCCCAGGTAACTGTTATCTGTGAGATTCTGTCTACCATCATAACTGTATAACTCTGTGTGACTAACAACCAGTTTACCAAAAGAAAAAAAGAAAGAAAAAACAATATAAAAAGGATCACCATAACCCCCCAAAGTGAAACAGCCTGATACAAAAGAAAACTAAGGCACCATATAACCAGTTCACCGAAACAGACACATGTTTCACTAACATACTGGCTCTGACAGGGTGGGGAGACACAAGGTTTAACAGCCTTCTGGAAGGTCAGGGCTCTGAGATACAAAAGGCATGGTATTTGGGTTTGCTCTATGATTTGATTAGAATAAATTGTAAAAATATTTCCTAGTATACCTATCTGGAGACTACAATTAAAAATATTCCCGTGGAGCTGATGAAGTGTGAAGATATAATATATATCTCCTTGTTATTACTCAGCCTGTTTTTGAATTGCAACAAGAGTTTTTAAGAAATTTAAAAGCCCACAGTCAGAAATCTTATGCTGTTATTTTTATTCAGGAGGATTTGAAGGAAATAATAACAGTAGTAATAGTACACATCCTGCAATGCTACCTTTAATGCCATCAAAGAATAACATCTGCCTATCCCAGGTCCTTGGGAAGGACTTGATAGGTGGACAAAAAATGCAGATACATCTGGCTGACTGTGTGACGAACTATAGTAGTAGTAATAATAAGACTACGGCATATATCTCTGTAGAATTGATGTTGAAAAATTTTGGGACTGTGTCCAATACCTTACAAAGACTTTTTCTCCATTTTTTTGTATATTGAAATCAGTGGCCCAGTAAATAGAGAAGTCCAAAATATTAAAATAATTTTATAGAATATATTTTACTAATTAATTTTATTGCCTTAGATCAGGGATGTCAAACTGCTGGCCCATGGGCCGGACGCGTCACCCGGAAGCCGCGCCCACCCCATTGCTGGCAATGGCAAAACAGTCCCAATACGTTGCGCGACATCACATGACGTCATGAGTTTGACATATCTGCCTTAGATGAAGAGTATTGTTCTATCTGATAATTTCAGATATGCAAGCATTCAAATTTATTTTGAATGCTTCCTTTTTCATGGATGGAATATGAGCTATTTCTGTAGCTATTGGCAAAAGAACGCATTCTCAGAGAGTGTTCAGAATGAATACTTCTAATTATGGATTATCTGCTGTATAGATGAGGCACTGCAATATGGTAGATGTCTGCCAATCCAAACATATTAACAAGATGGGGGGAGAGGGTTGTTGAAATGGCTTGTTTAAGAATTTGTTTAAAAATTAAGAGCAATGTTTTTTACAAGTAGTCTTCGCTTAATGAGAATTCACTGAACGACCATTCAAAATTGCAATGGCACTCAATGGGGCATATTTACGACTGGTCCTTGAGGTTCAATCGTTGCAGCGTCCCACGGGTGATCGTGATTCAAGTGCTTGGCCACCGGCTCGCACTTAAGACAATTGCAGCCCCCCACAAAAATGCGATTGCCAATTGCTGATTTCCTTGCTGGCTTTTTACAAGCAAAACCAATGGAGAAGCTTGCAAGGAAGATTGCAAGTCTCCACTCCTTTCCCATGGGCCATCCTGCCGCACCATCCGCTCCCCTGTCTTCCTGCACAAATGCCCCGCCCCAGCACCAGATGGCAATAAAGTACGAATTATGGATAATATTTGCAGTTTTGATTATAGTGATTTATTTGAAATGTAATAATTAGATAAGACTTAATAGTCTAAACCAGGGATAGGCCACCTTGGCTCTTTTATGATTCGTGGACTTCAATTCGCAGAATTCCTGAGCCAGCATGTGTGCTCTCTTCCTTCAGAGAAGGGGGGAGAGAGAGAAAGAGAAAGTTCTATGCACTTACAAGGCTTGAACATGCCACGAGATTATGAATCTGTATCTAAAATTCATATTTATATTGTGTTTTACAGCTGATGGCACAATTGATAGTGGCCAGGGTTCATCTCTCTTTAGTGAATCATGTGTGAGTAGCCAACAGACGGTTTCCTTCCAGCATGAACAGTCTCTTCCAACACTTCCAGCCTCAGGATATTCAGTTCCTGTTGGTCAGCCACAGTCACAACAGCCTGGAGGATACCAGACCTCTACGGTGGTAAGCACAAAATTAAGCAGAATGGCAAGAAGCCTAGAATCTTGTTCTGTTTTCCTGGATGTGTTTAGGCCTTAGGTTTTCAGTCTGTGGCTGGTCATAGGTAATATAGAAAACTGTGTGCAAGCCTCTTGCTTGCCTTTATCTAATACTGCTTTAAAATAGGAAAGTAAGCATAGTGAACTGAATGTGAAACATATGCTTACCGGTAATAAATGCACACACAGAAGTATTTGAAGCTCTGTAGTTAGTTTCAAGCATTGTTGAATTGTGGGTGGAATAAAAGTAATGGGATGGAGTTTCTGTTTAAGTGATGTCATGAATAAAACATGTTATGTGAATGTGTTGCAAGTTTTTAATTGCAGCTAAACAAGGTAAGAAGTATTAACCATTATAGAATGCTGCATGTAACACTTCAGTTTTAAGTGAACCTTATGTCTCCATTTATTTATAGCTTCCTTTTAATTGCTTATAGGCACAGTTCCCTTTCCCACTTTATGTGTTCATTTTTGTTACCCTATAATTTGTATTTTTTTCTGCTGAATTTTCAGAGCTGACATTGGGGGTCATCTAGAATAGAGCTGCCCGACCTTTCCGGGTTGGCGGCCTAGAGGGAAAGGGAGGAGCAGGGAAATGTGCGCCCCTGCGCACACATGCGCAAATGGGCACACGCACAGCAGGGTGCTAGCACCTGCACACCTGCACTAGTGGGCCGCCTGGTGCCCCTGCTAGCGCAAGTGGGGTGGTGCACTCACACATGCACACGCTCTCCAGCCATTCCCAGGGCCCAGTGGCCAAGAGGCCATGGCCTGGTACTGGGCTGCGGCCCATAGGTTGGAGCTCCCTGGTCTAGATGATCTTACCTCCTATTCATTATACCTTTTTATGAAAAAAAAATGCTGCTTGGGAAGTCTGCATTGACAAAAATTATAACTGGTTGTAGAATCTGATCCATAGCCAAAGATTGCAACATTTGGATAATGATATATATTCATTTATATCATATTGATTCAGGTAGTTAGAGAAGGTAATCCTTTTCTAGAACAGAAACATCGCCATACGTTTCAAATGTACTTATGAAGCTTTGTGCCCTTTTAATCCAAAGATTAAATGCAACATTTCAGTTTTAAGTTTTTATGCATAATTTTAGTTCCTCTGATTCCGTTCAAAAATATTGTTTAAACAATAACCCATTAAAAGTCTTCACATGCCTTGCTTCAAGGTTCAGTAATCATAAATAATACTAACAGTAGATTAATAGTTCTTCTGAACAGGCCAGTTTCAGATAACAAATAGATTTCCAGAAAAAAAAGAAGTAATTCAGCCTGTTTTGAAAGTTACAGTTTTGAGAGAATCTCAGTGGAGAGATGATTTGGGAAGAAAATTATTTAAAAAAACATGGAAAAATGTTTGGAGGGAAGAAAAAAAACTGGCTTTTAGAAGAGCTTCTACTAACTTTTTTAAAACACTAAATTGGTTCAGTCAACAAAATAAGTAAATTACCATCTACCTTGGGAATATGAGCAAATTATAATATCTTTATTTTCTGATGAACTCTTCTATCATATTGTTCATTTGTCAAATATGTTTTTAATCTTGAAGTCTGAACGTGTGCAAGTTATAATGTGAATCATTATTTTGTGTCATATAATTCTTAGCTGAATGAAGTTATAAAGAGATGCCTGGCAAGGCATTATTTAGGAAGCCACTCCAGTTCAAAAACAATAAACTGAAATGAACAAAAGTGCAATTTTAGGGGAGAAAAGATAACTAGAGACAGTTATATTAACATTTAATTGTTAACACTTGGAAGAAAGATCTGTTCTTCATTAAGAGCTTGTTTTCTGTGCCAAAAAAGAGTAAACATCTAAAGAAGACCTGAACTTGAAGCAGATGCTTCTTTTCTACATATACTATTTGCTAACTGCTGTATAGTAGTTTTCGATTTAGTGGAATTTAATAGTCAGAAGAAAACCTGAAGGCCTCTAAGGTGCACATATTATTTTTGTGTGTGTTATCTTTTCAAGTTTCTTTGTAACCCTGTCTGTTATAATCAGTATCAGCCTTCTGCCGTGATTATGTCCCTGAGGTTCAGCTCATTAGTCATGTCATTTATGCTCATTTCTTTTTGTTTTTGTTTTTTTAGCCTCAACCTGGCTGTAGCATGTCAGTTTGTGCTTCCACTCTTTCCCCCTTCCTTCCCTCTCCAGTCCCTCCCAGTGCTCCTTCCACCCTGCCATTAGCATTGTCTGCACCTTTTTCTTCTTCCTATCTTCGGACTACCCCGCAGGAAACTTTTGGTGAAAAGCTTTCCAAAGCCCTGGAGAGTGTCCTGCCCATGCATATCACCTCTCCACGCAACCAACGGCGCTCCAGCCTGCCTTCCCTCTTTGTCAGCCCTGTATGTCACTCTCCTGACACATTAAGATAAGTTACCACTAAATACATCCTGGCTTCGGTATTGGATTAGGATGAAAAAGGCACCATGGTTACTCTGTGCTATAGGAAAGCTAATTCCTCTCCTTCCTGAAGTTAGAAATTAATTTGATCAAAGCTTTGGGGAAAGGCTTTAAAATATCACAGATTTGATCGGAGCAATCTGAACATTACTGTATTATTTCAAAAACATTTGAATGCTTTCTCAGTTTGGATAATAACTAAAGGTAAACATCGCAGTTGATTCTCATTATTTGTGGATTACATAATTGCAACTTTGCTTACTCCTTAAAATGTATTTGTAGTTGCAAAATCAATAGTTGGGTACTTTTGTGGTAGTTCATGGGCTTACAGAGCAGTGAAAAATTTGATGCACACTTTTCAGGATGTGCTAATTCAGTATTTGTGGTGACTTTATGAGGCATAACTTCAGCAGATAATGAGAATCATCTGGGCCAGGTTTTCTGGTAACCACATGGACAACTTTTGGCGCATTATGGAATGGTTTATCATTCCTTTTTCCAGGATTGCTTTTAAACGTCCCTACAGTCCTGGATTTCCTAGCAGCTTCCGAGCAGTAACCAAGGATAGTACAACTTAACATTTTCTCAGAGTTGGCCTCAGTCAGTTGGATGCTTCTGTCTGTCATATGTTAGTAATTCTAAAGTAGCATTTATTTATTATTCAGCCAGTCAATACATTTACATGGCTGCCCATCTCAAACATGTGACCTTGGATGACTAACAACAACAACAAGCCAGCAAAAAAAAAAAGCTCCAGATAATTTGCAGCCAAATATTAAAAACAAAATAAAACAAAAAACTGTCAATAGAAATACAAATACATATATTTCAACAAGATTATAAAATTAATTCATAGGGTCCAGCAGACTTAATAACTGTTATAGAGGTTTGGCTGTATATACATGTATGTATGTGTGTGTTTCTTTTCCCAAGATAGTTGCATTTTTTAAAAAAAATACATTTTTATTAAGTTTCTTTATAAGATAAAAATATAGAAGAAACAAAAGTTAGAAAAATAAGAAAAGACAGAAAAATGAATGAGAGAAAAAAATTAACTTCCAAATTCCTTCGGTCCAGTAGATTGCAAAAATCAACATCAACCTTTTGCTTTACATTTCACATTTCAAGCCATTTCTTTAATTAGAAAATCATTTTAATCATCAGAACCTGAAATTAAAGTTTCATTATTTTTCAATTTCAACAAGATACTTGGATTTTTTTTAATGTAATCAATTGGGGAAGCAGTTAAAATAAACAGAATTGTGCAAAGAAAATGGAAAATAATAAACATTAACCCTACAGGGATCTATAACAAATAGGACCTATAATAAAACATTGTTCCATATTATTAATCCTCTGATGCATGATGATTGTTTAAATCAAATATATACATCATTTAAAACTTATTTGCACTGTAATGTATTTGCTATAATAATTTACTTACTATGTGGATAACTTTGAGGCCATTTGCTTTAATTACCTGTATAACTTTCACCTGTAACTGTTGAGTCTTCTGCGCTCTTTGAGCTTGGTTGTTTGCTTGCAGATGTTTTGTTACTAGACAAGTGCTTTTATCTGTAAACTTGATTTCACTGCTCACGCCTAACTTCAAGTTATTTACGAAGAAGGTAAAACCATGTATGTATTTGTCTAGACACAATACTAAAGAAGCAGAGTTTCATGTAGGCAATGGAAAGAAGGCAGAAACAATTTTTAAGCTTCATCTGTTCAGAAAGCAACTGCTTGCTCTACAATTATGGGGGCTAAAGAAAATAATTCCTAAGACTCATATTTATGAACTTCAGGAAGCATAGAAGCTTCCTCTTCCTTAAGCCCTGTTGCTTTGTGCCATATTGGGCCTCAGGACTACTCCCAGTGTACCTGTAGAATATTTTATGCACTGGATGTTTTTAATTTTAGTTAAGAACAGTAGTGGATTTCTTGTTTAATCTCTGGGTAGCAACTGGAGGTAGAAGTAAAGCTCTTGTGACTCAAGTTCAATATCTTGCAACTACATGGATATATTTTCTTGACAACATATAGAAGTGATTGAAATTATTTTTTTAGGTAAGGAGAGGAAATTAGAATCACTTTCCTACAGTACAAGAAATCATTTTCCTCCATTCCCAAAGGATATGTAAGATTAATTGTCACTCCATATTTTTACTATGTCATAGGAGAATTTGCTGCTGCTTTTCCAGAACAATTGGGATTTTGATGCATGGTCTCAATTGACTTCATAAATATAAAGAGAAAAACTAAGCATTTTAATCATATTGGAATGTATTTAATGGGAAGTTATATAAGAGATAACATATCCATTTTGGAATAATAAAATGCAACATTTGACAAATACAACCCATTTGTTATAACTAGGTTTTGAAGGTATGAAAAAATGAATAATCTGTAGGCTTTTGTAGAAAATGAAGATCTTGTTGCAGTTTAAAAGCAGATTCTCTTCCTATTTAGACAACTATTTCTCAGGAAGTGTACTGTATTGCAAAAAAAAGTAGAAATAATGATATTGAAGCAAATCTTCTAACAAAATGTATTTATCTTAATAAAAAGATGATTGGAAAAACAGCTTCTAACAAAAGCAAATATTCCTATAGACAACAGTCTCTGCCATGGATGTATTTAATGGATTTGTATAACACTCAAAACATGTTGTATGTTAAATATGACCTATAGACATTCTATAAGGTTACTAAAGAGAGCCATTTATTGAGCTGAAATGGTGATATGTTTCTGTAATGTCTGAACTACTTGTCTTGTTCATGTCAATACAGCCTCAGTCCATGATGCATCCATATGGGGGAATCCCAGCATTCCTAGATTCCCAAGTAATTTTTTCTACTGTTCGTGAACAGCCAGGCTCTTTCTCACCACCCCCCATCTGCCCGTCAGGGGTGTCCATTTCTCAACGGCGCAAAAGTACTTCTATCCTTGAAGCCCAAACTTGCCATTTCCAGCCTTTGTTGAAGACCAGCCAAAATGTATTTTTCCCTGGTGGTAGTCCAACAATTTGGACACCAGAGACATTAGCGACAATGAGCACAACTGCTCATACGTCCACAAGAGAACACATTCAGGCTAACACTGTGTTGAAGTCGACTCAAAAATTGAACAATTACAGACCTGGACAAGCAACTTCGGAGGATGCTACAAACATGTTGACCCAAGAAGCACTATATTTAGTGGGCATGCACTATCAGTCTCAATTACCCGAACACTATGAGACAGTATCCTATAATGCTCAAGGAACTGAGCAAAACTCGCTGCAGGCTCCTGAACCGAGAAATGTACAAGGTGGCCCTCTTCAGAATTCTGCTTTTGAATATCAAACGGGACAGACCTTTTTGGCAAGACAAATTCAAAATTTGAGATTGGATTCTGGAATGAATCCATTATTGCCAGTGTCCAGCATATCAGCCCCATTGAGTGGAGACGCCATACAGATGAATTTTCATCCAGTCTTTGTTCCACATTCTGCACCTGCTATACTCTCTCACAGTGGGGAGGGTCAAACAAGTGTGTTTGAGTTCCATGTTCAAACTCCCAGTGTAACTGCAGGAGAAAGTACAGCCTTGTCTCAGTGTGTTTATAGAAATCGTCACACAGATTTTAACCAGGAGGAGTCTACTCAAAGAACTTTACAGTCTGTTCGTCTTCAGCCTGTAAAAGAGGAACAGAGTAATTATATGAGTTCTGAGTTCATGATGAGTAGAGGCAGTTCTGTTCTCCAGAGCTGGCTGGAAGGTAGCCCAGGGTATTCCAGTGACTCATCACAGCTGACTTCTTCCGATACTGGTGATTTTCTGTCGCCTCCTCTGAGTGGGACATCTGTATCATATGCTACAGATTTATCTTTTTCTGCTTCCCAAATGACTCAGAAGGTATTGCCAGATTCACAGATCTTCATCCACTTTCCACAGGGAACTTCATCTGAACAAGCACTCTCTGCATTGGTTTCAACAAGATCTTCTGCGCTCTATCCTCAGGTTACCAGTACAAATGCTTCACATTTTCTTCAGTTTTTAGTGTTCTCTTGACACTATACTATAAGATTCCTTACATTCCTTTCTCCCTTCCAAGATACTCTGATATTGAAGGACAAATTGTTTCTCCAGGAATAGGTTGCCTGTTGAAACCATTCTAGTCCTATCTTATTCGGAACATCCCTCAGTGGGACTATTATGTGTAGTGTTGTATTGATTGTAAGCAAATCTTGGTTGTAGGGCTGTGTAAAAAGTTATTTTATTGCATTAAAATAAAAATCCTGTCTTTTTACTTACTTGAAGCTCAGTTTGGAAGCTCAGGTAAGTGAAATTTATAGCTTCTTTTCACCATCTGAAAAATGAAAAAATATGGGAGGTTTGGATGTTTTCACAGCTGTTAGAAGCCCTCAAATATCCCTGTTCATTTTTATAAAAAATTAATCCAGTATTTCCTTATTCATGTTGCATATTATGATTGTTTAATGTAAAATCAACAGAAATGATAGTTCACATGTATGTGGTGTATATACAGAACATCCAGATATTTTGAATAAATGTGCTTGGGAATCCTTAATATTTAGCTATGCAAAATTCAGGTCAACAAACCACTATAAAATGAATTAGGAGTAAGTCCTATGAAACTTAACAAAGCTTATTTTATAGAGAGAATTGTACCTACTCATTTTATGTTTTGAGGTTACAATCTTATACAGGATTACTTAGGACTAAGTTCACTACAGGAAATCCTTAACTTATGGGCATAATTGAATCTTGAATTATGGTTGTAAATTGTTGTAGGAAGTTGAGGCATCATGTGACTCGATCCAATTTTTCAATATTTTTATGGTAGTTATTAAGCAAATTAAACAAACACCGTGATCATTAAGCAAATCAATTTTCTCTAGTGGGTTTTTTTGTCAGAAGCCTGAAGTAAACATCAGACACTGGCAAAAGAAAGATGCAAATCGCAGTTATGTGACTGCAAGATACTGCCAATGCCCCTAAATGTGAGTCAGTTGCCAAGTGCCAAAAATGCGACCACATTATTATGGGGGCGGGTTGTGCCATCATAACTTCAAAAACAATAAGTAGCTTTTGGGGAGTCCATTGTAACAATCATTAAGTCAGCGGTCATAAGACATGGGCTACCTATAAACAATATGTGTATGACCTGTAAATAAATAGGAGTTCGACTACATAATGTATCGTTCAGCATCTAAAGTTGCATTACTTCGCACATATGATACTTTCATAGAAGTATCATATGTGCACGTTAACACAATTTTAGATGCTGAGCTATATATATATTACGTATATATACTCAAATATAAATTTTTCCACTTTAACAAAAAAGTGATATTTTTGTCCCCCAGTATTCCATTTTCCAAGATTCTGCCTTCTTCCCCCAGCTTAAATATTTCAGAAATTTTACACCCCAATCCATAACTAGCACCCGTTGAACATATGCACAAGTGGTAATTAGTAGTAAAACATGGGGGTCTGCCCTATCCACTCATCTTTCTCCTTGATTAAACTAAACTAGTTGTTGATCAGTGTGGTCAAACTGTGATAGTGAGACACCACAGAAATACATAGCATCACAGAAATACTTAATTAGACAGTGGTGGAATTATATCACAATAAAGTGTGTGAATTATACAATCTTCAGCTGTTTGAAAAACTATACACAAAACAGAAGGTTACAAACATAGATAATAATTTCCACCCTCTCCGTTCCGCAGAAAAAACCCTCTCCATGAAACTGGTCCCCAATATCATGATATTGGGGACCACTGCCTTACATCCACTTGCTATCCATTCTGTTGGGAAATTGTTTTATATGTCAAGTCCCTTTTTTGATATGGGACTTGTATTTTTTCTTCTTCTGTTGTTTCTATTACTACTTTTTAAAATACATTGTTACCTAATTAGAAACGAACCCACAAGCTCAGAGAAAGAACCTCCATCCTCATCCTACACTTGAGCTACAGATATTCACCACTTTTTGCAAAAAAATTTAAAATGTTCATTTCCCCTGATCCATTCTTGATCTTAGCAAAAATAAAAATCTGCCCTACATTCAGAATATTTAATCTTCCATCCTTCACTAATTATCTCATCCTCCATCATAAATATCAAAACAGTAATATTTGTTTTCCATATGCATGCATGGATAGGTATACTTAACCACATATTTGAAACAATTGGATTTGAATCCAATCTTTGGATTTTCAAATAGCCCAGACACTTTTTGTTCCTATCTGCCCCTTCATTGCACCTAACAGGGTTGTTTCTTTATAGATTGTATTATTTTTCTATAATTATCCCTGGTTCTTCCATTATACCATCTTTCACATTCATAGCATGCAGTTATCACCTGTACATGATTCCATACATAACAGCTTAGATTATACCAATTCATGCATTTGATATACATTTCAGCCCTTTCATATTTAAACCTACACCTTTCGTTTCCTGCATGCCCCAAAAGTGCTTTTTCAAAAAGCAACTGGACTTGCAAAAGTTGCCCTTTTGTAAAAACACCTTTGGGACAACCATGACCTGGATGACCGAGAATCTCCATAGACATATCCTACATGCATTCAGCAATTCCACTTACACTATTAGACTACTTTCTTTTTAATCTATTATATTCTTCCTATTTCTCTTGTTTTCACACAACATGCAATGTATTTGTTCTGCTTTGTTTCTTTTCTTTACTAATGTTTATTCTTTACCATTTAATTCTCCACATTCCAAGCAGAAATTTTGCATATGCTATGGCAGTTGCCAGATAGTTAGCTCTGCTTCCGTTGTACCTTTGACCAATCGTGATTTTCAGCTAATGCTTTTTAATAAGATGGAGAACATAGGAGACTAGATAACCAGCACTGGTCGGACCTGTGCCTCATGCAACATTATCTGCTCATGATAAGAATAGTACCAGTTTTTCCACATTGTTGCAGCATGCTGTAAGTAGAACCAAAGGACAGTTTTACCTCAAGCATTCTCATGCTTTCCCATATAGGGTGGAGTCTCTAATGCAGTATTTCTCAATCTTGGCAACTGGACTCCAACTCCCAGAATTCCCCAGCCAGCATGAAGCTGCCAAGGTTGAGAAATACTGATTTAATGTAAGACTATCTTGCAAACTGCTATATGGTTACAGCCAATATAAATATGTGTAATATATTTGTATACTCAAGTTGCACACTCAAACATGTACATTGGCCCCAAAACATTATCTGTCCCTATCTAAATATTTAGTTCTATGATTGCTATCTTGTTGCTATTTCTTGTGGTTCTAATAAAAATCTGTGATTTGGGGCGGGGTATTCTAAGAATCTTGGAAGATGAAATGAAAATATAAACAGTTAAAGCAAATTGTACATGGAACATTTCAAAATGGTTAAATAATTATCAACTATAATTATTGCAAGACATTTCAAGAAATAGTATTTTTTTTCCCCTCAGGATGACTCCAGAACTATGTTCCATATTTCCTCCTTAACATGAAGTTTTGAACACTGTATGCTTTTATTTAATTAAAATTCTTACCGTATATTCCTATATTTTCAGCTTAGCTAAAAAATACCCACTTCTTTTGTATAGCTCTCCAACCCCTTTCTGTCTTGGTACTCGTGTATTACAAACCTAAATTCTGTTTTCTTCTTCTTTGAAAACATTTGTTTTTCATTATATATTGAGATACAGTCCAATACATAAAACACATTTCATTATATGGGAATGATCGCAAAAGGTGATCATGGCCATTCCAGTTTAAATTATTTTACATCCATTCATAACTGTGTTGTTTTGATTTTGCTTGCTTACTCATTCAAAATTTGAAATTACTAACCATTGGCTTTGGGGTGCTTTTTCTGAAAAACGGCTGATCCTTACAGTATCTTTGAGAAATTTCTAACAAGGTTCTTGGATTCACTTAGATTTGGCTAGAAAATACCATTATTTCACCTAACTATAGTTCAGCATTTTGTCTTCTTAAGTGATCGATTAGGTTGATATAAATCTTTGAAAAACGAAAGGAAATTTAAAATTTTAAAATAGAGATCAGTAGCATTCTTCCTGTAGAAATTGAGTGTGTGTTCCTATTTTTACCACAGGCTGTTTTGGGGTTGACTTTTTTTTATTAACACCTCAATACACACTCAGAAACACATATTGCATTTTTATAATATTAGTAACTGAGTTTGATTATTGGAAAAATGCGGCTGCTTTAAAGTGTTGAAGACGGGTGCATTGTAAATTTTCTTTTAGACAATTGGGATGACTGCACACTCCTAATTGATTAAAATACAATGCTTTTCCATTTCAGGGGAATTATTACTTTGTGTCATTATTGTTGCATTGTTCCCAGTACAGAAACTGATGAATAGTCTGATTCTGTTTCTCTTTCCCTTATATGCAGATGCAAGGGCAGCCATCTTCAAATGAATCATCAGTGAACACATCACAACTTTTGCAGCAAAACCAACTGGTAATGATGAATGGTTGTTAGACGTATAATTTTACAGATTGAGTGATATCCCTCAAAGTATTTTCATAGCATTTTCGGTAGTTTTTCCTCTGGATTGATGTTCTAGATTCAGAAAATTGATATACATTTGGAAATACTATAAATTTAGCAACTGTAACAACCAGACATTCTACATTTTGCACATTTTTCTGTTATTGATGCAGAAATATTTTCCATTTAATTCCACTTTTGCTTTAGTCTTTTCACTTTCCTTAGACATAGTGAATTGGGCCAGTCTTGTTTTCTCAGCACTTTCAATCCTAATTAGCATCAGGTTCTGCAGATAAAATCCCTCATTGCATCATGCATTGATAGTTTTGCTGCAAGAACTAACAAGCAAAAACAACTATATGCTGGACAAGTGTTAAGAAGAGGAACAATTGATTTCAGCTAAATCAAAAGCTGGTTAATTTGGCTAAACCTGCTCTTAAATTGTAAAAGGATGACTTTTTCCTCCATATCTATTTGGCTATGATGTAAATGTCCCCCAAAAATGTATTGGTTAATTAAACAAATTATATAGCTATCCAACTTATACATAGTATTTTAGAAGACTGTTGCCTATAAAAGTTGATTTACAATTCCAAATATCCCCAGTGTTGAAGAGACTGGCTTGGGCTGATTGTGGCTGTAGTTCAACAGTATTTGAGAACTACCACTTGCTCATTTTATTTTAGTGTGAGTATGATTCCTGTTCATAGAATCCATGATTGCAGAAGGCACATGTATTACAAATTAAGGTTTTCTTTTAATGAAATATTTCTGAATTCATTCTCTTTTTTTATTTCACTTCTTCATTGCAGACTACCCAACAGCCAACCACCTCTCAACAGACTGGGCAGTACCAAGTTCCACAGCCATCAGCTTCCACTGGAGCTGCTCCATTGCAGCCAGTAACACAACAAGCACAAGTAATGCCTATGCCTCAGGTACCTGCTGGGACACAGGTATAATACAATTTGATGATTTCTAAGCCACCCTCTAGCCTGTCTAAAGTTCAGATTTTTACTTTCATGTGGATAAAAAAAAACAGACTATAGATAACAGGATATGTACAGTATTGCCTGGAAAAATAGAATGAAGGTGTATTAACTGTGAAGTTAATGAAAGGAACATTGATTTATGAAAGGGGAAGAATTGCCTACATGAGTTTGGACATGATCTAAAATTATGTAATAGACTGGAACAGAGTACCTTTGATATGTATGATTTTGAGAGTATATTGGAACCAATAGCCCAATAACCTTTACTGAACATTCCTTAAAAATGCTCTTTCCTATATGCCTTTCTCCTTTACTCTTGGCTAGGAAAACCTTCCTGCTAATTTTACTGAATATTTTTAATGCTTTCTTACTAAATAAAATGTAACTATTTTTTTTTTCTTTCTTGGACTAATGCAGCAACCCTGCTTCTTAAAACCCTATTTCTATTTTTCTTTACCTCCCCAGCTTCCTGTTTCCCAAACAGTGCCGATCATCCAGGGTGAATTACCTATTGGAGCACCTTCCCTTGCTCAGTCTTCAGCTGCCCCAGTCATGTCTCATTTCCTCCCAGTGGGACAGGCCATACAACCACCACTTCTTCCACAGTTCTCGGCCTCTCAGATGCCCATATCAGCACCTCATGTGTCTGTGGCTCAACCGTGCTTCCCATCTCTATCCATTTCTATGGCAGCTGGCATTAACCAGCCACTGCTTACTCTGGCTACATCTGCTGCAGCAACTGCTATTCCTGTGGGCTCAACTGTTGTCCCTAGCCAGCTTCCAACTCTCTTGCAGCCTGTGGCTCAGCTGTCCAGCCAGGTGCTCCCACAACTTCTTCAGCCAGGTGTTCAATCCATGGGATTACCTCCTACTCTGGGACAAACTGCTGAAGTTCCACTTCCAGCTACAGATGCTCTATACCAGGTATTTTGGGAGTCAAGCAAAAGTCCCTCTCTGTAATCTCATCAGTTCCTCAATGTTTTAATTCTCGTGAAAAATCTTGAGTATGGGAGCTCTGCTTTATGTGGAAGAAGACTAAATAGGAAAATATAGTTTATCAGTGTACATGGGAATCTTCTGATTTAAAACTAAATCTGTGTCTAAGAAATGGGCCCTTTATTAAAAAAACCAGTAATGCTGTTATTTCTAAAAGTAGCATTATTATTTATTAATAGTGCAAAGGTAGCTATCAATGTCTAAAAACGGAGTTCAAAAATTACTGTTTAAACTCCATCCTTAAATATAAGAAGGGATGTATACTAATTCAGATGCTTCCTTAGAATTGCTTGAAGAAAATGACAAGTTATTAAGATAATTTTTTGAAATTTTAGCTATTCGGTTTTCATTTCTTAAACTAGAAGGTACACTGCACAGGTTAGTCCTGGACTTGCGACCACAATTGAGCCCAACATTTCTGTTGCTAAGTGAAACATTTGTTAAGTGAATTTTGTCCCATTTTACAATCTTTCTTGCCACAATTGTTAAGTGAAGCTTGCAGTCGTTAAGTTGGTAACACAGTTGTTAAGTGAACCTGGCTTCCACATTGACTTTGCTTGTCACAAGGTCGCAAAAGGTGATCACATGACCCCGGGACACTGCAACTGCTGTAAATATGCCAAGCACCCAAATTTTAATCACGTGACCATGGGGATGCTGCAGTGGTTTTCAGTGTTAAAAATCACTTTCACACATTTTTGTCATTTTTTTTCAGTGCCATTGTAAATTTGAACGTTCCCTAAATGAACTGTTATAAGTCCAGGACTACCTGTGCTTGGAGAAAAAACAAGAGATACTTTTGTTTGATTGCTTTTTTGTTCTGTAATTTTGTTCTGCATTGCTTTTTACATTGTGAACATATGCTCAGCATATTCTCTTTAATTTTAGAATATGAAAATACCATTTGCTTGCTTTGTGCCACAGTACTTTTATATTTTGCCAAACATGCCTCTAGAATTAAAAAAAATAGGAGAAGGGGATCAGATGAAATGTAGAGATTTTTTTTTAACTTTACCACGAGTAGCACAGTTCATCTTGAAGTTTAAAGGTTTGCAGCTGAAGCTGTTCTTTCAAAGAGGAGTAGTTGCTTGCTACAAAGATACAGGCTGCATGATGGCTTGGAAGGTAAAGTCGACCCTAGGGCAGGGGTAGGCAACCTTGGCTCTTTTATCACTCGTCCAAGGTTGCCTATCCCTGCCCTAGGGCAATATGCTATGGAGCTTCTGAAATAAAAGTACATCTAAATTGGCGGTTGGGCAAAAAACACACTTTTAACAACCTGGCTTGCAATTTCTCCTTTCTCGTCTGCTTCATACTGTTTCATACCATTCACACAAAAATAAGCTAACATGGCTTCCTCATTTGTCACAGGGCTTCCCACCTCGGCTACCAGCACAGTACATTGGAGACTCAAATATTGCTTCTTCTTCTGTGGCTTCTGCTTGCCTTCCTTCTGCAGTATTGTCCCCTCCTTTACCCACAGAAGCATTGGCTCAGCCAAGCTATCTTGCTGCAGTAGGGCAGCCTTACATGGAACAGAATGTTTTAGTTTCTTTGAGCAGTCTAGGAGGACAGGTTCAAGTGCCCCAGTCTGCTTCCACACAGCAGACAGCATTAGAGGTAAATGGATGAACTGCATGTTGTTGGGGATGTGCTTTAGAAACTGAATTTCAAAGCATCAGTTACAGATCTGGTCCCATTTTCAGATTCCAACTACTATTGTATGTTAACTTTCAAATGAATTTCTCTTACAGCAGAATGTGATGCCAATGTGGAAGCCTTGTTGCCCCTGGCTGTGCTGTTGGGAAGTGAGTGGGCCTCCCAGATGCAAATTACTTGCTAGTACTTCTCTTCTGGCTAATAATGCCCTTTAAATAAGATACAGATTCTCAGTAGTACCTGGAAAAAAAATCTTTCCTCAGAACTCTTCTCTGCAGCCCTGTTATGACTGGAAGAGATTTGAATTACCCCTGCATTCTTCATTGGCTTTTCTGTTGCACATTCTGCTAGTAAGATTTCTGGTTGCATGGCAAGCTTTGATGTCACATTAATCTCATGGTTGACTTCTTGAATTTGCACGAGAAAACCCTCTGAAAGTTAACAGTTTGAATTCACTTAGATGCTTTAAAAAATGTAGAGAGAGTGCTTTTCAGCTTCTAGTTGCATAGATGATTGGACTATGACACCAGATTAAAAGTAACAGTTTAAGAAGGTAATTGAATTTTAAGCTTTCCCATTGCAGGGTACAACTCCTGGAATCACGCAAATTGCACCTCCAGAGCCTCAGCCTTCAATACAGCAGCAACCTTCACAATCAACTCCATTAGTTTCTTCAATAGACAGGTAAATAGTAAGCCACTGCTTTTGAAAGACAGTTGTGATAGCAAAGAATCTGATTTTCTTATTCACAGATTTGAGAATATTTTTAGTTAATTTTGCATGTAAGCTAAAACTGTGATTTTCTGAGATATTTAGAGCATGCAAGAACCCAATATATTCAGCATAATCACCTAACAATAACTTTCTCGTTCAACTTTCTTGAAGAAGATGAAGCTTTCTTAAAGTAGGTGATATAGTACAGTAGAAAATTGTATAGTATTTATAATTTATTGGGCTGTTGTAATATTCATTTTGGTGCATGCTACTTGGTTCTTTAAACAAAACTCCCACCTCCTGAGTTTTCCCAGTCCTGGAACAAAACATTCTGATTTTGTTCTGAGCATAAAACAAAATTAGGCTGTTCCAGTCTAATTTCTGAGTCATGATTAGCTTGAGGGTTTGTCTTTTTTTTCTTTTTTAAATATGCTTCCAGTTTGACACTGCAGGTATTAGTTCTGTCCTTAATGCTCTTGGCTAGGACTGATGGAGCAAGGAGGAAATGGCAGTTGTAAAAATCACATGTTTAGGCTCAGAGGAACCACTGCTAATAATAATGTTGAGGTTTCAAATTCTAAGTTATTCAAAATAAGCTTCTGTATCGAATGAAGGCAAATATACGTGTCCCAGGATAATGTTGCAAGATCCAATCTGGGTCGGTCACCGGGAGGAGAGATTTAGCCTTCCGAGCTTTTGGACTCAAATCTGGAGCCCATCCTCAGGGAACTTCTCTATCACCAGAACTTCTCTCTCACACGTTCTGGTGAGAGAGAAATTCCCTGAGGATGGGGCTCCGGCACACGTCCTAAAGCTCGGAAAGCTAAGCCTCTGCTCCTGGGGACCGGTGCAGATTGGATCCAGCTTTTTTATTATTGAGCTCTAGCACACACTTGAGAGCTCATGCTAAATGCAAAGAGTGTGTTGCTTTCAGTTTGCTGTTGCATTTTGGTTTGTTAAGCAATGTTGGCAAGTAGCCAAATGCCTTCATTTGTACTTTAAGGAGCCAGCACCAAAACTTAGCACCCAGACAAGGTTGTATTTTGCTGCTATTAGAATCTGCCTTCCTAAAACAAAGAAAAGAAGAGAAGACCTGTAAAACCAATTTCATTTGGAAATGGAAAATATTGCTAACATTTTTCTTTTTTTTTTCTTTTTCTTTTAGTGCTCATTCAGATGTTGCCTCCGGCTTAAGTGATTGCAATGAAAGTGTTTCAGCCTCTAGTGGTAGACATGAAGGGAGGACTACAAAGCGGCATTATCGTAAATCAGTACGCAGCCGTTCTCGACATGAGAAAACTACACGTCCCAAACTGAGAATTCTTAATGTGAGTTACCTGTTTGTGTAATAGTATTGTATTGATTAAAATATAGCACTAAGTAGTTTGGGATTACTCTGTCAAAGAAGCTGGTTCCTACCAAGATAAAAATCAAAAGTCGACTTTTTCCAAGGGGGTAGGCTGAGATTCAGATTTGTGCTATTAATATATTTTATGGCTTATTGTAAGATTTATGAATATATACAATTGCAGCAGTGCTGTTGATGTGACTGCTATCATTGTAAAATAATTAGCGAAAGCTAATTATTTGTCATTGTGTGGGTAGATTTTCTTTTAATTGTTGCCCAAATAATGTGTGCATGAAATGCTACTTCGTCTTGGCTCTTAAGCCTAAATCTCGTGTAGGCTTCTTGTTTTGTTAGAGCAGGGGTCCCCAACCCCCAGGCCGTGGACCAGCACCATGCCAGAAACTGGGCCACGCAAACAAGCAAAGCCCCATCCATGGGATGCAGGTAGTACATGAAACCACACCCCCTGCGATCCATGGACAAACCTTTCTCCACGGAACCAGTCCGTGATTGGGGACTTCTGTGTTAGAGTGTTCATTTTCTTTTCCTCAACTCACTTGAGTGTAGACTGATGGCTCTGCCTCTCTCTTACTTTATGAGCTAGGAAGAGGAATTGTGTCCCATCTAGACCACTATTGCATACCACTGATTAATACATACTGTGCTAGATAAATTAGCTCAGTATATCTATAGCTGATCATCTGTATTCATGTGCATTTTGAAAACCATTCTGTTTTTCCAGGTTTCAAATAAAGGTGATCGAGTTGTGGAATGTCAGCTAGAAACACACAACAGAAAAATGGTTACTTTCAAATTTGATTTGGATGGTGACAATCCAGAGGAAATCGCTTCTATAATGGTAAAACAGCTCATATGAGGACTTAGTTCACTGTTAGCAGCAGTAGTTTTAGTAACTTACCCTGTCAGTTCTCCAGCAGGATGGCTGTAGAGTCCAATGGATGGATGGGTTCTATGACGGCCTTCCTGCCTGGCAGACTGGGTAAAAACTTCGGCCACACCCCTTCCTCTGGGTGTGACCCCAGTTTTGACTCAGTCTCGAAGCCTGGTAGAAGTGCGAGAAGCAGCTCTCAGAACACAAAAAGGAATTTACCCCAAAAGAGAGAAAGGAATCCCTTCCTCCTTCCAATTTGAAAGAAAAGCTCTCTGGCAGCTGATAGGACTTAAAAGGCGCAGCCAGGATCAGCGGAGTTGTGAGTGGGGCGTCAGGGCGGCTAGCTGGGGAGGCTTGGAATGGGGCCGGATCGCTCGTCGATATCCGGCCCGCCGAGCAGCTGTTTGGCGCGGGGACCTCACACCGGGTTGTTCGTCGCCCTCCGGTCCGCCAAACAGCTGAGTGGCCGATTCGGCTTGGCCGACGGAACCGGGGCGCCGCTCAGCGCGAAACAGCTGAGCCGCGCGGGAAGCAGCAAATCCGCGGCGCCGCTCGGCATCGATCAGCTGAGCGGCGCGAAAAGCAGCCCTGACAAGAGCAAGCCCTAGCGCTGTTTTTCGTTCCCCTCAGAGGAGAGGCGCAGCCCCCTTAAGACCAAAGGAGTCTTCCTTACTGCTGAATTCAAAGACCCGCCATTGCTTGAACCTCGTGGCTTCCCGGGCTACCTTTGAGAGGCGTGGCTTCCTCACATTCGCCATTTTGAACGAGCGGATCTACCCGCCGTTTACCTTGGGGGTGGGGCTACCACCCGGACTCCATTCCCCTGCAGACAAAGAGGGGATCCTTTTTATGCAATGGTCTGAGGTTACCTCAAGAAATTGAGGCAAGAGGAAGGAAGAGGGAAAAGAAAGAGAACCGTTCCGATCGTGGTCTGCTGCCACAGACTGGGGGAGAGAGAGATATAAACTGCACTTTTGTCTGGACTAGGTGAGGAGGTGAGGAGGAATATTTTTCCCTGACTGTTCCTATAGTGACCTTTAGTCACTGCCTTGCAGGATCTTCTGTCCAAAGAATCCTGTCTGTCCGGCCATTGTTTGTATAGGCAGAAGAGGGCACAGCCCCAAGCATCTGCATCTGATCTGCGTACCTCATTCCCCCATTCCAGGCATTGCCTACTCGGGGTGTCTGGCACAATGGCAGACAATGTCTCGTATTCAGTCACACAGGTCCCTCAATTGTCCCCCCCACAGCAGCAACAAAAACGCAGATCTTCTGAATCAGAGGTGGGGGGGAAGAAGAAGGCTAAAACAAAGCACCTTACTCAGAAGGGACAGTCTAAAACGGCTGAGCGAGAGGCTTTGAGGAGACATTTGGCTTTAGAAAGACAAATTAGCAGGGCACAGAGAACCAATGCCAATGGGACAGATTTGGTTTCCCCTGTCCCAGTGGTGGCACCCAGCACAGAACCTACTGCCGAGGAAGTGCTCAAGACTTGGTCTCCTCCTGGGGAAACTGAACAGTTAGATTCCTCCAATCCCTCCTCACCAGATTCTTCACCCGACCACACTCCAGCGCCTCACCCCAGCGACAAAGCGCAGGAGAACATATGGTCGGCACAATTTCATGCATTCATGCAGGATGCATTCTCCCAGTTCATGGCTTCTAAGGGGCAAGTGGCCTTTCACACACCCCGTAAGGGACGAGCTAGGCCACCCCCTACCAACATCTCTGAGACTTCCTCTCAACTTGGAGAGGGTGACTCAGTAGACCTTGACATGTCAGACATGCCCCTCTCGGAGGATGAGGAGACCGCACCTGAGCAGGCGATGAGCTCTGGCCTCTTTAACCCAACGCTCCTAAAATCACTCCTGATAAAGGCAGTTTCCACGGTCAGTCTAACATCAGTACAGGATGAGAAGCCCTCCACAAGCAGGGAGGCCAATCCTCTATTTGCCAAAAAGGTTCCACAGGATAAGTACATTCCATGTCCGGAGGTCTTTATGACCACGCTGGAGGAACAATGGTCCTCACTTGCAAGCCCACCGGCACCTAATAGCGCGGAAAGAAAGCTTTTCAACCTATCTCCCTCCTTCTCGAACATGTTAGAGGTTCCTACTGTAGATAACCCCTTGATCTCATTATTTTCTACCTCCGCGATTCCAGGAGACATGGCGGAGGTCTTGAAACCTGAGGAGAAGAAATTTGAACACTCCCTCCGGCGTTCCCACATGGCTGCAGCCTGGGCGGCCAGAGCAGCCACTTCATCATCATTCTTCGCGAGGGCCTGTATCATGTGGCTGAGGGAACTGCAAGGCACGGTGCCTCCAGACCAGGTCAGAGTACACCAAACATTGGCCAAGCTCCTCGCGGCCTCTCAATTCGTGTCTGACGCTTCACTGTACGCAACAAAGTATGCGGCAAGATCCATTGCGGCCACAGTGGCCTCGCGTAGGCTACTGTGGCTCAAAAATTGGAAGACAGACCTGAGGTCCAAATGGCGTCTCTCGACGTCCAAATACAGTGGAGAAGCCCTATTTGGTTCCATTCTGGACCCACATGTCAGCGAAGGCAGAGACAAGAAAAAAATCCTAGTACATCCATCAAAGAAGTTAGACAGGAGAGGCAGTCAGGATTTCCGGAGACAGGGCTTCCGTCCAGGAAGCCCCTGGGAATGGAGACAGCCCTTTCGATCAGGGCAATCCTGGGACTGGCCCAGAGGCTCACGATCCTTCTACCCGAGACAGGATCGAACCCAGGATCGCCAAAGCCCGGGAGCCAGAGGCCAGTTCCAGTCCAGACGTCCATATAGGGGAGCGGGAGGCAGATCCTTTAAGCGTACCAAGTGACGCCAAACAGGACACTCCCATCGGGGGTCGGTTAGGAAATTTCATCGAGGTCTGGGAGCCGACCACCACCGACGCCTGGGTCCTGGAAACGATCAGGCATGGCCTGACCTTAGACTTTTGTTCTCCCCCACCAAACCGGTTCATCAGATGCCCCATCTCCAGAAAGGTACACAAGACGAGGCTGATAACTTCGGCCATAGCTCACCTCCTGTCAATTCAAGCCATAGAGAGGGTACCAAAGGAAGAGGAGGGAAGAGGATTTTATTCTATCCTCTTCGTTATCCCAAAGACATCAGGAGGGTGGAGAGCAATATTGGACCTGAAGGGCCTGAATTATTTCATAAAGTACAGGAGGTTCAAGATGCACTCCTTGAAATCCATCCTAGCCAGCGTCAGGGAAGACGATCTATTATCCTCAATAGATCTCACAGAGGCGTACCTACACATTCCCAGCCACCGGAAATTCCTCAGATTTACCTACGCGGGCCGGCATTACCAATACAGGGCCTTACCCTTCGGACTATCCTCAGCACCAAGGGTATTTACCAAGATCCTAGCTGTAATAGCGGCCCATCTCAGGTTGATGCCGGTTCGCGTACAGTTTTATCTGGACGACATCTTGATTCAGTCCAGATCTCAGGAACAAGCAAGGGCAGATCTCCAGACCACAATCCAAACCCTACAGGGGCATGGATTCTCAGTCAATTTAAACAAGAGCCACCTCATCCCCTCAAGGAGACTGCAACACCTAGGTGCGGTGATAGACACGTCACAGTGCAGGGTATACCTTTCCCAGGAGCGACTGATCAGCATATCCAAGCTAATTCACCAAATTCAAAAGATCAGGAGAGTGCCCTTGATACAGCTCTCGAAACTCCTGGGAAAGATGATATCTTGCATGGGCATCATCCCATGGGCAAGGCTCCACTCGAGGGAGTTGCAGTGGTTCCTCCTACCCTACCAGAGGAGGAACCTCAGCACTTCCAACAGGAGAGTGCTGGTACCAGCACAGGTGATGAGATCACTAAAATGGTGGCTATCCCCCACGACACTCAAGGGGAGCATATTCAGGGAACCGAACAGGGTCACACTCACGACAGACGCGAGCCTGTTCGGATGGGGAGCGCACCTGGGAACCCAGATAACACAGGGCCAGTGGGGACAGAAGGACCTGTCACACAGCATCAACTGGCTAGAGCTCCGGGCCATCCACCTGGCCCTTCGTCATTTCTCACACCTAGTAACAAGGAGGCACGTCCTCGTACTAACAGACAACGTAGCAGCCAAGGCACATGTAAACAAGGAGGGAGGAACGCGATCAGCGGAACTAATGAAGGAGGCATTGGCTCTGGCTCGGTGGGCAGAAACCAATGTGAGCTCCATCAGAGCGGAACACATCTCAGGGGAGACAAATACCCAGGCAGACTCCCTGAGCAGAGCCAGGGTGGACCAGTCGGAATGGCGTCTGGATCCGGCTCTGTTCGAGGAGATCTCCTGGAGATTCGGACAACCACATCTAGATCTATTTGCCAATCACAAGAACACACAACTCCCCAGGTTCTTCTCCAGATTCCCGTCCCCGGGATCGGAGGGAACGGATGCTCTCAGGTGTCGGTGGCCGGCGCAACTCCTGTACGCCTTTCCACCGCTGCCCTTAATACCGGCGACCATACACAAGCTGATTCTGGAAGGCGCAGAGATAGTCTGCATTGCCCCTCACTGGCCACGGCGCCCGTGGTTTGCCGACCTCGTAGACCTCTCGATATCACCTCCATGGAGGATCCCCCCCGGACAGGGTAAAACTCAGTCAGGGCAAGCTTGTGCATCCAGAACCCCAGTGGCTACAACTAGCCGCTTGGCATTTGAGCGGCAAAGCTTAACCAAACAATCTTATTCGGCAGGGGTGATATCGATCATACAGGCATCACGAAGAGCGTCCACTAACAGGATTTACGACGCTACATGGAAGGGGTTTTGTAGGTGGTGCACTTCTCTTCGCCTAGACCCGACTGCAGTATCTATCCCTAATATCCTAGATTACCTATTGGAGGGTCTTAATAAGGGCCTATCAGTCAACACTATCCGCAGACAGATATCGGCCCTCTCAACTGTACTCTCCTGCGACAACTTAACCTCCCTAGCGCAACATCCAGCGGTTAATGCCTTTTTAAAAGGGGCAACTAACACAAAACCCCCGTCATACACAGGTACCCGTCTTGGAACCTGCCTAAGGTCCTTCTAGCCTTGACATCAGCACCCTTTGAACCTCTTGAATCATGCTCCCTCCATCACCTATCACTGAAGGTAGCTTTCCTTGTGGCAATTACTTCAGCAAGGAGAATCTCAGAACTAGCAGCACTGTCAGTAAGGAAGGATCTGTGTACCTTCTTCAAAGACAGGGTCGTTCTTAGACCAGACCCGGCCTTCATTCCGAAGGTAAATAGCATCTTTCACAGATCTCAGGAACTGACACTTCCTGATTTCTGTCCAAGACCCAAACATAGGCTAGAACACAGATGGCACAAGCTGGACGTGCGGAGAGCGCTGTGTTTCTACGTGAAACGCACCTCGGCTTTCCGAAAGATGAAGCATTATTTGTGTCCTTTCAACCATCAACTATGGGAAAGAAGGTGTCTTCTTCCACCATAGGCAGGTGGATCAGAGCCTGCATAGCGCAAGCCTACGTATCGCAGGATTTGCCAGCACCCACTCATGTGACTGCCCACTCAACTCGGAGCGCAGCCACATCTGCGGCGTGGCTAACGCAAGCACCGGTAGAAGAGATTTGCAAGGCCGCAACCTGGTCTTCACCTTCGGTTTTCATTCGGCATTACCGTTTAGACTCCCTAGCAGCAGCAGACGCGGCTTTTGGCAGAAGAGTTCTTCAACAAGTCGTATCTGCTCAGAGTTCGGTAGCCTAGACATTCCCTCCCAGGGGGACATGAGGGCTTTGGTATGTCCCATCCATTGGACTCTACAGCCATCCTGCTGGAGAAGGGGCGTTGTCTTACCTGAACGCCTTTTCTCAGCAGGATGATGTAGAGTCCAAGCCCACCCAGGGGTTAGGTCTAGGCAGGGATATAATAAATATATAATAAAGAGCTGCAATGTTAATTCCAACAAAGTTTCTCGCCTAAGTCAAAACTGGGGTCACACCCAGAGGAAGGGGTGTGGCCGAAGTTTTTACCCAGTCTGCCAGGCAGGAAGGCCGTCATAGAACCCATCCATCCATTGGACTCTACATCATCCTGCTGAGAAAAGGCGTTCAGGTAAGACAACGCCCCATTTCTGTCTCCAAAATTTTAATTTTGGTACATTTCCTCCTAAAATCTGTACTGCCGAGTCTATTGCAGTTTCTACCTTCTACTGAACATTCAGCATTTTTTTATATGAAAATGGTTAAATCAAAATTTGGACAGCAGAAATTATTGCCTTTTTCTTCTAAGCCAGGGGTGTCAAACTCGCAACGTCATGTGACATGGCGCGATGTATCGTGACTTTTCCCCCATTGCCGGCAATGGGGTGGGCGTGGTTTCACTGCGGGCCGGCAGTTTGACACCCCTATTCTAAGCTATCATTTATTTGGCAAACAGCTGCTTTAAACAGCCACTGTTTGAAATTCTGAAATCAGGTGGTTACTGAGTAGCTTTACATTTGGTGACAGGTTTTTCCCCATTACTAGTGTGTGTTTGAGAAAAGGTATAGCAACTTTTATAATAAATGTTTAATATGTTTATGTTGCTTTTCCTTTTTTTTTACTTGTTAATCCTTAAAGGAGAAGAAATTACCATAGTGATTTATAATAAGCAATGAAAAGTGACAAATGAGGATCTCTATGCCAAATATTGACATATCTGGCTCTAGGGCTGCCACTGAGCTGAAAAAATCCATGTGGTCACAAATGGCTAGCAAACTGAGTTGCCAACTCAGATACTAGTTGTCTAGATATTTACTGTCCGGCGTAGTAGTTCTGTTAATACCCAATTCAACTAGTATTTGTACATTTGAAAATCACTTGCCTTTTTTTGTCTAGAAGATAGATGAAGAATGGGTGTTTCCTAGAATGCTGTGTAGTGCATCTTTCACAGGTTTTCAAGGAAAGTGTTGCTATTTGCTCCAAAGGATCATCTTGTAGCAATTCTGTAATTACTGTAATTCCAATTTTATATACAGGTGCAAAATGAATTCATATTAGCAATAGAGAGAGATTCATTTGTTGAGCAGGTTCGAGATATTATAGAAAAGGCAGATGAGATGCTCAATGAAGATCCCAGTATGGAGGCAGAAGGCGATCAAAGTATGGATGGTATTCAGAACCAGGTATGGGTTGATTTTGATGTCCTAGCATTTATCTTAAATTGTTTCTTTTCTATTTATTCTTTTTGTTTTTGAACAAAAATTTGAACAAAAACATTGAACTATCATGTGAATAATTATGAGTCTTTTTTCTTCTCTCTCAGCAGCACGGTCCTTTTTGTATCCCTTTATTGTAGGTTTTATTTCCTTTCCTCCCTTAAGTTTCTTTGCTTAGTTTCTACAGGCAGGAATGTGGGCATAGGTACACTTGGTGGCAAGTAGCCTCTAGCTTAGAAATGTGTAGACTTCAACTCTCAGAATTTGCCTCTAGCATGCAGTCCATACATTTTAAATTTCTGAGAGTGAGAAACCCTGACTTAAGAAAACATAACACAGAAAGGGGAAAGTATGAGGAAGAAAGAAGGACTACATTTTAGTCCAGCTTTAAGTTAAATAATGTGTCTTAAAGTGCCCATCTCTAAGTAATTAAAGAGATATGTGATGGAGCCTTATCAGTCTTTTTAGCAAAGATGATAGAGTGCCTCTCCATTCACCTCATTTTCTATTGCTCCAATCTTCTGAATGGCCATTTCCTCTTATTTACTGTCCGTGCTGAAAAATGAAAAGTAGCTAGGGCAGGGGCTCCCAACTGGAGGTGCTCACACCCTCTGAGGTTGTGTGATGATATTCCAGGGGGTGCAAAAACTTGGGTTTTCAAAATTATAAGTGTAAATCAGGAGTAGGCAACCTTGGCTCTTTTATGACTCGTGGACCAGCTGGCTCAGGAATTCTGGGAGTTGAAGTCCACGAGTCATAAAAGAACCAAGGTTGCCTACCCCTGGTGTAGATGCATAATTCGTTGCTGTTATTTCAAACTTTTGTAAGGGGTGCGAGAATATATCAGAAGCGTTCTAGGGGCGTGGGGTATAGAAAAGGTTGGGAGCCACTGGCCTAGGGAGATTGCCAGTGAGGAAACTAAAGTTGCTTTGAAAATTGAAACATTTGAGAAATGTTTTTCTCACGTCAAACTTTTAATGATTAGGTGATTTTGGTAATGGTTTAAATTAATAATTTTCACCTGCACTAGAGTTGTCCAGCAAGCTGAGTGGTATATAGATTTAATAAATAAATCTAAAGATAGAATTTTTGTAGATTTAGCAACACTTAAAAGCAAGATACCAAAATATCAAATTAATTAATTAAAATATTTACAATTGAACCTATGCATATTTCAGTGAGCAAACTTTATATTCCGGGGCAACATATATTATGAGTATCTGGAATATGGAGTCGGTTTAGTGTAATTTGTTGGACTGTAAATTTTAGTTCTTCCTTAAGAATGAAGGCCAGTTGTCTTTGGGCCAGTCATTTTCTTTCAGCCCACTCACTTCACATGCTGTTCTAGGGAAAAATGGGAGGTAGAAGGATTATGTATACCATCTTGAGTTAAACAGAGAAAGGTGAGATAGAAATCAAATACACACACAGAGAGAGAGACAGAGACAGAGACAGAGACTTAGCCTAACTAATTAATTGTTATGGCTATAATTCTGATATTTTCCTTTGTTACAGAAATTGGATGGAGACTTCAAACAACCAGATCCTGTTTCTTCCATGCCGCAAAGAGTAGGCAAGTACCACTAAATTCTGCTATGATTTGGCATTGGTGATTTTGATCTTGGATACTTTAAGATTTCAACCACCTATTCCATTATGGGTAATCCTTGCTTACTTCCCACTCATTCAGCAACTGTTTCAGGATGCAATGAGTGGTACTTACAAACAGTCCTCAAAGTTTCAGCTGTTCCACCACATGGTCAACAATTTGCAACTTTCCCTGCCAGCTTCCCACAATCAAAACCAATGGGAAGGTGGTAAGGAATGTCACTATGTCATGCTGGTAAGCTCCCCTGGACTCTCTGTGGTCACGTGGCACCACACCCTGTTTCTCCTGGCTCCCTAGACTGTGTATGGACTGCATCAGGCCTCCCCCCCCAATACTCCCTCATAGCACCCCTATGTTACTTCCTTAGTACCTCCTGCTTAATGACCCACATGTCACGGGGTTACAGTGACAATTAGGACTGCCAAGATTGTCATCACTTAGTGGTGCAGTCATATGATGTCATGTTTTATGACTGTATCACTTAGCAGTGACAGTCTTGCTTCCAATTTGTCATCGTACATGAGGACTACCTGTAGTAGAATGTATGAACTTTGCACTGAGTTAGAAATTGGATTGCATGTAATTGCACATCTATAACCAATTTCTTCTTGTTATTTTAGGTGTACCTCCTAATTCATTTACTCAGGTAGTCCATTCTGCTGGAAGAAGATTTATTGTCAGTCCTGTACCAGAAAGTAGATTGCGAGAACAGAAATTTTTCACTTCCATTCCATCAGAATATGAGCTTTTTGATTCAGGTAAATTAAACAGCATTCCTATACAAAATGTTAGTTCATATTGCTTTCAGATATAGGCTTGGTTTAGTTGGACTTGTTTTAATTAAAAATGGTGTAAATTACCCTGACCTAAAACATCCACCTTTCACCAGATATACATATCTAAAGTTTGAGAGCATCTTCAAAGGTTCTCTTTGTATGACTATTGACATGTGACATGCTCTTTTTATCTGTATTGGGCTTTTAATGTTTCTTGTCTAAACTAACCCAAACAATTGTGTTTATCTGTGTATCACATGAAATCTTAAAATTAAAAACAATCAAAATGAAATCATAGGAACGATTTAAAGTATTGAATATTTCGTGAGATTTCAGCTGTTTTCCAAGTCTTTAAAAAAATGGGCCAATCAGTAATACTATTTAGTGGTTTTGTTAGTGTCACATGCTCCTTCTTTAGGCTACATTCACTTTCTGTGTCTACACACACACACGTTCTGTATTGAATTTAGAATTTGATTTATGTTGTAAGCTATTGTACTGTTTTGTTAGGAAGATGATACAGGTGGTCCTTGGTTAATGACTACTTGTTCAGTGACTATTTGAATTTATGAGTGATCTTTGAAGTTCCATCTGTGGCAGTGCCTCCATGGTCAGCAACCGACTTAGTTTTTCAAGCATTGCAGTGCCTGTGTCACATGATCATAATTTTTGACCTTCCCTGCTGGCTTCTCACAAGTTGACTTGTGTCTTTTTCTTTCAGTTGCTGCTTCCACATCTCATGGTCCTGGGATGAATCTTTCACATTCTGCATCATCACTCAGTCTGCAGCAAGCTTTCTCAGATCTCAAGCATATGCAACACACTGAAGGACCTAGCACAGCTCCCCCAGTTTTCCACCAAGCTATGCCTCCTTTTCCTACTGTAGCTTCAGGTGTCAATGGGCTGCCATCTACAGGTGTAACTGCTTCTTCTGCATCACTTCCTCCCTCCACTAGTATTTCTTTATCAGCAATTCAGTCCACACAAAAGGCAACCATAGGGATTCCAGCAAGTGAAGAATTGTCAGTCCCAAGCTCTCCACCACCAGTGTTGCCTGGGTCACAATTAAACAGTGGAGTAGCTTTGAGTGTCAGCACACCTTCATTTTCGTCAACAACTGTAGTCCAGGCAGCTTCTGCTACTGGAGAAATTGTTACTAGTATTAGCACACCTGCTTCTCTGACGTTGCCACAAGCTGGAACAACAGGGCCTAGTGTTACAGTATCAGGTGTTATGGCGCCATCAGTGCCACCCCAGCAAGTTGGTAGTGCTGTTTCAACAACTTCTCAAACAATTCCTGTGTCTATGGCACAGAGCATTGTTTCACAGTCTTCTCAGTTGAACACCAGCACGTCTGTTCCCAGCCTAGCAAAAATGGTAGTGATTAGTGTGCTGCAGCCAAGATCAGAAAGCGAACAGGCATCAGAAAATCCACAGCTGTGCCATACAGGTGAAGTACCTGTGCATGTTTCTGTACCAATACTCTCTACAGGAGCCCCATGTACGTCTAGCAGCAGCTCCCAGCAATCTGTGGTACAGCCATTACCCGTCCCACCTATAGTTACCTCATCTAGTTTTGCAACATCGTTGGGTGCAGTCTCTACCCCAATATTACCCCAGGTCCCTTTGCCTGGTGGCGTACCACTGGCACAGCCAGTAGCTAATATACCTGTTGTCCAGCAGACTTTAATACATAGTCAGCCTCAACCAGCTCCATTACCCAATCAGCCTCATGCTCATTGTCTAGAAGGGGATATTGACACCCAGCCCAAAGCACCTGGCATAGATGACATAAAAACCCTGGAGGAAAAACTACGATCCCTCTTCAGTGAACATGGTGGAATTGGAACAGCTCACCCCTCTGTGTCCCTGGAAACATCTTTAGCAATGGAGACCACAGCCATTCCTGGCTTGCCAAGTACGACTATTGCACCCACAAAGCCTGTGGCGTCCATTGCAAGTACCAGTATGCCACCAGCAAGTTTGGTGCTTGGTCCAACAGGTCTTCCTGTCATGACACCGGTTGTCACTCCAGGACAAGCAGGCACCCCAGTTAGTTCTGTCTCAGTGACGTGCTGTCCTGCAACAGCAACAACTAAACCAGGGACACCTCCTTCAAAACCACCTCTTAGCAGGGCATCGGTGAGGAATCCAGTATTTTTATCAAAGCATTTTAAATCATGTTAAATGAGAAGCTTGCTAAATATTTATCCGTGCTTTCCTTGTTCAACCTGCATAGGTTTCTTAGCATTCATTCATCTGTTTTAGCTCTTTGCATCTAGTTGTGTGCTTTATAAATATTAGTGTTTTCTGTACTTCTGCTTAGAAAAGCAAAGCAAAAAGGGAATAATAGATATAAAAAGTTATGAGTGAGGTGGAAGGCGGTGGCTGGAGAAAAATTTTACCTATTTATCATAATAAAATGTTGGCTCGCTCAATGAAATGGAATGGTAAGGAATTTGATTGGATAAAACATATTTAACAATATCACGCATAACTAAATTATATAATTTACCACAAAATGCTTTGATAGCCACCAACCTGGATGGCTTTAAATCTGATAAATTTATGGAGGGTTAAGGCTACGGTGACTAAATACCATCATAGCTGTGTATTTTGTAAAGTTACATATCTGCGTCCTCAGCTAATCTAGTCTAGTGGTAAAGGCACCAGGCTAGAAATCAGGAGACTGTGAGTTTTAGTCTTAGATATGAAAGCCAGCTGGGTGGCTTTGGACCAGTCAGTCTCTCAGCCCAACTGACTCACAGGGTTGTTGTTGTGTGGGAAATAGGAGGAAGAAGTGTTAAAGTGTGTTCACCACCATGAGTTATTTATTAAAATAATAAAGGTGGAATAAAAATAAATAAAATCTATGTGTGTCCCACAGTCATGTGATCATGATTTGTGGCTTTCCCTTGCTTCTGACAAACAAAGTCAATGGATAGCTAGAAGAAAGTTGCAAGTTGGGGGTCACTTGAGGTTCTTGATTAATGATCTACATGGTTTTCTCCTAATGATGCCAGACTGCCAGAACTGCTATTGCTGACCAATGGGGTCACAGGGTTTTTCTACTTAAAACTACATTGCTTAGTGACAGAGTTTCCGGTCTCAGCATTGTTAAGCCAGGACTACTTGTACACTGTACTATAGTTATAAATCCTTTGAGTGCTCGGTCATCTGTAGATTCATGTGACCCTTTCCCTGCTAAGTGGCACATTTATCTATAATGTCCTGAAACTGAGTAATTACCAAGAAATTGAATGCAACAGGATGGAGTCTATGTCAGGTTTCAGTAATCAAGGAAGACATATTAAGATTCTTCTGAGCAATTTTCTTTGTTGTTCCTTACCTATAGAAAGAAATCTTGTCAAACTAATGCACTTCCTCCCTCTTCCCTTCCATCTCAGTTTATCTTTGAAGGGTAGCTTTCTGCCAAAAAAAAACTCAGCTAGAGAATGTTTCAGAATATTGGTTTGTGTAGGAACATACATCATTCGTGTGAATTCCCAGATCACCACTTTAAGGTCTTCAATCAAAGCTGAATAATATGCTGTCTTAAATATTAATTGGGAGAAATTATGAACCACATTTCTTTGCCAAATTAAAGAGAACATCGATGCTGTTGAACACAGGGAAAACTAACAGGTTACTGGAGTTTGGAAAAACTCAGATGGAGACTGAGTTTATTTTTAAGATTTCTGGAAGAAAACAAATGAAGACCAAATTAACTCATTCCGGCCATATTGGTTTATATGAATCACTAATCGTAATTATAGATATAGAAGGTAATAAACAGATAGATGCACAGTAATCATCTTTTTTTACAAAGATACTAACATGATAACCTTTGTGTTTTCTTACGTAGAGTTAAACAATCCCCTCAAACTATCATATATAAAGATATATTGCAACAACTTCTAATGTTCTTCCTTTTTTTTAAAAAAAAAAGGTTTATAATGAAGTTTAATTCCAGACTAAATTTTATACAGCTACCCATTTTTGATGGAGGAGTGGAGATGTTCAAAACTCTGCATTCCATTCTTTAGACTCACTGCTATTTTGTATAATGGAAATATCCAGAATTTTCCTGTTAGGCTGATATGCCTCATTTTGGTGCATCTGTTTTAACAATTGTTGGTAATGTAACATTTCCACTCTTGAATTTGCATGCTCCAGTATCTTTTAATAAAACAACCAATTTTACAGTTTCCTTCAGCATATTTGATAACATTTTCCTTCATTTGCATGGTAGCTAGGCCAATCTCATGAACAATTCAAATAAGTATAACCTTCGGCTGTAACTTGACTCTAGCTTGTCTTGCTGTGAGTGAATTTGTTTTTGAATTAAGCACATGACAATTACCCGTGTTTCCCCAAAAATAAAGCAGGGTCTTATATTAATTTTTGCTTCAAAAGACGCATTAGGGCTTATTTTCCAGTTAGGTTTTACGGGACTAAATGTGTCCGTCTGGCTGATGATCTTAACTGGGGCTTATTTTGGGGGCAGGGCTTATATTACAAGCATCCTGAAAAAATAATGCTAGGGTTTATTTTCCGGCTAGGTCTTATTTTCATGGAAACAAGAGTATGTCTGTCTAAACAATACATGTTCAAACTCTGTGTAAGATACAGAAGGGGTTTAAAATATTAACTATTCCCTTAGTGCTTTTTATCAAAATACTAGTGATGTGCATTAACCATTTTGGTTTGGACTTATTTTGTCACGTTGAAAATTTGTTCAAATTAGCTTGGATTAGAGTTTACCCAAGGTCTCTAATAAGATGTTTGCCTTTCACTTATGAGCTTGGGAGAACTAAAAATGGATAAGGCTATTCTTATTTTTTTAACAGAATGGGGGAAAAAGTTCCAGGCAAAACAAATACCTTTAAAATGATAGAAATTGCCCAGTTTTAGACAAAAAGCTATAACTTTTTTTTAAAGAGAAGTGCCAGTTTGGTATTTAGACAGAACTAAACTATGTTTTCATGAAATATATTCTGCCCAATATATATCAGATTGTCATCTCTCCCCCCCCCCAAAAAAAAGAAATGCACATTCCACTGATTATGATCAAACCTTGGGGTCTGAAAATGGTTAGTTTCTTTGTTGAAGTTTTGCTTTTTTGTGTATTACTGATATAAAGAATTTCAGCAATTAATCATAACTGAAGCTGATGGTCTTTTAACTATTGGAGGCTCTAGAACAGTGTTTCCCAAACTTGACAATTTTAAGGCATGTGGACTTCAACTCCCAGAATTCCACAGCCAGCGTGGAATGGCTGTGGAATTCTGGGAGTTGAAGTCCTCATGCCTTAAAATTGTCAAGTTTGGGAAACACTACTCTAGAACAAAATACTTCTGTTTCATGTGAAGTTCAATTTTTGCTTCAATCACTAAACTTTAATTTCATGTCTATCCATAGGCATTACCAGTAGGTTCTGAACTTCCAACTGGTGCTCTATCCAGTGAGCAGCTGCCACCCTTTCCGGGACCTACACTAACTCAGGTGCTCTATGGCTATCTGCTTCTCCTTTTTTTTTTTCTTTCAATGAGCATGCTTCAGTTAAACTCTATTGCATGATAGTTCTTCCTACACCCTTTTTTAACTGGGCAACTTTTTCTTGCATAATCTCACTTAATAATAGAGAGACTTCTTATTTGAAGGTATTTTTATTTTCAGTCCCTTTCCCTCCCAATACAAAATAGCTGTTGAACTTTTCTATTAACTGATGTAAAGATATTAAGCTTTTTTTGATATCAGTGCATAGTTCCTTTTAAATGTGTTCCAAAGTTTGACATGTAATTAGTTTGTTAGAGGTATTTTTTTCTTTAAAATAATGGTACATCCAGTGAATAAAGTCCTAGTGCTTCATGTTCAGTTGGTAATGGGGACCACTTTAGGAAACAGATGAAAAATACAGTGTGTTGTTTTTGATAAATAGTCAGCCAGAAATCTTTGGGCACTTATAAGCAATGTTTTTATAGGAAATACTATTTTCAGTGTTTGCTGATCAGTGTATAATGATATGAGCCTTTTCAATTCTGTGGATCTTGATTATAGGAATTGGAAAGTTCATAGATGTGTCCACATAGTTATCCTGACAGGATACAGAAATGGTTTATCATTGCTTTCTTATTCTTTTTTATTTCCCTGTGTAATCTACAGCCCTTGTCTCCCATCCAAGAACTAACCAATCCTAACTCCACTTAGATTTGGAAGCCCAAACAAGGTTGAACATGCACTTCCATCTGCTGAAAACTGTTGTAGATACCGTATCTATATTAACTAATGCTGGAGAATACTATGTGAATATATCATTTTAGAGCTAGTGTGTCTAATATATTGGGCAAGAACTAGAGAGGGGTAAAGTTCACATTCAATAATAGAGACCAACTGAGTGGCTTTGGGCCAGCCACTTTCTGGATGCAGCCTACTTCATGGGGTTGCTGTTGTCTGACAGAAATAAGGACAATCTCTGTGGAAGTGGCTTCAGCATTTAGAAGAAAGGCAAGAGTATCTCTCTCTCTCTCTCTCTCTCTCTCTCTCTCTCTCTCTCACACACACACACACACACACACACACACACACACACACACAAATATAAAAAGCAATGTCATATATGATTATATTTTTATTGCAAGATATCTTTTTTAAAAACATCAGGGCATGTAGTCTCTTGAATTGGAAACACTGTCGTTGTGATTAAGATGTGCAATATTTGTTAAGTTAATTTTAATGCTTTGCTGCTTCATGCTAAACCAAATATATGTAATGGTTAAATCAAATCTTAAACCTATGCTGAATTTATGAGAATCGGCATTACTAAAGTCTTGCATGGGATTCTCCAAATAACTAAACCGCTAAACTCTGAATTACACAGTTTATATTTTATATTGTGTCTTTACCTAGTGTCTGTTTTTTAAAAATATTTTCAATACTATTCGTTCATAACACAATGCTAGAAGGGTTACAAAACATACAGTTGGATATGCTGGAAATCTATATGTAAACTTGATCTTGCAAATACAATAAAATATAACTTAAAAATATTAATTTGCTAATCAGACATAGTATTCTACATGGTAGTAAATGCTACCTGGATTTTGAAATTCTATCTATGCACAGTAAGGATAGAACTCTAAACAATTTGACTTAATTCTTTCTTAATAGGCCTTTGAAGGATTGAGCCCCAAGAATCAATTAAATCATTAATGTGTTTTTCAATGTGTGAAGGAAATAGATGGCATTGGTGAATTACTCTTTTTTCGATTATTGTGCTAGCAAGAATTGATACATGCACACGGGTTACCAATTTACCATTAACTACTTAATGTAACAAGCATGGGTCAAGTAGATGTGATTGTGATTTTACTTGTGCGTTTGTCACTGTGCAGATAACTTATATTTAACCCATATTTATTATGCAAAAACAAAGTTGTTGAGAAATTTCCCAATGGCAGTATGAAAAATACAAAGGAGTGGATAGGCATATTTATATCAGCTCAGAAAAAAAGAGGATCCATGAGGTTTGTATCTTGACAATCACAAGAATGTCTCAGTAGAATTGTTAGTATATACTTGTATTCTTTTTTTAATGTTGCAGTATACTTTCAGATGTTTCAAGTAAGATTGCCATGGGCAAATTGAATGTATATAAAGTTAGAGACTTCATAAAGGCCAATCTTTATATGCCAAATGCCTTGAATATGTTTGACCATAAAACTATAGTTTTGTATATATAAAGCTATGACTGCTCAGATATTTGTTGCATATTAAAAGATGCCATGTGCGTTAGGATGCTTTAGGAAACAAAGTCTAACTGATCTTCCTTCTTCTAGTCCCAACAACCTCTGGAAGATCTGGATGCCCAGTTGAGAAGAACCCTGAGTCCAGAGATGGTTACAACAACTGCATGTGTACGTTTCGACTAAAAATAACTTGAAAATATTCATTTGCTTATGAGCTGATTGCAATTCTTCAGAAAATTTTAAGAGTGCTAATCAGATTTGCTGGCTCTGTTTTGTTTGTTTCATACTCTAGAACTGCCCACAAGCCAATATGCCCAGCCTTTTGCAGCACCATTGAATTGCTCAGTATTTTTAGACTTGTTTTTTCCCCAAGGTTGGATTTTTTTTTTTCCTTCCAGTGTTGGGGATGAAAATTTTAAATGGTAAAATGTTTGCTTTAAGTGTTGCAAAAATTTAATGAAGCACTTTACAAATTCCAACTCTCCTCCATCAAAGTAAGTTGATTCTTTCCATGGGATATTTATCTCTGTACTTTCGTGGTTTGCTACACATTCCCAAAGACAAATGATGGGGATAATAGGACTCTTAAAGTCTGCTAGGCTTAAGGCACATATTTTCCATTTAATCATCCCCCATTCTGAAGCAAAAAAATGAGAAAATTTTATTGCCACTATTCCCCTTCTGATCATCACCAAGCAGGGCAGAAACAGTGGTGGATCTTTGAGGGTTTATTTTGGGTGGTTGAACCAACATGAGGTTTGCTTTTGTAGCTAATGAACACATGTAGAATGTTGAGTACATGTTTTGGTTTCTTAATGAAAGGACTGCTTTGAAATTGGTGTCACGTTGGGTATGGATGGTTATAAGATAACCATTTATAAGATGCAGACTAACAAAAAAAATTCCCACCATTTTCTTAGAATCGCAAATTGTATTGACGTATACAGGATTTTCCTTTTTCCGATAAGAAATACAGTTTCTGCCAAAGCACTGGTTACCGTTTTATTTTCTAAGGAAGCTTATATAAAATCCAAGCCAGTCTTGGAAACAAAAAGTTGCAAAGTGCTTGAGTTTTGCTTTAGAGCATATGGTAGTTTTCAGTTGTTGTTCATCTCTAATTTTAAAAATTAAAGTCAGAGGTAAGTGGAGCCTAGTCGACATCAAGAGAGGTGCCCTCAAACATCATCTTAACTTGCCTCATATCATAACTGTAGTCTAAAATGATGCAGTCCAATGCCTGTTCAGAATTCTTTCCCTGCAACAAATATGAGGGGTATGTGGGTTTTTTTTTTTACAATAACACCAACATTCTGGAACATTCAGTATGGAAATTAGCTGAACTAGTTCCTAGTGGTATCAGTCTGCTACAGTGGATATTCATAAGTGCTTTGCTTTTGTATCTGCATCTTAAGAAAAATGATGGGACATTCAAATGATGACATATTGATGATTGTCCCAACCTACAAAAGAATAAAAAGAACAAATTAATTTTTTGCTGTGTTTTCATAGTCTGTACCACCTGTGGCAACTTCAGCAGTTACTGGAATGGTGTCTACATCAGAACAACCCACAGATTCTGGTAAGGGTCTCTGTTTATAACAATTTCTGGAAACTAGAAAGCGGGCTTCTGATATTGCCAAAACAATGTTTTATTTAGAATTGCTTTGTAATACGGTTAAAAGACTTTGTAACATTATAATTTCAAAAACATTTGCTTTTAGAATTTGATGACACCATAAATGAACACAAAGTTATCTAGCTATTTAAAATGCTTGAGTGATATAGACAGAAAAAAGTGCATATATGTATAGCTAAAATGGCTGCATTGGTGCATTATTTTTCAGTTTAATGTGATTTTGTGGTTAGCAGGGTTTTTTCTTTGTTTTAATTATGTGTTTGGATTCAGTTTTGAAAAAATGTTTTGAAGGTCAAGGGATCCTAAATGCAGTAGCTGACAGAAATGCATGAAAGCAGCTGCAGAATCTTGAAAAGAGAGCTGCCTGTTTTAATAAATGACTCTTAAATGCTGCTTTCATGTTCCATGTGCTTCAAAATAACTTTTTGGAATTGAATCCAAGGGATTATTTGTCCTAATATTTCCATAATATGCTAAAACAGGGGTTCTCAGACTCTGGAGTAGCCTCTTCCTCTTTATGGAGATAGTGTTTGGTGCTTACTTGTGTCCAGTAGCCCCTTTGGGTTAATTTAGGCCAGTAGGACAGATAGTAGTTACTCCCATGTAGGGAAACATGCCAACACCATGTCAGCCTGACAGCCAGGCCCAGCCCCTAACCTGTAATGGGGGCCATGAAGTACAAGGCACAAGGCAATTCTACGCTGACTGTCTCTCCGGGTCCGAATAGAAATAGTAAATATTTTAGAAGCTGTCACGGGCATCCCTAGACCCTTTCAGCTGACATATGGCAGGGATTAGCACTTGGCATCCGCTCTCCAGGGTCCTTGGCCCAGTTTCATCCATCTCATAAGGCAGTGTTTCCCAAACTTGACAATTTTAAGGCATGTGGACTTCAACTCCCAGAATTCCACAGCCAGCAATGCTGGCTGTGGAATTCTGGGAGTTGAAGTCCACATGCCTTAAAATTGTCAAGTTTGGGAAACACTGTCATAAGGTACCGTAGGGAAAATTAATTAGCTTGAAACCCAGACCTGCACTTGGGGATAAGGTGGGCTTGAGGAGAGAGAGAAGTAACATCAGAAAGGGAAGAAGCCAATATATCATTAGGGCTCCATATCTGGGCATAGCTCCTGACTAATACGTTACGGTAGACAAGGAGAAGTCCTAGCAGGAGAGGCTCCAAGTTTCTTTGCTTTGGCCTTTCAGCGGAATATGGCTAGTAGGGAGCCCACCAGCATCTCACTTTTGTTCCAGCTGCCTCGGAAACAATAACATTCATGTCCCTTTTGAATTAGAAAGAACAACCCCCTACAATTCCAGGTTCACCGGGGTTTGCCCTGAAATGCTGCCATCATTGCTGTTTCCATTCTCTGCCCCTTCCTAAAGCAGCCATTCTCTCATATTTGTGCCTGATGCCTGGGAATTTAGGGTAGCCCCTGAAGTGACTCAGCTACCTAGCATCCCTCCTCCTCCTCCTCCAGCTGGGGTGAGCAGAGCAGAGCCAATGGGAAGGAGTATAAAGACAGCAAACAGCTGTCAGGGAAGGAGAGGCTGGATGAGGTGACATGGGAGTGGTGGCTACTGTTGCTGATAGGCAGGTGGCAAAGAAGGAAAGGCATCTAAGAGCACCATTGGTGCACATATGTAGCCCTTCCATTTGCAGTGTTACCTCTGCCAGCCTGCCTCTTTTGTCCCACCCACAGACACCATTGTTTGCAAATGCAGAACTGGACTCCTTCTCTGGCTTGTCTAGGCAGAGTAAATTCCTTAAATTCGTTCATCATCTTCCAATTCTAAACTTTTGAGGTTCCGGCAGTATTAAAAGGCGTCCACAAATAAAAGCTTGTTAGAGTTCATAATGGAACGTAGGAACATAACAAACTACTGTATGGATTCTGAACCTTGGCCCGTCACGTTCAGTAATGTCATCATTGACTGACTTAATTTGATATAATTAATATTTTCAGTTGATTTTTTTTTCCCCAGAGAATTTATTTTCCAGGGTTAAGGGATAGAGACTTATATCACATTCTCACATTCTTTTTTCATTTGGTGTTTCAGGTTCTCAGGATGCAGAGAGCTTTGCCACAAGTAGCACCTCAGGAGTTGCAGTTCTTAAGATGGGTCGTTTTCAGGTATTAGCATGGAATGTTATTACTCCTTTTTTACCAAATGGCTGTTATTAGAGCCCATCACCACTGCCAAGAAAGTTATAATTAGAAAAGCAGCCAGAAAAGGGAAAGATTTCATCCCATCCCAAACCTTGTTCCAGCCTTTAAATACCCAAGGCTTCCTGCCTACCTCAAAAACAGAAGGCTTTTTAATTTGGATATTTACTGTGAGGGCAAAGATGGCATAATTGCAGATAAATTGAAAAAGTTCAAATATTGTAACTTTATTGTAACAAAAAAGTATATATTCTGATGTACATTTGCTTGGATACTGAAGCAAACATCGGTGTTTGCTTGTTCAGTTATTTTGCTGCTTAGATGAACAGAAGAAAGACTATGTATAATTGTGTGAAAATGGTCCTGCGTCTCAACAAAATGTCAGGCAGAATGCTCTTCCTGGAATTTCCCATTAAATTTTTCCCACAATGCCAAGTTATTTTCTCATAATTTCTGTTCACCATCTTGACTTTACACTACCCTGCCCCCATTAAAGGTAGAGTTGCATAATAATTGTGGCAAAATAGATTTCTTCCTCCCAAGAACACTGGTGTAGATATAGATTTCTTTTCTGTTTCATGACTATTATGCCAAAGGTTCTTCTGACGCATTAGGACTAGCCTACTTAGTGTTAATGGGGATTTTGCTATTCTCAAATCCCATTGCTTCTGGCCATAATTTCAGCCTTTTTTCTTCAGGAATTGCTGCTTTTGCCTCAGAGCCTCTTTTTTTCCATGTTTTCTGCTGATTTGCCTTAGGTAGATAGCAATTTCCTAAATTGTTCCTCAGCTAATGTCTAGTTATTTAATTGGGTGTTAAATAAGCCATTTCACAAGACATTAAGCCCACTAAGAAACCAATATCCACACAATCTTTCAACTTGCAGTCTTCTTCCCTTTGAGCATTTTCAAACTTCATAATGATTGTGTTCACATAGTACAATAAATAGGTAAAGAGGAAGTTAACATATTGTGTAAATAAGGCAACCGAGCAGTAGTGGGATCAGAATAGGATTAATTTTAGTCCAAAAGTATTCCTAATTTAGTTAACAATATTAGCAAAAAGTAGAAACTCATGACAAGAGGAAAGAACCGCATAGACACAATCCGCTTCAAAGTCTCAGCTGCAACTAAGGCTTCGGTTAGGACATGCACCATACCTTCAGGAACGACCCAAATAGCCTCCTGAAACCCATGGGATCCATTAGTTGACTAACTGAAATCATGGATGAGGGAGGCTTTATTACAAACTGACCTGGCATTCAGTGGCAACAGCCAGAACCAGGGTCTCTGAGGGTCCATTGGTCGGGCAGTGAGCTAGAGAACAGGGAGCCAGAATATAACACCAATACCAGACACTGGAGGCACATTTCTCTAGTAAATTACCTTGTGTGAAGGGTTTCTCAAATGCATAGGAATGAAATTTTGGAGAAAATCCATAAAATTCCATCACTTTCTCTCCATGTTATTTCCCTATGAAGGTTTCTGTGATCGTTAATTCCTGGCACTTAGCCATAAATATTCCCCAGGGTAGTGGTTTACTACATGAGCATATAACTCTTCAGCCAGACATTCTGTTTCCAGAAAAAGGGAAAAGTCTTTAAAATAATATAAACATCCATTTTTAAAAAGTAAAACCCAAAAGTAAGATTTCCAAAGGAGAGCACTGAGGGGAAATAATTATTTCTGTTTCTGTTCTGAGTGGACTACAATATTAACACCACTATTGTACAAACTGGTAGTGGGAAATTGTGATCCTCCATTATCTCTTAAAACTGGCTGAGATTCATAGTTCAGAATCAGGAACAGTATCTTGCTAAACATTACAGTAACACTTAAAATAGGAAAAACAGGCCAATACCACAGCTCTGATCAGGTATTGACTGGTATTGAGGAACGATCATTTTATCAGTGAACAGTCCAGTGCAATGATTGGCTTTTTAACTAAATGTGTGTAAAGAGAAAAACATATTTAAAATTGTCATGGCTTTTTCTGTTAAGCTTTTGGCACATCTCTTAGGCCCTCTATTAATACCCCTTGTTTCTACAATTGAGACAAATTCTACTTCATTTTACTCCCTCTCCATATTTCTTTCACAACGTATAAATGTATATTGTCATCTTTTCAGTGCAGGGACCTAAAGTGCTATACGCCTTATGTGTTTCTACAATTAAACTGAGTTAATAATATCTCTGTTACAATTAGGTGTCCGTGGCTGTGGATGATCAGAAAGGCAGTGAAAGTAAACCCAAGCACTTTGAAACAAGAGCCTCGGAATCCTCATCTTTGTCTAGCAGCAGTCCAGAAAGTACTCTCGTGAAGCAAATCTTCAGTGGGACAGCAGATAATATTCCTGCTACTTCAGTGGATGCAGTGGATGGTGGAGTCCCTCCCACCGTTCATTTGCAGCCAACCAAGGTTGGACGTTTCCAGGTGACCACAACGACAGACAAAGTTGGTCGCTTTTCTGTGTCTAGAACTCAAGATGAGGTAACCTGCGTAGAGAGAGAGATTCCTGAAGTTGTCCCTTTGTCCGTGGACTCTGAGCAAGCTTCTTCTCCACTTACAACTCCTAAATCGGAATTTGCACAGAGAAGGCCATCTCTGCATCTGAATGGACCGTCATCTGACTTGGAAGCTGCTTTCCTGAGTGGTGCAGCTAAAGAGTTTGACGATGGTTTGGGGAGTCCTGATTCTCTTCATCCACCTGTTTCCAAAATCAGTCTTCCAGTCCAGAGTCTCAGCAACTCATTCAACTCTTCCTACCTGAGCAGCGATAATGAGTCAGACATAGAAGATGAAGATTTGAAGTGTGAGCTACGTCAACTGCGGGAAAAGTAAGTTTTCAGGCTGGTTTATGGTAGCTAGTGAGAAGAAATACTCCCATCTCTGAGTTGGTTTTCTTTATCCAATGCAAGAGTAAATAACTTTTAGGACTGAGCATATTTAGAATTTTGAGTCTTTGTAGTGGGCACACTCACAAAATGGCTGCCAGGGGAGACTTGCCTAATTATAAAACTTCCATGATTACCTTGGCAATTGCAAACCATTAAGCAGAAGACAAGCTGGTCTCTGGGATGCTCATTAGCAATCCCAAGAAATTTTTGCTGAAGAATTTCTCTGCAAATAAAAATGATGCAATGTCTTATTATCCTCTTCAATTTTATATTAGAGAAGTTTTAAAAAATAGTCAAGGAGGTAAGAACCTTCTGCCTATAGCTTATAGCTAAAGCTCTCCAGATTACATTTATTTTATTTGTTTGAATTATCTCTAGGCTTTTGGCCCAAGGCAAGCACTTAAAACAGTTAACAAAATTTCAAACCAAAATAAGGAACTCGCACTCGCATTCATGTCAGAAGTACTTCAGACGCTTCTGGGTTGAAAGGGTTAGCCGGGGACATCATTGGGGGTTGCCCGGTTGGGGGCTCCTTTCAATTCCCCATTAATGTGGCCCTCCCCTGAAGTGGTGCCTAACTACTTGCGATTACATGCTTTCGAACTGCTAAATCGTCAGGAGTTGGAGCACACGACGGAAACTCACCCCGTCATGCAGCAGCACTTGGGGACTTGAATGAAAATAAGAAGCTAAAGAGTTAAAATGCAAATTTAAGATCACAGTACAAAAATGCTAAGTATACATTATGTGTTTGCATGCACATGTTTTACATTTTATTCAAAAATGAATAAAACAACCATTGAAATTAAAGATAGGAAGAAATTTACAGCGATTTCAAGTTTTCCGCCCATCTAGCAACTTCTGAGTGTGCTGGAAGGACCATATGATTACTAATTCTGGGGTCCCACATCTTACATAGTGTTCAGTGAGGGAAGGATGGGCTGAAACATTAAAGCCAGAAAACAGCATGAATTTCCAAAAATCCATGGAAATAAACTAGCTAACCTAAACCAAAAGAGTTATGTAAAAAACTAAGGCCAAGGGGAAGGATGGGATGGGGGGGGGGAATCTACTTACTTCATCAACCACTCCACCGTAGAGTGCCTTCCTCAGGGCCCCCAAGCCGTTCCATGTTCCAGAAGGCCAGATGGGTAGGAGCAGTTCCTTATATTACTTACAGGTAATAGAGCAGTACAAACACATTGGTCTAGATCAGGGGTGTCAGGAAGTTTTTAAGAAGAAACTGGACAGCCATTTGTCTGAAATGGTATAGGGCAGTGGTTCTCAACCCTTTTAATGCCGTGACCCCCCCCCAACCGGTCGTAAGTCGAGGACTACTCAACCGGTCGTAAGTCGTGGACTACTCAACTGGTGCAGCACCGTTTGCAGAATGGGACTTTTGGCAGGCTCAGCAGGGCAGAGACAGCCTAGACAATTCCTATTGGCTTTTGAAAGCCAATAGAATTAGACTCTATTTAAGAGAGTCTATTCTATTGGCTTTCAAAAGCCAATAGAATAAAAGGGAGTAGCACAGCTAAGGAAAAGGGGAAAAAATGGCAGACTGCGTTGTTTGGCGACCCCCCGTGAAATGGTCGTTTGACCCCAAATGGGGTCCCGACCCACAGGTTGAAAACCACTGGTGTAGGGGTTACTTGCCTGAACAGGGGGTTGGACTTGATGATCTCCAAGGTCCCTTGCAATATTATTATTGTTGTTGTTGTTGTTATAAACTGCTGGCCTGCGGGCCAGTTGCATCATATGGAGGCTGCACCCACCCCAGCTCCAGCAATGCAAAAAAAGTCATGGTACGTCACGACACATCACGTGACGCGGCAAGTTTGACATCCATGGTCTAGATAATATTATGTAAAGGACTCACAAATAAATAAGTATACCATCTTTTCATTTGGCAGGCACCTTAAAGAGATCCAGGAACTTCAGAGTCGTCAAAAACTGGAGATTGAACTCCTTTACACAAAGTTGGGCAAAGTACCTCCACCAGTAATCATCCCTCCTGCTGCCCCTCTCTCAGGCAGGAGAAGAAGACCTACTAAAGGAAAAAGCAGCAGGTCCAGTCGCAGCAGTTCCCAGGGTAATAAGAGCCCTCAGATATTGGGTAAGCTTTCTAAAAATGTAGGAAAAGTTGTCATATTTGTTGCAGTTGATTTGGTACTGAGTTAAAGTAGTTTTCATTTTTGTATTGGTGACCTGGTTTATATCCATTTAATTTGCTACAGTTTCAATTTTGTTTCAGCCAAACCACTTTACACACACACAAACACACACACACACACACACACACACACACCAAACTTATTAATCACCCATCTCTCTAACAGAGGGGCACTTATTTTCTTACAATTGGCCACTTATTTTATCATACTTCAAGTTACTCCTTAACTTAGGTGACCTGATTATCCAGAATTCTCAGTAAAGGCCTTGCTGAAGTAGCTCAACTGTAGCTAAGTCTTCCCCTATTTGTGTCTGGATTCAGCTTTATGGCTATTTTTACAGTGATGGTTAAATCAACTCTGGTCATTAAGTGAATCATATAGCTGTTAACCAAATCATGTGATCATAAATCTAACTTATCCAATAGGCAGTTTTGCGAGGCCTACCTTAATTTACTATCACATGACCACTGGATGCTTCAACCAGTTGTAAATGTGAGCTAGTTGCCAAATCCCCAAAATGTGACCACGTAACCACAGAGTGCTACAGCAGTAATAATTTCAAGGACAAGTTGTGAGTAACTTTTTTCAAGTCCATCGTAACCTCAAACAGTTGTTAACCAATCAGTCATAAATTGAGGACTATCTGTAGGTCCTTCAATCTCACTTTTTAGGTCTTAGTTTCTACTTTGCTGATCACTTCTGTTGCTCTTATCTGAGCTTGTTCCAGTTGTTCTGAATCTTTCTTGTAATGCACACAACTGGATGCAGTGGGCTGAGTTGGAGAATAGAAAGGAATTATGATTTGGGAATTATATTTTGTTAATGCAGCTTAAAGTTGAATATCCATTTTTGTAGCCATATCATATAGCCTATTTGTAGTCAATATCCCAAATTATTTTTCACTGATACTGTTTTTTTATTTCTATTTTCTAAGGTATTATTTATTAATCTGATTTGTATCATGTACAAATATTTGACAATCAGATAGTAGGACTCCAGAGTACAATGGACTCTGGCTTGATGCTATTCCAGGTCGACTGTAATTAATATATCCCCATCCATAATTTGTTTCCTCTTGTTACTTTCTTAGGGTTTCATACTAGTTAAATTAAAAACTTCAGATTTAGAGGGAAGATTTGTTAAGGAATTCTCCCTTAACTCCCCCAGCAAATTTCTGATAAAAATAGAGTTTGGCAAAGGATTTACTGCCTGAACCAGATTACTTTATATTCTCTTTAAAGCCTCCCCATACTCAGGAGGAAATACTTGTCCAGTTACTCAAGTGGGCCCTCAACAGGTCTCAGGAAATATCCCTTCCAATCAACATCTATTATTATTATTATTATTATTAGTAGTAGTAGTAGTAATAGTAATAGTAATAGTAATAATAATAAAGTTGGAAGGGACCTTGGAGGTCATCTAGTCCAACCCCCTGCTCAGGCAGGAAACCCTATACCAGTGGTTCTCAGCCTTTTTAATGCCGCGACCCCCAACCGGTCGTAAGTCGAGGACTACTCAACCGGTCGTAAGTCGAGGACTACTCAATTGGTGCAGCACCGTTTGCAGAATGGGACTTTTGGCGGGCTCAGCAGGGCAGAGACAGCCTGGACAATTCCTATTGGCTTTTGAAAGCCAATAGAATTAGACTCTATTCAAGAGAGTTTATTCTATTGGCTTTCAAAAGCCAATAGAATAAAAGGGAGTAGCATAGCTAAGGAAAAGGGGGAAAAAATGGTGGACTGCGTTGTTTGGCGACCCCCGTGAAATGGTCATTCGACCCCAAATGGGGTCCCGACCCACAGGTTGAGAACCACTGCCCTACACCATTTCAGACAAATGGCTGTATGGCAGTATTCAAGAGATTACCTGTCAACCCTTACTATTTAATACACAATCCCTCTAAAGCACACATTTTTCTTTTTAGCTTCTGTTGAATTCACCATGGAAACGCCTCCTAGTTCTCAATATTTGCCCACTCCCCGAGATCCTCTCTAGCAGAAGTGTGGCATAAATAATGGGACAGAAGAGGAATAGATACTGAAAACTGAATATGAAACCTCTCCTAATTCTTCAGCGGGCTAGAGATTCACAACTCCTGATCTATGTAGTAAAAATGAGCCCTATCATGTGAAGACAGCAACTATGCTTTGTTAACCTTTTTTAAATTTTTCCATTCCATCGTCTGATTCTCAGAGACTGCATGGAAAGGTCCTTGCCGTTTTCTTGGCAAGGTTTTTCAGAAGTGGCTTGCCATTGCCTCCTTTTTAGGCTGAGAGAAAGTGAGTGGCCCAAGGTGACCCAGCTGACTTTGTGCCTAAAGTGGAACTAGAATTCACGGTCTCCTTATTTCTAGCCTGATGCCTTAACCAGTACACCAAATTGACTCATCATATGTGAACACTTGAATGTTCATTTGCAACCAGGGCCCTCTAAATAGAGATTGGTGGTTTCTCAATGAATTTTACTCTTGTAATTTCAGCCTGAATAGCTAATGCAAACACCTGTCTGTCATTAGCGATCATGACCAAATTTTTAACATGATTAGTAGGATTGGAAAGCAGAGGATTCACTATACTACCAGTGCCTTGATTTCTGCTCTCCTCTCTCCCTGCACAGGAAACCTGTCTGCTCAGAGTGCCCCTTCAGTTCTACCCCAGGAGCAGACCCTGCACCCTCCTGGCAGTGTCCCTGAAACAGGACAGAACCATCTGTTGCAGCCACTGAAGCCATCTCCTTCTAGTGAAAATCTCTATTCAGCTTTTACTAGTGATGGTGCCATTTCTGTTCCAAGCCTTTCTGCGCCAGGCCAAGGTAAATATTGTAGATGGGTATCAGTAACATTGAGTTCTGCGGGGCTTATCTGCATCAGAGGATGACAAGATTTCTAGAGCCTGGCCTAGCCAAAATAAGATAGATCAACTTGTCTGTCCCATTATACTTGTTTGAAAACTAAGCTTTCTGGAAGATTTGTACAGTGTACTCTGATCATTGATTCCACCCTTATGAATAACTGTTGGAATAAGTACAGTTCCATTGTATAAACAGATCAGGCATGTGAAATAAGGATGAGATAAGGACAAATGAAATAGTACAATACAGAAATGTTAGTCAGAGCTCCTTCCAAACCATAGAAGGAAGTCATTGGAGCATACTGATTTAAATCTTACATATCTTTCAAATTGTACAATATTATGTCCTAATGTGCCGTTGCTATAATATATATTACTTATGGCATGCAGTTGGATTAAAATAGTTGTGTTCTGGTATCAGAAACAACATGAGATTGGAGATGTGATTATTTGGAAGGGGGGGGGGGAGAGAAAGGTCCTGGTTTCTTGTGTCTTGTGTAAAGCTCTCAATTGGTTGAGGTTCTTTCTCCTGTGTCTTGCTAATGCATTTCACCAGTCCAGCTTAGAGTTCTCTAACATCTTGTAGTTGTGTTCTATCTCCTGTCCTTGTTCTTCGCCCCTTTTTTCTGTTTTCTGTTTTATCACAGGCTGTGTGAAGTTTAACTGTGCATCTGAGCGGGTGACATTCAAGCCTGGTGGCAGGAGGACCCGATTTCTGAGTACGCCCTGCTTGGCTCTTTGTGTGTAACACCTTTACTCCTTCCTCGTCTTTTTGTTTTCGGCTACTTGGATCTGTTATCACATGCTGTCCATTTACATCTGCCTTCTTGTGTCTCTCTGACCTTAGGGCTTGGCTGAGAAGTGTAGCTTGCAGAAAACAGTGTTCTGAAATTGTTACCCTGCTGCTCAGCTAAAAGGTTCTGGTGGTAGTAGTGGTTGTATATGGTCCTTCAGGTTACAAGGAGACAACCTTATGATTCCTTGCCTAGACACTTAAACTTCTCTGTAGTGTATAGAGAAATAATGGCCAGGGACAAGATATGCCAGACAGAGAGGTGCTTATCCCTTTCCTAATCGACATGAGAAACTAATTCACACAACTCTGAAGTGAACAGATTGTTGTTCATCTGTGTGGACTTATTTTTGTCAACTCAAGTAAACAAGCATGCACAGGTATGAGTATAGCAATGGCTGAACACAATAGCAGTTTAGCAAGATTAGGGGGATATATCTGCTCCAGGAGAAGCGGTATAAATTTTTTTTTCTCCATTGATGTGCTTCAGATCAAGAAGACAATTTTCCCCGAATGTTATGTGGCCAACTGCTCACAGTTCAGTTAGAAACTAGGGAATACATCTGATCTCCCACTACCATGATTTAAAAAAATCTAGGAAGGCTAGAGAGCTGATCTACAAGCTGCATAAAGATATGGCTAGTTTAATTTACAGGTATTACGGTCCTGTCTTCTCATCATGAGTAATGGGTGGACAGAGGTTCCTGCATGAAATTAGGACAAAAATATTTCTTCCCTTGAATTGATTTTAGAGGAAAATTTCCTCAATCAGCAATTGAATTTTATATGTCTTAATTTCTGAGCCCAGACGTGATCAGCCAGGTGCTGTTAAATGGCGATTTAGCCAAGACTGGGGGGGAAAAAGTGATTGGAAAATACTAAATTGCAGTAAAATAAAAATCTCAGAAAACAGTAACTATTTTGAGGATAATTAATAGCAAGGATGTGGGTAATTTACATGTATAATTGCTCTATGGGATTTTTGTGAGGGGTTTTTTTGGTACATAAATATTCTGTGAACTATGAGCCATGTGGGGGAAAACTTTGAGGGGGGGGGCTAAAAATAATGGAAATTTATAATGCCTTCAATTTGGCATCACTTGATTTGTGCTGTCCCCTAAAACTTGGCAATGCTTGTGGAAGCATGGCTTGGCTTTACTCAATTTTTAACAGGTTTTCTGTTCTCCTGAGGTCTGTCTTTTTTTGTCAATAGATTGTATAGGGGAAAAGGTCCTTACTAGCAAATATGAGGCTGACCTCAATAACACGTGTCTTTATACACTTGGCATAAAAGTAGAAAAGGTTCAACAGGTTCCTTCTTGCTTTAGATGGCACTGATCTTCTAGGAAAAGTGAAATTGTTTTGAGGATTAAATCAGCCAATCATTGTATCAGTTACAAATAAACTTTGGTAGGTTTATTTGTTGTTACTCTCTTTTGAAGTCAGTTAAAAACGAGAGGAAAGGTTTCAATACTGCATTCAGTTCAGATTTATCTTTCAATTCAATTTGATGGTAATGTTTTTTTTAAACAAGAAGAGAACTTGAACGATCAAAAAACTAATTGAAATTACCCTACATTATAAAAATCTCACAGCCATAATGTACTTGAGAAATTCTAAACAAGTACCAGTATGTACTTAAATTGACATATTGCTACTCTTCCTCTACTTGAAAGTTGTCATGATGTGTTTTGCTATAAGGCCACTCAAGAACTAAAAGCAGTGTCATTAAGGGATGATAACCTGTTGGGTTTTCCTACTTTATCACCAGGTGCTTTATGCTATTTGCTAATACTGTGTTTCTCACTGTTTCTCTTTAACCAATTGCTTTCTCTTTATGCTTTAGGGAAGATGGTGAAAAAAGTCTGCCCTTGCAACCAGCTCTGTAGTAATTATTTCATTTTTGGTTACCTCTGAATTCTGACTGCTAAGCTATGTTCAACGCCATACAGTTTTACTTCCCTGAATCTGTCTTAAGCACAGCAACTATTCTTTGTTCCTTCTAATATGTATTTCTGCATTATTGCAGAAGTAGACTTGGACATCCCATTACTACTACAAAAGATAACTTTGATCATCACTTAATGATGTACTTCTTGGAGATTAATCATGAGGCTCTAGCATATATTGACTCTAGTAATTTTCATATCATATTAGAAGGCACATTCCCTTTTTGAAAGGAATTTGGTTGTGATAATTATGTCAAAAGGGGATTTCTGTAAGTACTGATTCAGCTGCATATGACCAGTATGTTATGTTAAAGGACCACTAGCAAGCAAATGACCTCAGAGTGACCCTACAGCAGGGGTCCCCAACTCCCGGTCCGTGGACCAATACCAGGCCATGGCATGCCAGCAACAGGTCCGCACAAACAAGCAAAGCCCCATCCGTGGGATGCAGGCAGCACACAAAACGACATATTCTCTAGTCTGCAGAAAAACCTCTCTCCATGGACCCGGTCCCTGGTGCCCAAAATATTGGGGACCTCTGCCCTACAGCATAAGAAAAAGTGTCATTAATAAAGGTATAATGCAAGCATTTCTCGACTTATAACCATTAATTTAGCAACCATTCAAAGTTACAATGGCACTGAAAAAAGTAACTTAGAACCGGTCCTTGCACTTAACCCCTGTCACAGCATCCACAAGATCACATGGTCAAACTTTGGGTGCTTAGCAATTGGCATATATTTATGAGGGTTGTAAGGTCCCGGATTCATTTGATCACCATTTGAGACTTTCCCGGCCAGCTTCAGACAGCAAAGTCAATGAAGAAAACCAGATTCTCTTAATGACTGCCTGATCCAGTTAACAACTGCAATGATTCCCTTAATAAACAGGCCAAAAAAAGTTGCAAAATTGGATGAGACCCCCTTAACAGCAGAAATTCTGGTCCCAATTGTGGTCATAATTTGAGGACTTTGTGTAAATTGTGATCATAATTTGAGGACTTCGTGTAATTTGAGGACTTGGTGTAAATGGAGTGAAACACAATGGCAGAGTTAGGAAAAAGAGCTAATGCAGTGATGTAGTCAGGGAGAGAAAGAGCTGTGACCTCTTTATAAAGATAAGAGCCAAAATAAAATTCTGTAATATTTGCTGTGACTGAGCAAGATTGAGGGGAAGTTGTTTTCTATTGACACTGATCCACATTCTTGTCAGACTCTTCTTGATGGCTGGTTTAATAGATTAAAAATTGGTTACTTTTAACAACTGAGGTCATTTTTAATATGGTATAAGTCCTTATCTAATTATCTTAGTGAGTTTTCTGAGGCAATTGGGTGCATGCCGAACAGCTAGTGAAAGAGAAAGATTAGTCACACTTTAGGATTCACACCATCAATCTTACCCCAATGTCTTGTAGGCACTATACCTAGCAATGTATCTTTTATGGCCATCAGGAAGGGGCTGAAGAATATCTTCTAGTCCCTGCATGAAACTGATGACAAAGCTTTTAGGCATGATGTGAAGGTGGTTTCCTTTTCTTCACTATTGTCTGTTACCTGTGCTGATGTGTGGCTGGCTGTTTCTCTATCAGTAGATTTATGCCTATGTTACAGCCTATTGTATCAAATATAGTTCCTTTGCATGTTACACAGTAACAGTGGTTCAATACCACATTCATTTCTTTCACCTGGACAAATGATTTCTTTTTTCCATTTTCTTGTTTGCACGTTTACCCCCTCCTGTCTGTTCAGTTTGGGGGAGATGGTTGTCTCTTAGGTTACCTTAGTTAATCACCTTGCTTGCTTATACAGTATTTCACAGTGCAGTAACGCCTTGCCTCACTGCTATCACAGATAAGGATTTTTATTTCTCTACTTGCATTTTTATCAGGTCTAGGGAGCCAGAATCCAGTTGTTACTGTCTGTAACCTTTAGCTATTAGTTTTAAAGCAATAGGATCCAGTTGTCATAATGCACAATGCCACAGAGACTAAGATTGTGCAGCAGTTTGGATCTGAAGGCAAAAAGTGCTTAGGAGCACTTGAGGCCGGGCCCATAGAACTTACCAATCCCAGGAAAAGATGTTTGGATATGGAATTGTAGTCATAGGTATCCCTGCCATTCATTATGACACAAAAATCACACACACAGAGTAACATTGCAGTGCAAACCTGCCCTTTTTTGCTTGTAACCCAACACTGGGTACAAGTATGAAAGTTGCAAAGTTTGAACTTCACGCACAATGCATGTTTTGTCACTTGTCAGTCTTGCCTCCCACTGAAGATGCATGTGGCTACATATAATTGTAAGCCACATGCAAGTGCCAAAGCACCTCTTTGCTCTCAGATCCAAAGCACTGCACAAATTCTTCATTCCCCCCTGACTTTTTAAAATAAAACTTAGATTCCAGTACTTTTTTAAACAGCAGTATTGGGAGTGCTTTCATACTGTTCTGTTGTGCTTTAAGTTCTATATATATGAACAAAATCTTTCCCTTTGTATTGTAAGAAGCTTTCTTCACTTGACTGGGGGTTATTTAGGATCAGTATGCTAATTGACTTAACACTGCAATTTTTTCCACGTTAGATGTCATGTACAGACCTATAAAGTGACCTTCCTGCGTTCAGATTCTATTTTATAAATTGGTGAATCTATCTGTTTTGGTTATGGGTGATTTTTTCATAACACATTGAAGTTCTCAAGATTTGTGTTGAAGTTTCTGCTATTCGACTAACTACCATATATGCCGGCGTATTAGGCGACCCGGCGTATAAGACGACCCCCGTCTTTATAGCCAGGCCGCATTCCTAGAACGTCATCTTATACGCCGGAAACTACCAGTATTTCTGGCGTATAAGACGACTCAGCGTATAAGACGACCCCCGTCTTTGGCACCGATTTCAGCGCTCGCGGAAGTCGTCTTATACGCCGGCATTTACGGTATTACAAGATATAATACTTTTCCATACCATTTCAGCAGATTTGCCATTGGAAAGCCTTTGGCATATACCCATGGACATATTGAACTTGTCTTTATTCTTATGATCTGATTCTAGAAAGTGCCATATTTTTTTATTCAAGTAGCTCCTTGTGCTTTTCTTTTTAGATGTATTGAGATCATTCCATCCCAAGGTATGAAACCTTTGGAACTAAATAAGCAGGCTTCCCTGGAAGCCAGCATCTCAGTTTGAAGCAAAGGAGATTGTCTGCCAAATGTCATTTTTTTGTGTTTGTGTTGGGATGTGAAGTCAGTGCTCTCTTAGTACAATTTTGTTTCATGATTGCTGCCAGTAACACAAGTGTTTCTTTCCAGTAATGTGTTCCTGAGTTTCAGATTGTCCATCTGCAGAACAGAGTGGTTACCCCGATGAATACACAATTCCTTGGTATTGAACTGAGTGGGTAGAGTTGGCAAATGGGTTAACCAAGCATAATAGATACTTGTAGACAATCGGGAGGAAACTTCCCGACAACCTTGTTATTAATGCCCAATGTTAATCCACTTGCCTGTGGAAAACGGCAACTTTGCAGACCACCCACTGATGTGAAAAATAACATACAATTACGTAATTAACTTAATAGCAGAAAAACTGCTAGCTGATTGCTAAAATCCTTCCTTTTCATTATGTCCAAGTAGACTTCATATGCATGGCTTTTTAAATTATTGCTCTTATTTTGCATTGTAATTCTTGATGGCCTCCAGGGAATTCTGTTTCAATCAAATTTAAATGATAGCTGCTTTTATTTTTCTAGGGACCAGCAGTGTAAACACTGTTGGGGGTACAGTAAACAGCCAGGCACCCCAGTCTCAGCCCCCTGCCTCTAGTCGGAAAGGAACTTTTACTGATGATCTGCACAAACTAGTGGACAACTGGGCTCGTGACGCTATGAATCTGTCTGGCAAGAAAGGAAGCAAAGGACACGGAAATTATGAGGCAAGTTTAGTATTTTGGTTTTTGTGCTATTTATTGCTATGACTTTTTACATTCCTATCAATTTTAGATTGGCTGTGTTTTTTTTAATTGTTATGTGCCATACACAATTCTCTTTGGGGAAGATGGATAGCCATTTAAATTGGATTGATTAAATTAATTTTGGTTAATTAATCAGATTTAAATAGCCATCCTTCTTTCCCAAAGAGAATGTTGGTCATATAGCAAGAAGAACTGGTGGCAGGTGGACCAAGGCAGTCATAGAATGGATCCCACTTGATAAAAAGCGTCCACGAAAGGGACACAAAACAAGATAGATTGACGACATCGGCAAGTATTTCTGGCCCAGCTGGCAATAGGAAGCTCAGAACCGTATTGGGAAGAGGCCTTCATTCTGCCGTGGGTAAACAATGGCTAGAATGATGATGATGAAGAAGAATTAATTAATATTGCAATGGTGCTTAAAAGATTGTGAACCCCTTTGAAAATTCAATATTTCTGTATAAATATGATCTCATCTCTTAAAGCCAGATAAAAAGAACAAATGAGTGAGAAACATTGTATTAGTTTGATCATTTATTAAGGAAAATTATCCAAAGCTACATATTTGTGTGTGGCAAAATTTCATGAATCTCTAGGATTATCAGTTCATTTGAAGGAGAAATTAAAAGATTCCATGAAGTTATATCCATGGGATGATAAATTAGGTATGAACATGGGAGGCCCTGCTTTATTTAAAGTACAGAATTAAAAATCTGATCTTCACCACACAGGTTTTTGGAAGTGTGTCATGACTGGAAAAGGTTAAAAAACCTATTTCCAGAGAGTTTGGATTACATTAGTCTATTGTCAGGCAGATTGTGTACAAATAAAGGCAATTCAACAGCATTGTTGCCCTCCCCGGAAGAGATAAACCAAGATCACATCAAAAGCAAAATATATAATTATCTGAGAGGACTCAAAGGGGTAACATCTAAGGAACCAAAGGCCTCTCTTGCATTTGCCAATGTCAGCATTCGTGAGAACCACCGTCAGGACAGCACTCAACACCAGTGGTGTACATGGCAGGAGCGCAAGGAGAAAGCCACTACTCTCCAAAAAGAACACTGCTGCCCGGCTACATTTTGTAAACGATGATGAGAATAAGCCAGAAGGCTGTTGGAACAAATGTTCTATGAACAGATGAAACCATAATGTAATTTGGCTTGAATGAAAAGTGTTATGTTTGACGAAAGGCAAACACTGCATTCTAGCATAAGAACATTATCCCATCTGTGAAACACGCGAGTGACAGGATTGTGGTTTGGGTTCGCTTTGCTGCTTCTGGACTGGGACGGCTTGATAGAAGTCTGAATTCTGCTGGCAAATTCTACAGGAAAACGTCAGGGTATCTCGCTGTGAAAGTGAGTCATGCAGCAAGACATTGAGCCAAACCACACAAGTTGTAAGACCAAAGAATGGTTAAAGTATAAGAAAGTTAAAGTTTTGAAATTGCCAAGTCAAAATCCTGACCCTAATCCTATAGAAATGCTGCAGAAAAACCTGAAGCATGCAGTTTATGTGAGGAAGACCCCCCTCCAACAACCCTTAGTTGAAGCCATTCTGTAAAAGAGGAATAGACTAAAATTTCTCTAGGCCAGTGATTCTCAACCTTTCTAATGCCGTGACCCCATAATACAGTTCCCCATGTTGTGGTGACCCCCAAGTGGGTGTGGCCACCAATAAGGGAGTAGGACAGCTAGGGAAAAGGGGAAAAAATGGCGGACAGCATGGTTTGGTGACCCCCGTGAAATGGTCATTCGACCCCAAATGGGGTCCCGACCCACAGGTTGAGAACCACTGCTCTAGGCTGATTGTGCAGGACTGATCAACTGTTAGCAGAAATGTTTTGTTGCAGTTATTATTGACCAGGGAGGGCACACTAGTTACTGAAAGCAAAGTTTCATACACTGTTACCATACCCAAATATGTAGCTTCGGATCATTTCCCCCAATAAATCAGTATGTGTTCGACTCTGTAATGTGCTTCTCTTTATTTAATTTTAGGACTTGTACAAATAAATCAATCACATTTAGGTCACATTTCTGCAGAAATAATGAAAATTCAAAAGAGTTCATAAACTTTTAAGCAGCACTATCCAGGTGCCTTAGCTACTTTTTGAGGTCATACTTGGATAGAGTTGACAAAAGAAATTTGTGCAGCAACTCTCAGATAGCTTGATTTTGGATTGAGTTCCATTGTTTCTCTTTGTTTTAGGGTCCAGGAATGGCAAGGAAGTTCTCTGCACCAAGCCAACTCTGCATCTCGATGACATCATCTCTTGGTGCTACCCCTATCTCTGCAGCATCAGCTACCTCCCTAGGTCCCTTCACCAAGGCCATGTGTCCCCCTCAGCCATTTGGTTATCCAACAGTGCCCTTTGTAGCCCCTTGGAGCGGGACAGGTGGTCCAGCACAGCAGCCTTTAAACCAGTTCCAGCCTGTAGGAACTGCCTCATTACAAAACTTCAACATCAGCAACTTACAGAAATCTATCAGCAACCCCCCTGGCTCTAATCTGCGGACCACTTAGTGATTCCCAGCCACATTGCTGGGTAGACCTTTGGGCAGGAGTTGGGGCCTGAATTAACTGCTAGGCTCTTGTTGCCCAAAAGGGATGGATTCCCCCCTCTAACCATTGCTCTCTGCTCTCAGTAAGTAAAGCCCCCCATTCGGAAGATGGGGAGAAATTGATCAGGATCCTCTAAGATGGCACATGCTTCCTCTAATTCTTGTATGTGGCAGAATGTATAAAGATGGAAATCACCATGCAAGTCAGCAGCCTCTGACTGTAAAATTCACATGACTTAAGAGGCTGGATCCTATGGGTTGGGAAGAAAGTTGTTAGCCTTCGCATGAATCTTGAGTATGCTGTTTGCCTTGCTCTGAAGAATTAAGCCCAGGGGAAAAGCTGTCCATTTTTTCACCATCTTGTCTATTCCTTCCTCCAAAGCATCACATCACAGTTCCTGAGCGAGTGAGCACACAGATGGACATGCAGAATAGCCCATGCTTTGAGATAAGTCTTTCCTGCTTTCAGGAAAAGATACTAACAGCTTTGACAGCAGCATTAGAGCAATTTAAAATGTTTAGAAGAAAAAAATAATAATTAAAAGTTCCCTGCGGACATGTACTTACCATCAGTTTTGATGTGGAAACACTGTGATATATAAATGTTGTTGGACAACAGTAGTTTAAAAAAAAAATGAGTGGAATATAGAGGGTTAAACAGTCAAAAAAGAAAAAATGGGGAAAAAGCTAGCTATATCCTGATACTTATTGGAGACACTTTAACTTTTTTCCTTTTTATTTTCATTGTATTAGATAAATGTGAATGTATAATTGTATAAATTAATGTACTTGAATACTTGTCTGTTCTCCCAGTATGCTTGCTGGATATTTTAGTGCCTTCGACTTTTTATTGCTTCTGCAGTTAGCATCACCTGCCTAGCAGACTTTAGACAGATGGAGGGAAAGGAGAGAGGGAGGTTATTTTGGACGTAGCCACTGAAATACCAAAGGCCTAAAACATTGGACGTTTATACTGTAACAGTGTCTAGAGTAGGTGTTGGAGGGAAGCTACTGCAGCTGTACGTTGAAAAGGTAAAGCTATGGAGCGATGGGGAAAACCAGCGATGGATATTGGTGGAGGGTACAGAAATGATGACATGTAACCAGAGTAAAGCTGGGCTGAATGTGAACAGAGAGAGAGAGAGAGAGAAGGAGGGAGAAAGGCTTGTCTGAAAGGACAGCTTCTGACTGAAAGCTACAAAGGGTTTTAGGAGGGGCAATATGTGTTCAGAAACTGGAGTTTATCACTCTGGGGAGTGTGAAAGTCTCCTGGGATTTGCTCTTCATTGTCTTTAATTCTACCTAGAAAGGGCAGAAATAGATATTCCATGTTGCGGGTTTCATTGCCAAGGATAGATAACACTTGAAACACTCAAAATCAAAAATAACTTGTTTTTGTTAAATGTCTAAAGGACTCAAAACTGGTACCAAGACTGTAACTGTGTTGCCTTCTAGTAGGTGTTCTATATCTCCTACTTTCTGCTCAAACTTGGTTTCTAACTCAACATACAGGTTCTCTATTCAAATGAAATAACTGCAACCAACTAGTATTACTCTGTATTGCTGCAGCAGGCTGTGAAGGGTCAAAGTACTTCTATTTTGTATTTGGAAGTAGCTTTACTGCTGGTCTAAAAGTTTGTATACTCAGTAAAAAAAAAAAATGTCCCCCCCCCTTTCCCCAAAAAAGTTCCTTTAAGGTTAGCAGGGAATTTGTTATTTCTGTACTTGTTCACTCTACCCTCAAACATATGCACAGGTTTGTCTTTCCATCCCTTTGTCTCCAGTGGAGGTTTAGAGTGGCTTTGTCAAGGAGGGAGGCCTCGGCATGGTGGCTGAAAGGCAAAAGACGGGAGTCTAGGTAGCTGGGCTTCGACACCTTTTCAGACTTTAAAGTCCCCATTTTGACGGGATATGGGGAAGCTGTGGCTTCCTACTGTTAATGGAGAAGCTTTTACTTTCTAAGTTTGTGGCCATTCTTCAAAGGAAAATGAATTGACGTGCAGGAAGTATAAAGAATCAGTGATGAAAGGTGCCACTTCATGGTTAGAATGATCAGCTGAGTGTTGCACGAGGATGGTATTTTTGGTTTAATATGTTTGAGGTTGGGTTTTTCACTTAGTTATGCAAGTACTGGTTTTATTTACCATTGATTTCCCTCCTGTGGATTAAATAACTGAGGTCTAGAAGAATTAACTAATGCTACTGAACTGTTAAATTATTTTGTGTTAATATTACACTTTGAGTACCTTTTTTTTCCCACAAGATCTGTTTCTGAATTACAGATGTTTTCTTTACATTATTTAACAATGTACACTGTAAAAATAAAATAAAATGAATTCAAACCTTGGGCTTCCCTGGCCGTAGTTAATGGTATGTTTTGCACTAAATCCAGGCATTGCGCTTCCTGTACAATTGCGCTTTGTGCTGCAGTTTGTTACCTTCTTTGTAGATATTTAATGAAATCATTCAAATAAACCAAACCTGCTTTTGTTGAACTGTGGCATTTCATTTTCAGTTGGCATTTGCTTCTTTCAGTGCCCTGAAGCTTAACTGTGGAGGGAGCTCCTGCTGCTGTCAGCACCAGTTACAACAGGACAGATGACTCGTCCTTTCTGAACCCAGGGCTGCAAACCCTGGCCGGAAACCCATCTGGATAAGGCTAAGATGAAGAATGCTACAAAGCAGTTATTCAAGCTCAGAGAAGAATCCAACCAATGGTTGTATTGTTACTTGAAAGGCTTAGCTACATTGATGAGATTTTTTGGTGAGGTTTTTTAATTTTATTTTTGGAGATTTCAGCAGGCATTATGAACTTCCAAATCTATGATGTAGGTAGAAGGACTGGGAAGTTGCATTAGTAAATTCAACACATCTTAAACTCTCATGGTTGGGAACAAAAATAGATACCTGAACGTATATATGTGTGCCAGAATTCACTTGTCAGTCTGTTCATGAAGATTCAGTGAATGGGAGGAAACAGTTGCAAAGATTGAAGTTATTAATGTTGAATTGTAATACTCTGCAGAGACGTATCAGTTAAAAACAAAAATAATTCTTCCTCATGTTGTCTCACCCATTTTTGCAACTCCCTTGAAATTCTCAGTTCCTTCTTAGTGAAATTCATGGTTCTTCAAGATCTGTCCATTCCCCCTCCCCTTTTTTAAAAAAAGCTTCATTCCAGAATTCTTATACTAAAGAAGAATCTTCCTTTTTTTTAACCTATCATACCGAAGTATTTGTAAAGCCTCCCTTGGAACAGTCTCTGATTCTAAGACATAACCTCACATCAAGATGTAAAAAAAAGGAATCCTGTGTTGATACTAGACAACGGAAGAGCAGGTCTTAACAGACTTGGTATATTCATTCAGTTATTGAAAGACTAATTTACCTTGTATCTTTGATCTGTGAGGACATTTGGAATTTAACATGGTAGTTTACTTTTATGGTTTACATGAACTACAAGCTTGCACTCTAGTAAACTAGAATCTTAGACACTCTACTACAGACAGGTCAAACTCTCGATGTCACGTGACGTCGCGCTACGTATCGGAACTTTTTTGCCATTGCCGGCAATGGGGTGGGCGCGGTTTTGCGATGACGCATCCGACCCGTGGGCCAGCAGTTTGACACCCTACTCTACTAGAACAGAAGCTGCTATATCTCTAGGGAAAAAAGAGTTTATGTGATCACTGTAATTTCATAAATCTGCCACTATATGGGAAATTTATGTAGAACCTTGAAAGTGACTTGCAATATAGGAATTATACGACAAGAACAAAGGGAATAAGAAAATGGAGCTTTGTGCTTGAATTGATTACAATTGACTAAGGTGTTACAGGAGTTTAGTGTTGTGCAATTGACTAAGGTGTTACAGGAGTTTAGTGTTGTGCTGTTTTAAGTACTGTAAATCTATAATTGAAATCCTCATTTATTACAGGAATGGAAGACAGTGGCCATTCAGATGTTGCTGGGCTACAACTTAATTCTAGTATAGCGTACTTGAATTCCAATTTTTATCTGATACTTTTTTGATTACTATATGAAATAGTTGCTGCAGATCTTGCAACAGTAAAAGTAGAAGAATTCCTGAAGATTTCTTTTAGCCAAGTAAACATTTCTGTAGTAATCTTGGCAGCAAAGAGATGAAGGAAACAAGACAGTTAAACAAACAGCCTTTCACTTCCAGTTGCTTTTAAAGAATGAAATCAATGTAACAATTTTTCTAATAGGAGCTACCTGGTATCAGTCATATTTGTTGTGCTATCCCCTGTTTCAAGACTGGAAGTTGTTTCTTTTGCTAAAAATGTTGATTTTTTTGTAAAGTTAAGTCTTAAGATCTTGAGTGTATTTCTCACAGTTTAGCAACTCCCATCCTTATAAAATACAGCACATTTTCCCCTTCAACTTCTTAGGGTTTCATAGACATACCCATGTAGTTTTCTTGGCAACAGTACATTTAAAAAAAAAAAAAAACTTACAGTTTAGTCTACAGCTTCTGCATTTCCAGACAATCAAGTACTGAACAGGTTCAATGTTGCTTAGCTTTTTAAAATCAGCTAAGGAGAATTTTCCTTTATCTCTTCTATTTTAAGTTGCATATTGTAAAATAGATTTATATGTAGGAAGCTCGATATACGGTAGCAATCATAAGGTGTCTGGCTACTATGGTATATTGCTTGCCAAGGATCTAGTGGAAAATTTCATGTGTCACTAAGGAAATAAGACTAATAATTATCCACTTAGATATTTACATGAAGCTTCCAAGAAAACCCAGAATATCTCCAGCCCGCCTCCAATGTTCACCTGGAAATATTAAGATTGTTCTGCAGCCCAATCACGCAAAAAACATGCATTTTTTAAAAACATCCTTAGGTTAAAACCTACTTGTGCCTAGGTAATATACCACACAAATAACTGACACAGAATAAAGGACTCAGATATAAACAAATGCCTATATGTCAATACTGATAGGAAGAAAATGCCAATGTCTCTTTATTGAAACATTTCATTAAATATTTCAATATATAAGTATAATCATGCATCCTGAAGCTTCATTTTTTATATATAGGATTTAGCATTATTGATAGTTCAAATAATGTTGGTTTAATCTCCAAATCAGAACAGTGGGCCAATTTTGAAAATTAAGGAAGTTTATTTCAAAACAATGACCAAGGAAAGTTATATAAATGATATACATACATTACATAACATCTTACATGTGGGCTCTTCCTAAGTCAATTACAGTTGTGACATGATAGTAATGGGACGCTTTCCAATGTTATCTTAGTTGTTGGTCAAAGGGAACTACAGCCTACAGATGATCTGGAGATAAGGAACTTATTTCAGCCTGATGCTATTAGTCTCGCAGAAAAACTGCTTTAATTATTCTTCTCCCTTTCGCAACAGAAACAAAAGGTATACTGATCCTGTTTCCATGCAAGAATTGTTTGGGGAAAAGTTGCTCAATCTAACAAAATAGATTGATACATATTTGCGCAAGTGACTTAGAAAACATGACAGTTTGAATATAAAACCAGTAACCTGTTACCTCTCCTATTACCAAGATGTGGTAGAGAATCCAGAGACAGTTTATGTAGCAATATTTACTGGTATGCTGCTTATTTAATGCAAGCAGTAAAATCAGAGTAAATGATGACATGAGATGCTGCATTAAATTATAGATTGCAAAATGAATTATATTATTCTACTGATTGATTTTTGTTTTCTCAGACCAATAAATAGACACTATAAAAAGTCCAAGACTGATATATTTCTCTTCCAACCTACACTTTTAAAAAGTCATGCTTTTCTAAACTTCTAGTAGTAAACTTTCCAAATATTTTCAGGTTGTACCTCTTTGAGTTGGTGGAAACCTTGGTTTTGTTGATTTTGGTCATTAAAAGAAAGGACAATTATAACTTAAATTAAAAATGATTTTCTCTGATCATCAAATTCATATCCAGGTGAGACCATTATAACACACTTATATTTAGAATATATTATTACTAAAATTGCTCTCTTCTAATTGGAATGAAGAAAGTTAAGAAAGTACCTTTTTAAATTTTAAAATAAAATTACATATAAAGGAATGAAATATTAGGATTTGTAATATTTAATTCTTTTAACTAGAGTTGAAGTGGTGTTTTAAGCCATTAGTTAAATACTGCAAAGCAATGCACTTTTTTCTGTAATAAAATCTAGAAAATATACTTTGATCTGCAACTTTATTGGGCTAAAATGTATTCTGAATTAAAACCCTCATGCTGAAGTCTACTTGTTTTCTACGCAGGCTCCAGTCTTCTCTTTTTCATTCCTTGGCCTTTTCGGTATGGGCTACGTTCAGCTGAAATACAAAACAGTCATTCAGAAAAGAGTTTCCTTCTAAACAAAATATTTTTCACCTAGTTTCTTTTCTTTATCTACAATAAAATGTATCCTGTTTCATTTTTCACCACTGCATTTTAAGCAATTTTACTTTACAATTTTACTGGATATAATTCATTGGCTGAAATACTGGGAAAAATGAAGGGTTTTTTTTTTCTCTGCGCTCTGCAGAATTTAGACATACTTTAGATTACCGTCCAGTTTTATATGCTGAGCTATCATATTTCACGTACAACAGGCTTCATAGTTCAGAAGCTGTATTTTAGCTGCTTTTCACAGAGGAGATAATATGTTATTTGTTCTCCCCTATTACGTGCATTTGTCATATAGTCTACAGTAGTTAATATAGACAAAAGTTATTTGTTTAGCTATCTCCTTTATAGTTTACCTCAGGGGTCCCCAACCCCTGGTCCGTGGACCAGTACCGGGTCGCAGCATGCCAGCAACTGGTCCACACAAACAAGCAAAGCACCATCCGCGGGATGTAGGCAGCACACAAAATCACGTCCCCTCTGGTCCACGGAAAAATCTCTCTCCATGTAACCGGTTCCTGATGCCCAAAGGTTTAGGGACCTCTCATTTACCTGATGAGTAAGATTTGGGACTGGAGGATAGATTCCAAGATGATTTTATACTCGATTGCTGATTATTTATTCTTTGTGGGGTTCGGCTGCGAGTCATCATGGTATGCTGTCCAAGAGGTGACCGTAAGCATTGGGCTGGCACAGCTGCTGCATTATGATCGGTCGCTTCCAAAGGAAAGTCCCAGAGTTCTGGATCATCTGTAACCAGTCAGGTATTAAAACCAGAACCTCAACTATTGCTCATTCAATTAGGCATCTGATTTCCAACAGCTCTGGATTGTAATGGAAGCGGCGATGTTCAGGGTCAAGCTCAGATATGTGACTGTTTAAATCTGAGTTTTTCTAGAAAAAGGGAATGTGGATGAGTAACATCTTGGCTCCCAGTAACTTTTCATTGTAAATGCCTACTGGCTGTTTCTTCCTTTTGCTACAGTCCTTCTCCTCCCCCCCCCCCTCCCGGTCTGCATTCATCATCAAACCAGATGTGTTGGGGAGGAGTTGCCTGAGAAAAGGATGCACATTGTACCCTAATAATTGGTGCTGCGAATACCATGAAAACTATGAGCTGGTCGCCTTAAAGCAATTTTACACTCACCTGCAAGGAATTCTTCATCCACAACAGGTTCTGGTTGTGCAGAAGAGTTGCATTCCAAGGCAGGGGGAATGGACGCCTCTGTATTCAGAGAACAGAATGATTGAAAAAGTGAACCGTTCCCCACCTTTCTAATCTGAGGCAGGGAGACAGGATCAAGGTAGGTAAAACTGAATTGGCGATTGGCATATGGCATATCGGTCTTTTCCTTATTTCATCCAAGGAGAATCAGTGGTTGCTCAAGTGTGCAACTTCAAGTTGCTGTAGGTCTAGTTCAGGGGTAGGCAACCTTGGCTCTTTTATGACTCGTGGACTTCAACTCCCAGAATTCCTGAGCCAGCCATGCTGAGGAGAAAGGGAGAGGTTTCCAAGCTGAGCCATGCTGGCTCAAGAATTCTGGGAGTTGAAGTCTACGAGTCATAAAAGACCCAAGGTTGCCTACCCCTGGTCCAGTTCCCACTGTTCTCTTTCTTCCCAGAAGATACAGATTGGGAAAGGAGATTTTATTGTCTCCCTTTCCCTTCCCAGGTTCCTTTTTTTCTTCTGGCACTTAAGAACTACAGTGAAGGGTCAGTCATCACTGAGTATTTTTTGCTATTGTCTTTGTAATTTTTAATGTTAATTTAATTAAAAGGCAAGACAAGAAAGAATGGATGGAAACTAATCAAGGAGAGAAGCAGCCTGGAATTAAGGAGAAACTTCCTAACAGTGAGGACAATTAACCCATGGAATAGCTTGCCTGTGGGTGCTTCATCACTGGAGGTTTTTAAGAATAGACCCGGACAGCCACTTGTCTGAAATTGTATCGGGTCTCCTCCTTGAGCAGGGGGTTGGACTAGAAGACCTCCAAGGTTCCTTCCAGCTGATTTGATTGATTTTCTTTTGGGAGGGGGAGCTTCATGATTCTTAATGTTCCTGTTCTGTTTACGACTCCTTATAATTCTCTTGAGTTACAAGGAAGAGCTATGATAGCCTTTCACTGCCTTATCCCCCCCCCGTCCCTCAAATGAATTGAGTTGCTATATTTATATTTAAATATTTTTTTCAAGTAAAATCTAAAATCCATTGGAATACTTTGGGATAGTCATTGTACTTGATTCCCCCCTCCACCCCCTTCAATATTTTAGTTCAAACACTTATTGGAAAAGGTTTCAAATGTGATCCAATAGCACCTGGGAAAGTTTCAGGAGCAACAGAAGTCAATACAACTCCCTAATTCTTCAGGTCAAAGCCTTTTCCATCCGCCTCAGCTCCACATCACTGTATTTTCTTACAAATCTATATCTAAATTGCTTCACAAAGTCTACTTATGGCTCAACTATTTAAATCTTTGTCAATCAGACTTGCCCCCAATAATTATTTGACCGCCTCCTGTTTAAACATGCTGACCTCTGCATCCCTAAAATTACTCCAGATTATTTATTTCCTTTCCTCTATTTTTCTTGAAATGGTAAAACTGGTTGATATTAACAGGTTATGCATTTTTGTGTATAATAAACCTTTGCTTTGCTTAGCAGGTCATTCTCTCACACTGACAAAGGCATAATTAAAATGGAATGAATTAACCATACTACATACATTCTTCTCTATCCAGGGTCAATCAGAATACAGCTGGAAGGAACCTTGGAGGTCTTCTAGTCCAACCCAAGTGGCTGTCCAGTCTCTTCTTAAAAAGCCTCTAGTGATGGAGCACCCACAACTTCTGAAGGCAAGCTGTTCCACTGGTTAATTGTCCTCACTGTTAGGAAGTTTCTCCTTAATTCCAGGTTGCTTCTTTCCTTGATTAGTTTCCATCCATTTTTTACTTATCCTGCCTTCAAGTGCTTTGGAGAATAGGTTGACCCCCTCTTTTTTGTGGCAATCCCTCAAATACTGGGATACTGCTATCATGTCACCCCCCGTCCTTCTTTTCTCTAGAGTGGCCAAGCCCCAGTTCCTGCAACTCTCTTTACCTTGATCTTTAGTTCTGCAACCTGAAACATCTGACTGTATCTGCTGCTTCTCCTGCATCTGCTGTCTGAACTTCTGTTGAAGCTGCTTCTGTCGCATCTTCCGATGGTGAGTTGCATCATAATCCAAGGGCAGTGAGTTCCTATGATGACAGAATATAAACCCTGTAGCTCATTAATAACATTTCCTCAAGTTGGATAGCAAGGCATGTTTATGGCATATTAAATTTCAATTCCATAATACTTTCTTCTAATAACTTACTTAAGACCCAGGAATACCAGGATGAACTAAGGAGAAAGAAACTCATGCTGGATAATAATAAATTCTGAAAGCAGAATGTTAACACCACCAGAGGGCATCAGGCAGAAAAAAATCTGCTATAGGATATATGAGCCACTTCGGTATGTACTTTACCAATTTTGTAGGCACTTAGGAAATAGGAAACATTTAATTCATATAAAGCAATCCTGCATTACTTTTTCTTTCCCTACTGCCAGAAGAAAAGTGGAATATCTGATAACACCCAGGAATTTCTTGCTAAATTAAAGTTCAGAATACATTTGATAGCAACTTTCTAATGGCATTATGAAAAGTTTAAAATTTCAAAATATGCACTTGTGGGAAAAATTGAACAAAGCTGCTGACCTGTTTTGGTTTTGTCCAATAGCATTCAAGGGAGAACCCAACCTGTGAGATTTGCCAGGAGTTGGCAAGGAAAAGAATTTCTGGTCTTCACTTCCTTTCTGCAAGCAGCTATTATATCTTGCCTTTTCTATAGAAGGATCAAAGTCCTGCCTTTTGACTTTGCCCAAATCTAAATCTGGAGGCATCTAGAAAAAGGATGAAACAGAAAGCCATTCAAGTAGAGAAATTCAGAAAATAGTAGAAGCATGTCACAGAATTTATCAGGGGGAAGCTGCCCAGGAAATGCATTTCCCTCCCCCCCCTGCACCCAAGTCCACAGATGAAGCTACCCAGGAAACAACTGGTATTTTGTGCAGAATTTGCCTCTTCACACCACACTTTTAGCTGTAAACTGAGCTAATGTGGTTATTTATCTTTTAAAGCAAAGTACAGTTACTCTTAGTGCCGTGTACCCTGTAGATCACCTTTGGCTTCTTTTTATTTTTATGACAATCAAAAATCAAAGACCATATTAAATATTAGGAGATGATCAGGTTGTGCCCGAGGGAGGGGCCAAGCGCATCATCAGTCTCAAGTCCCTTTGCGCCCACAAGAGAACTTAGCTCCAGCCCATCTTGAATTCCATTGCCTCTTATCTACTGCCAATTTGCTTTGATCTCTTGTAGAGGGGTGTTAGCATGAAATCATTTGAACTGCTTTGACTCCTGATTTCCTGTGCTTGACATTAAAACTATTAAAACCAAATGTATATATAAAAAAAACCTGATGTCAAGTCAAGCTTCCAATGTGTAGTCATCTGTTTTTATCCCAGCACTTGGAAGGAAAGAAGGTCTTCGGTGCTTTATGGAAGGTTAAGAGGGTGGAGGCCTGCTGAACTTTGGGGGAAAGTTACTATAGAGAGGAGCTGTCACAGAAAAGGCACGCTTCCTAGCCCCCATAGGGGGGCAACGTTTAAAGTAAGGGACTAGGAGCTTGCTCACCCTTATCTTACCTGGTAGAATGGATAGATGACTTTAGAGAAAGAGGATCCTGCAAATAACCTATGCCTATGCCATAAAGGCTTTATAGGTGATGAGCAACATCTTGATTTGCACTCAGGAAAAAAAAACTGGAAGTCACTGCAGCTCATTCAACAGAGGTATTAATGGGCAGATTCAGGGGCACCCATCACAGTGCATCCTGCTGCATTCTGGACCAGTGGGAGCTTTTTGGTGGTCTTCAAGGGTAGCCCTATGTAGAGCACACTGCAGTAATCCAAATGGGAGGTGATCGAGGCATAGGCAAGGCCTCCCAGTGAAGGAAAGGATGCAATTGATGCACTAGAAAAATCTGTGCAAAGGCTCCCAAACTCAAGCAGGAGCCGAGTCCAGGAGACACCCCCCCCCCAAGTTGCACAGCAGCTCAGTTCAGGAAAATACCACCCACCCAAAGATTAAATATCATCTGGACATGAGGAACCAAAAACCCCGAGTCATTTCATCTCACCAGGGTGAATTAAACCTGGTTCCCCCACATCTGGACCCTTACAGCCTTCCGGTATTTGTCCTGCATTGCCATAGCATCATCTTTCTGGCTGAGGGTGGAGATGCATCATTGGGTATCATCAGCATTGTAAGGCCCTAGGACTCGACCTCTCCCCTCATATTAATACTGACTGGAACCAGCCACAGAGAAAGAAGGAGAACCATCATACCACAGTGCCTCCCACTCCCAGCCCTCAAAGCCAATCCATGATACAATAGTTGAAGGTATCAAAAGCCGCTGTGGTCCAGGAGGGCAGAATGGTTGCACCACTTTCATTCTGAGCCCTCCAAAGGTCATTGACTAGTGCAGGGGTAGGCAACCTTGGCTCTTTTATGACTCGTGGACTTCAACTCTCAGAATTCCTGAGCCAGCCATGCTGAGGGGTAAGGGAGAGTTTCCAAGCTGAGCCAAGCTGGCTCAGGAATTCTGGGAGTTGAAGTCCACGAGTCATAAAAGAGCCAAGGTTGCCTACCCCTGGACTAATGCAACCAATGCCGTTTTAATGCTGTTTTCTGATCCGAACCCAGACCGAAAAGGATCCAGATAATCCGCTTTATCCAGGGCCATTTGTAGCTGTCAGCCAACCACCTTTTCAACAACCTTCCCTAAAAAGGGAACATTTGAGACTAGACTAGAGTGATCCAATTACAGGCTTTAAAAAGTAAATAAATAAAGGTTAATGTTGTGGCAGTGGTGAAGGATATTGAAAGAGGAAAACTATAAATTTTTAGACATGTTTAGAAGCTTATAGTGTGATCTTAGAAATGATATACAAAAATATTTACCCCCTTATTTGGGGTAAATAAGTAAAGGAACTGCAGATTCAAGATAATTTATCCAAAGGGTCGTAAGGTAGAAAAAAAATATACTCTAAGGTCCACATAAAAGTTACATGAATGCACATATGTTTTTGTGCATGTTGCAGAATCCTTTTCAAAATAAGACAAAAGTACTTGTTTTATAATACTAGAATGATGGCGTAATACTTTTGGCTTAGTTCTGAATAATAATAAAAAAAGAGAAAACATTTCTAATAGAAAAAAAAGCTAAAAGCCTGAAATCCCATGACTATGAAGAATACATTAGGCAAGTTACTATTAATTTTACAATTTGTGCTCATTCCAGATTTTGGCATTTTTATTTTTTTTTGCCACCTGCTTTCCTCCCCTCCCCCCTCACAACATACCTGACGGGGGAGCTTATTCACCAAGCGCAAGTAGTCTTTATCCAAAATACAGTTCCCAAGAGCATTACCAAAGCACCTGAAGAGACAGATGGCTGCTTCTTAAAATATAATTCTGTATTTCACAACAAAAAATATTGTACGCATTGGTTACTCTTACTTTAGGGCCCTCTTTAATCCGTCTGTGACAGCCTCTTTCCTTGCTTTCTCAAGGGACAAGGCCTTAGATTTCAAGCCTTCACTTACTCCATAGCCAACATCTTCATGGTAAGCCCCATCCTGCAATATGAGTAGATCAGTGATGGCGAACCTATGGCACACGTGCCAGAGGCGGCACTCAGAGCCCTCTCTGTGGGCACACCTGCCACCACTGCCGCCAGCTCATGCAGGTCCACTAGGCCACTGCTGGCGCCCGGAGCGGCAGCCCCACCCAGCACAAAAGAGGTGAAGCAGCTGGCTAGCAAGCTCGAGTAGAGGTGGTAGAGCATCCCCCCATCTGCTCGCTGGCCTATGTGTGCAGGGGTTGATGGTGTCAGGCAGCACCAACCCTGCCTCGCCTTGCCCCGCAGCAATGGCATCCCCACCCTACCCCCTGCCTCACCCCGCAGGACGAGCCTCTTGCCCACCACTCCACCCACCAGAGAACCCCTGGATCTTCCCCAATCCTGCCCAGCCCCCACAGGCATCCCCCCCATGAGCAACATCAAGGTGGCCACGCCCACCCCGACCATGCCCATTCTGTCGTGACCACCACAGCCACGCCCACCCAGTCGGCCACCCCCCCCCCCCGAGGGCACCACAATGCTGATGTGGCCCTGGCACTTTGCGATAAATAAGTGGGTTTTGGATTGTGGTTTGGGCACCCGGTTTCTAAAAGGTTCGCCATCACTGGAGTAGATTATACTATATTCCCCTATTACTATAATTACTTTAACAATTCATTTCTTGATATTTGAAGAAAAATGAATGGAGGACTGTGGTGCATTCAGTTTTTCTGGAATCTACAGGGATTTGGATACTTAATCTGCCGTATCACACCACTTCAACTTATTTTCATTCTTCAAGGCAAGTATATCTTTGGCCCATAACAAGGAGGCAGATATAAGTGGAATAACTTCTTCATCATTAGACAAATAATTTGATCCCTTTCAACCAATAACAGAACAAACAATGGTAAAAGTTTTATATAACAATATAGTCTCTCCACCCAGGTGTTAATAATACCTTCAAGAATTCTTATTGTGCACATTTAACTCAACGGTCCCCAACTTTCCGGCTTGGCGGCCAGTGTGTGTGTGGGTGTGAAGAGATTTTTCTGTACGAATGGCAGGAGCATGCATTCACATGTGCAGTTCCATTTGTGTGAATAGCAGGCGCACATGTGTGTTGCTCACGCAAACGGAGCTGCACATGCAAGTATACGCACCTGCTGCTCGCACAAGTGGAGCAGTGTGCACATGCTCGCCCACTGCTTGTGCGGCCTGGTTCTGAATGGGGCTTGGCCTGATAGTGGACTGCGGCCCGGGGTTGGGGGCCCCTGATTTAACTGTCTGTCACTAAAAACTCCACCTAAGTAGAATACCCACCATCTCCCACACATGCATGCTTACCTTAAGCTGAACTTTCACAAAGGCACAAACACCCACATAGAATTTGCCGTTATTTAGATCAACAAAATCTTCAAAAGGAGAAAGAAAAAGTTACACTAAAGACTAAAGCAAGAGTCAGTCACAGAAATATATAAAAATGCATATGAATTAAAAAAAAAACAAGGACCCCTGGTAGCTTTCATTCTTCAAAAGAAAACTTAGGCCAAACACAGTACAAATTATATAAATAGAAAACAAGGAAACACGCTTGACTAAAATTAAACTCAACGGTGCCTGGTAATTTTCATTGTTTTAATAAACAGCTGTTTATAGTTAGTGCTTATTAATTGTAAGATTTCCTATTTGAGACAATCACAATCTCTATAAATATTATTCTGTTAATTAGAAGTACCAAACGAGCTTTACTTTTCATCGTATTATCTATCCGTGCTTGACCTTTCCTAAAAAAAAACTGCTACAGGAAAAGGATAGAGTCAAGTACACAGCTGAAATGATGAATACACCCATCTTGCATTGTTAATCTATCATGGCATTATCTGGCATGAAGGATACATTTCATTTCCTTAATCCTAATTCATACAGTATTTACTTGTTGCACTAATAATTAGAACAAAACCTCTGTACAACAATTGCTTTTTGAAAGATTTAGAATCTAATTCTTAACCTTACAAACTACCAGTTTCAAACAATGTAAAGCAGGGATCCTCAACCTTGGCAACTTTAAGACTTGTGGACTTCAACTCCCAGAATTCCTCAGCCAGCAAAGCTGGCTGAGGAATTCTGGGAATTGAAGTCCACAAGTCTTAAAGTTGCCAAAGCTGAGGACCCCTGATGTAAAGTATAGCAAGTGACAAAGGCTAGACGTGGAAGGAAGCAATCACAGAAGGAATGGTAACAAGAGAGACAGTGAGCACAAATAACAAAAGTGCAACAGAATTCAAGACTTAAGAATACTGGATCTGGTCACAGAGAACAATTTTAGACATCTATCAAATTAGAAAAGCAAATTAATAAATAAATAAGGGTGCTTGAAAGCACTAGCAAAAGAAACATAAAAACTGTAATGCACTAGTACAGGTGTAGGAAACCTTGGCTCTTTTATGACTCTTGGACTTCAACTCCCAGAATTCCTGAGCCAGCATGGCTCAGCTTGGAAACCTCTCCCTTTCCCCTCAGCATGGCTGACTCAGGAATTCTGGGAGTTGAAGTCCACGAGTCAGAAAAGAGCCAAGGTTGCCTACCCCTGCACTAGTAGAATAATAGGATGTTGTGGTGATTTCACTCAAGAGGTAAGAGAACTACAACATAGATAAGCAAATCTGCTTTCTGGCTGGCAAATACAATCGAAAATGATGAATATACATCAATTTCATATGCAAACCAACTCAAAGAAACTCTTGGCCCGCCTCGCACATCAAGGTCTCAAAAGTTGCCTGAGGAAGAGAGGCAATTCTATAATTCCTCATGACATTTCTCATGCTCTTCTACAATGGCTTTTTGTCAGGAACACAGGGGAAATAAGCAAAACTGCTTCCAAACTTTTCTCTACATGAACTCTATTACCAGATCAAAGAGGCCTCCATGAGCAAAGCAGTATTGCAATATTCCCAATATCTTTTCTTTTACATTTAAGAACTGACTTTATGGGAATGGGAATATTTTTCTCACATTTTCCAGTTGTTATTGGACTCACCAACGTTCTGCTGAGTGACAGAATGAGCCCAGCCATTATAGCCAAACATTTCATTGGCCAGGCTGATGACTCTGTGTCCCTCTATGTAGCACACCTGAGAGAAGAAAGGAAATAGGTTTTGCTGTAGCCTAACATGTAATGTCAAAGATCCATTTTTTATCTCACATTCAAGGAGGATCTATAGCAGTGATGGCGAACCTCTGGCAGCACTCAGAGCTCTCTCTGTGGGCACACCTGCCGCCGCTGCCAGCTCATGCAGGTCCATTAGGCCACTGCTGGCGCCCGGAGCAGCAGCCCCACCCAGCACAAAAGAGGCGAAGCAGCTGGCTAGCAAGCTCGAGTAGAGGTGGTAGAGCATCCCCCCATCTGCTCGCTGGCCTCTGTGTGCAGGGGCTGATGGTGTCAGGCAGCAGCCACCCCTGCCTCGCCTTGCCCCGCAGCAATGGCACCCCCACCCTACCCCCTGCCTCACCTCGCAGGACGAGCCTCCTGCCCACCGTCCCACCCACCAGAGAATCTTCCCCAATCCTGCCCAGCCCCCACAGGCATTCCCAACATGAGCAACATCAAGATGGCCACGCCCACCCCGGCCATGCCCACTCAGTCTGCTGTGACCACCGCAGCCACTCCCACCCAGTGGGCCACCCCCACCCCCCCTGAGGGCACCACAATGCTGAGGTGGCCCTGGCACTTTGCGATAAATAAGTGGGTTTTGGGTTGCGGTTTGGGCACCCGGTCTCTAATAGGTTTGCCATCACTGATCTATAGCTATGTAATAGAGTTTCTAACTGATATAGCACAGCATAGACCATAAAGAAGCAGGTAACAGAATGCATTCTAACAGGGCTTAGTTTTTTACGTTTACCAAGTCGGAGACAGACACTATTTTCATGTAAATGGCTCTGTACATGAGAGTTATATATAAATATTAAATTGATCAGATGGATGCTATTTCAGGAAAAGAATGCTGGTAATATCTCAAAATCTAGGCCACAATGTGGGATGGGTTATGGAGGGAACAAGGGTGGGACTGAGCATTATATGCGTCATTCTCCTCTAAATGTGTGAAAAGCTATTAAAGATTCAGTGCCATGGAACACGAGATCCTTCGTACAACTACTTTGGCAATACACACAAAATATAATATTGTAATAAAAACCTGGCATTTAGAGACATTTTGCCCAGGATTACGTTTATTTTTCTCTTGAAATCTCCGGTCAGCAGTTCTAATTTGGCAACCTGAAGGTTAGTATTAATCTTTTAACAGTCTGGTCTGGTGATACTAGCTGTTGACAACGATACAGTACATGTTAAAAAAAAAAAAGTGTTAATGCATCTGAACATGCTACTCCAAGCATGCCGGGGTCACATCTCTGGGGTTAAAAGGATGCTTTTCGGTATAAAGTAGATGAAAGCTCTAGCTATACTTTGTACCTTCTGTCCTCCTCCAGCTTGTCGGCTACTGATGTATTCTGGGCCCAGCCTCTGCCGCAGAGCAGCCTGAACAGCGTGGTATTCATCTGCTGTATACCGGCACTTCACAGACACAAAAATCAACAGATTTAAATACCTTTCTCTCTTCTTGCCTCTTCTGGTTGTTTCCATTTCAAGATTTAGTTTGCTCATACTTAAGTGTTTTTCAAGATGAAAGAATAAACTGCACTCTGACAATATGGTCATAAATTATAAAATGATAAAAATAATATCTTTAGAGTCCACCCCTGAAGTCTCACTATCTTAGCGCAAATTGAAGGGATAGTTTTATCAGCACATTGCCTAGTATTCCTCATCAAGAAGCAATTTACGAATTCATCCCCCCCCAAAAAAAAAACAAAAAACCACTCAAACGTCAACACTGTACAAAGTCTTCTTTGTAAAATAATCTCAATAATACCTGAGTGTCACTTTTTCCGCATAGGATACAAAATACATTGGGATTATTTCAGAAAGATTGATTAGCACCAACCTGATTTTTTTAAATATATTTTATTGATTTTTTTACAATAACAATCTTTGGTGCTTAGTGAACAGCATGTTGTCTGGGTTTATATATTTAAAAAACAATAATAATTTCTATAATTCCATAATCAATATATTAATGATATATTTCCCTGACCTTCTCTTCTTCCAGTAGTATTCTCCTTTTGTCAACATTAAACAAATATAGCTCTTAATACTTTCGATACATACAAGGTTGGATAGAAAAATTTTTCTTGTGTTTGTACAAATAACAGCAACATCAGCATATAACATCTTTTCTGATCAGTTCATGTTTCAACTGTATTTGTAAAAGTCATCTTATTATTAACCTGATTTTCACCAAGGCCTGTTTCCCACTGACATTTCTAAATAAGTTTACTACAGATTTGTTACGATGATGTAGAAACCATATTCTTATCCTTAATAAATGTTGCATAATGCCTCATCACTGAGAATCTTAGATAGCTGCATCAAGATGGGCTACAAACTAACTAACTAAAGGCAGTGATATACTGACCTGCCCAAACCACGTATTGGCTGTGTCATTGGTGTTGACATTTCCATCTCTTGCCATTTCTATCCTGGACATCCCTCCAAAAAAAAAAAAGAAAATAAATATACGTATTAGAATTGGAATATTCTTTATTGGCCATGTGTGATTGGGAACACAAGGAATTTGTCTCCGGTACATAAGCTCTCACTGTACATACAAACAGCAAAGTGATATGTCATAGACCATAAATCATAAGATACAATCATAAATGGTAAGATACAAACAAGTGATAAATCATAAGATATCAATAGGAGAAAGTAAGTTCCATTAATACGTTGAATCAATAGTAATCCCAAATATTTCAAAGAATTAGTGTGAAGATATTTCCTCAGAATTAGCAGAGCAGGATATCCCACACAGAAGCTCTGCACAGATTTTGTTCTTTTTCCAGAATTTGACTTTTCCTAATAAACGTAAAAGATAGCATTTTATTTCAGTAGGAGAAAGGGATGCACCTGAAACCAAGAATAGCTTTCCCCTTATATTGCTATGACTCCTTGATCATTCTAATGGCTGAGATGAAAGGCAGGGTGTTTTCCTGATTATAAAAATTAGATGCAAATATATATGCATCAATTTCCATAAAACAAAGCAACACTTATTTCAGAAAGGAGCAGATGTGTCTATTTCAACCTAAATCTGAACAGAATTACTCTGCACAAATGCTGACAGGAAGGCTGCCTAAGCGTAACAATCTGGTATTACTGAATATTTGCACTACACCTGCCATAAATCTTGAGAAGCACAGCCTGTCAGAAATGAAATTCAAAACCTTTGAAAGGCATCAAGTTGCTTACTCTCAAATGGATGAAAATGCCTTTTTGGTTCTATATACATACATACATACATACATCATGGCGTTCCCCTTCAGATTAGATATTATGCAAAATGCAAAAAAGCAATAAGAAACAGTCGATGAAAGTCATGAGATAAGGAAAAGAAAAGGAACACAGCTAAAAGTAGTTTATCCCAATCTTATTCACTTTACCGCTCTATCTTTTCAGACCATTTTTGCTTCCGCCATACAGTACCTATATACCAGTGATGGCAAACCTTTTAGAGACCGAGTGCCCAAACTGCAACCCAAAACCCACTTATTTATTGCTGGGTGCCAGGTGGGCATGGCCCACTGGGTGAGCGTGGCTGTGGTGGTCATGGCAGATTGGGTGGGTGTGGCCAAGGTGGGCGTGATCACCTCGATGTTACTCATGGGGAGGGACGCCTGTGGGGGCCGGGCAGGGTTGGAGGAGATCCAGGGGGTCTCTGGCAGGTGGGGCGGTGGGCAGAAGGCTCGTCCTGCGGGGTGAGGCGAGGCAAGGCAAGGCAAGGGTGCCATTGTCACAGGGCAAGATGAGGTAGGGGCTGGGGTGACTGCTGCCTGACACCATCAGTTGCTGCACACAGAGGCCAGTGAGTGCATGGGTGCTGGGATGCATCTGGTCATGTGGGACCTCAGCAACTTAGGCAGCTGGTTGAAGAGGGACAGTTGCCATCTCCTGGGCATGGCGCATGTGCCCACAGAGAGGGCTCTGAGTGCTACCCCTGGCATGCGTGCCATAGGTTCGCCACCACTGCTATATACCGTTTTATATACTGCTTTGGTCCTTTAAGAAGGTGGATATATTTCCTCTTTATCTTTTCACTCTTCCTTCATATATTTCTTTTGCAATACAGTCCTCACTCAAACCCAAATCTCCTCAACCTTTTTCTTTCATACTAGTCACTCATGTTTGTATTCAGTCCATGTTTACTTAACACCCATTCATTCTTGACCTAGATCTTGTTTTACAGGTCATGCTTTTCAGTCATTCCTCTCTCATTGCATTAAATTTAGATTTATGTTTTTCCAGGCATATCCAAGTCTCACTTCCAAATAATAAAACTGGCAGAAGCATGCTCCTATGCATAGTTATTTTAGCTATTTTTAGCTACTTCATTTTTCACAATAGAGCTCATACTCTCCATTACATTTTACCAGTATTTACACATCTTGAAATACCAGAATCATTTTCCTATCTTTAGTAAATAATCTATCAAGGTATTCAAACTACCAGATCTGGTTTTTCGCCACGAGTATTATTTACAATTGGTCACCTCATTTTCTCAATCAAACATAACTACAAGTTTAAATTCCATATTTCTTGTTGCATCATAAAATCAAGCATTTGTTGCAAATCCTTTGGATTTTTAACCATCAGCACAATACTCCATACAAAAACAAATGCACATTGTTGTCCCTAATCAACATATTTTCATTCTCGCCACAAGCACCCCTTATATAATTATATAGTACATTTTAACATTTTTTTTCATAATAAAACTACATTCTCTCTTTTCTGCATGAATTCATGAACTCTACTAACAAGACCAGGCCACCTTAACTCAAATCTATTACACTCTTTCCCTTTCTCTTAGTTTCAAAGAGATACAACAATGCGCTTTTATTTGCCAATTCACACTCTTTGCCATTTAGGCAGCCTATATTTCAAATCCCAATGTTCCAAATGCTATTTTCATCAAATAGGCCCCCAAATGGATCTCCAGTGTCAATAATGATCTCTATTAATCAAATCTTTCGATATTTTTTGGTAAAGTGGAAAAGATATACATTTAGCTATTGGTCTTAGTTATATCAATGTATTGTATATATCCTGCTAATAGTAACGATGGTAATCTAGCTTGACCCATTTTATCCAACATGGCACAGTACAGCTAAAGCTCAGTATTATAGACACATACTTTGTTACACACAGAAAATATTATACCACATAGCAATATCCAATGCTTATTTTAAAATTCCCCAAAGCATCCAGATTCTTATACCAGTAGCATCTGAGAAAAAATAAAGAAACTTTTAAAATGTATTTTTAGAACATTGTTTTAAAACAGCTACCAATTTTCTTGTAGCTGATCAAAGCTTCTGTTTCTTTCCACAAAAGAAAAAGCAAATGATTAGAGGTTCTTACGGTGTTCGCTGACAGATTGTGTATCCTTCCAGTCGTCTTGAAAGAACTGAGCAAACTCCTCCGCCCTATAAATTAAAATTTTCTTCAGCCAGTTTGATATACTTGTATCTTTTTATAATAAGCATTTTAAAAATTTGAAAATTACAAACACATAAATCAGAAAGCGAACTTCTTACTTGGAACAAAAGACACAAGTGTGTATTTTAAACATTAGTATTAACCATTTTTGCCTGTGCAATTTCTAAAAGATCATATTTTTCAGTTACTCATAAAATTAATCAAAGTACTTTTACCCTTATATTTTTTTCTCTATCTCCCTATAGAAAACATACAAGGATTGGAATGTACATGTTGCAGACTCAGTTACAACTATATGGAGAAAACCCATATATTCCATGACTAAAGAACAGCAAGATGTAACTCTAGTAGCTAATTTATTTTCATTGTTTATTATCTGCTTCTTGCACCTATATTGTTAATGTTTATTTTGTTACTTTAAATAGAACTTTGAGCATCAAATAAGAACTTTGTATAATTTTATAGCAATATCAATTTTTGCCACTGTCTAGAACTTTTCTAATTTTTCAAAATATATAATTGAACAATATTCCAATGTGGATTACACAATAAATATATAGACATTATAATGTAGATAATCATTGACTTTTTCACAAAAAAATGGTAACTGGCTTGAGCATTCATTAATCTGCAAGTAAGAACTTTGACTGATATATTTAAATAAAAGTAGAATTTTCAATTCTATTAGTATTAGAATAGAATTCTATTCACTCCCTGGTATTCAGAATGCTGCTTATAAGCGCTATGTGCTTAGAGCTCCAAGCATTGTTAGAGACCCCACACACCCACTTTACGGTCTGTTTCTGTTGCTCCCCTCTGAGAAGAGGTTTCAAAGTATTTCTAGCAGGATTACCCGATTTTGTAATAGCTTTGTTCCCTATGCCAGCCGTCTGGTAAACTTGCAAGATTCGTTTTTTGCGCCATGCACATGTATACATAATCCGAACTAGACTGTGTTGTTTCTCTGTGTCATATATGTGGGTATATGCATAATTCTGTATTTATTTATTTTTGTCATATTTATATACTGTATATTGGAGGTGGTGACCCTTTGAGAGCTGTATGCAACAAAATTTTATGTTAATGTATGCCGATTAGTGTGCATTCAAAGTGACAATAATGTTATTATTCTGTTCCATTCCATTCCAAAGATTCCTGAGTTAATTGCTTGGGTCATTTCCCAGAAATACAAGACTGTTGTAAAAATGTCTATAAAAGCAGGAGGGATATTCTTACTTGCCCTTTCTTTAACTTAAAATTTTAGAAATCATCATTCTAGCATACTTATGACCAGGGCTTTTTTTGTTATAGAACGCCCAGAACGGAGTTCCGACACTTTTTTTGGATGGAACCTTGTAGGGTAGGCAAGGCAGATGGTATGATGTGTGTGAGTTCTGGCACTTTTTTTTTTTTTTTTACAAAAAAAGTACTGCTTATGACCGTTGCTGTTTCCCAAGATCATCTGATCACCCATTGCAACCTTCTGACAAGCAAAGGCAATGGGGAAGCTAGATTCACTTAACAAACAGGTTACTAACTTATCAACTGCAGCAATTCACTTAACAAATGTGGCAAGAAAGGTCGTGAAATGGGGTAAAATTCACTTAACAAATGTCTCACTTAACAACAGAAATTTTGGGCTCAGTTGTGGTCGTAGATCAAGGACTGCCTATAGTTGTCTTTTTCCATAATTATTTTTGATTTTCCAATCTATGTTAATCCCTGCCCCCAAGGGGATTTCCTAGTGGTCCCCCTTTCTAACCAGCGCTAGATCTAGAGCTCCCAGTTCTAGCCAGATCTGATCCTGATTAGCAGTTCATGATCAACCTAAGCTTGCTATCCAGCTGAGTAAATTGAATAAAATATTTTATCAACTTACTTGAAAGTAGGATGCCTTGACCGCAAAGAAACTAAATAAATTTGGAATGGCACTCTCAGGCAGCTCTGAAGGGGGCGGCGATCGCTGAGCCCCTTTTAGCCCTCCGTACAAAGCAGCTGTAGCGGCACCACCTTCCCGGACAAAAGATAAATAAGCCCGAAGCCACCAAGAGCCGCCGCTGATTCCCCACGGTAAAAGCTTCAGCAACCAAGAGCAGGCAAACTTCCCGCTGCGTCGGACTGCGCTTGCGCCGGACCGCCTCTCGCGTTCGGAGGAGGAGCACTGAGGACTGGCATAGGAAGCGGGCATCCGGGACGTGTCTGGGAGTCGCCCAGGCCTTCTCGGAGAAGGCGGGAGAATGTTTCGGCAGCAAGCCTCTATTGGTCTAAAGGGGAGAGGGAGGGGGAGGGGGAGGAAAAGGATCGCCACGCGCCTCTCATGATTGGCAGGCTTAGGTGGGTGGGGCGTAAAGCGCTACGGTGAGCGGAGGGCCGAGGTGAATCGACATTCGGGAAAGGGAGAGGGAGGGAGGGGGAGGGCAGGGAGTGGGCCGAGCTGGTCGCGCGTGCCGGGAACTGATCGACCGGCCGATTGATCCCTCGGCGGGCAGCCTCGTAAAGGGCGGGAGAGACTCGCCGAGGCGTCACACGCCAGCGGGCAGGGCTCGCGACGAGGGGGCGGAGCCTGATTCTCGCCTTGCGCCGCGGCTGGAGGCGCGGGCGGGAGCCGCTGGCCGAGGTGAAGAGGCGCTGCCTAGGCGAGGCAGGGCGCAGCGGGCGAGGAAGCGGGCTTGCCCCCGGGACGCCGGCTGTACGGCTGACAGGTATCGGCGGCTATTTGGAAGCAGCCGGGGACCCGGCCTGGATCTTACCTGGCTACGGCCGAGCGGGATTGAGCTGGCGGTGGGGCGAGGGTTCCTGGCAATGGGTGGGGGGGAGAGTGGGGAGGGGAGCCCTCTGGGCGGGGCCTGCCAGCCTTGGTCATGAGGCTACCGCCCGGCCGCCCCCTAGCTTAGGACCCGTCAGCTGCCCTACGGCAGAGGAAGGTGGCCCCCTCAAGGCCTGCCTGGGCATCCGGGGTCCCTCGATCGGGAAAAATCTTCGATCGAGCAGCGCTTCGGCTAGGAGGAGGAGGCTCTCTTCGTCCTGGCTCCGTGCCTTGGAATTGAGTGGCCAAGCCCACCCGTCCTCCCCGCCGTGAGCCCCCCCGCGGGTCCCGCTAAGCCTTCCTTCACAATCCGTGGAACTACTCTTTGAAGACGTTCCATCCCTTTAAAAATAAAATAACTAGGATGCTTAGGACGAAGCTGTGAGCCGCAGCCCATTATCACATCCTGGCGGTGATTGACAGATAGGTGGTGGAGCCTTGAGAAAAAATCTTGACACTTTGACACATCTTAATGTCAAGCCAGTCCTTCTGTTTGTTCTCTTTTGACTTAATATTGCCCTCGGTGATCTCTGAAGGAGATGTGATGGTCTTGTTTGGATTAGTTGAGGTAACAAGTTGTTTTCTGTGCATCGCTTGAGCAATTGGATCATTTGGACCTTTGCAGGATCCTAAACTGTTTGATATTGAGACTTTAGGAAAAGTGCAAAGAAGAGCAGCTAAGATGATTAAAGGCCAGGAGACTAAAACATACAAAGAATGGGAACTGGGTATGGCTAGTCTAGAGAAAAGAAGGACTAGGGGGGATATTCCGGTATTTGAGAGGCAGCCACAAAGAGGAGGGGGTCAATTTATTTTCGAAGCACCAGAAGGCAGGACAAGAAACAATGGATGGAAAATAATCAAGGAGAGATGCAACCTGGAATTAAGGAGAAATTTCCTAACAGTGAGGACAATTAACCAGGGGAACAGTTTGCCATCAGAAGTTGTGGGTGCTCCATCACTGGGGGGGGGGGTTAAGAAGAGACTGGACAGTCATCTGAAATGGTATAGGGCAGTGGTTCTCAACCTTTCTAATGCCGCAACCCCATAATGCAGTTCCCCATGTTGTGGTGACCCCCAACCACTTATACATCACCGGGTGCCAGGGGCGTGGCCAAAGAAAAGGGGGGAAAATGGTGGACAGCCTTGTTTGGCGACCCCGGTGAAATGGTCATTCGACCCCAAATGGGGTCCCGACCCACAGGTTGTGAACCACTGGTATAGGGTCTCCTGCTTGAACAGGGGGCTGGAGTAGAAGACCTCCAAGAACCCTTCCAGCTCTATTCTGATTGACTGATGGATTTATAGATTCATTCTCATTTACAGTACTTGACTTATTCTTTCCTCCACTAATAGGCTCTTTGAAAATATGTGGTCAATAGTAGATAAGACATTAAAGTGGTGATTTTTTTTAAAGGACAGACAAAAGGTACAGAAAGAGATAGGGTTACTTGATAGGGCAGCCTGACAACTCTTTGTCATTTCCTATTTTAAAAAATTCTATTAAAATATGCTTTGATTCCTTTGTCAGTTTAAATAGATAGCCCTCTTATAGATACAGAAATTATCTTTTGAGAATTATGCTTATATATCCTACTGCATAATGTAATATAAACTTTGACATATGTAGCCATCATTTTAAAACTCATTTGAAATCACTTCAAATGTACAACAATTAAGCTTAAATTAAATAATTCAAAATAATGAATTTGAATGTTTTGATTTGATTGGTTCAAAAGAGATGATAGAAGTACTTTGTATATGTCTGTTGTTTCACATATTTGGCTTGGTTTTGTAATAACTTACATATTGTAGACCTTTGTCTCTGTTCAAATAAGATTTTGCTATTTTTGGTTAGCCAGAAAGCAGAGCAAACAGTTTTCTTATTTAAAAAAAAGCATGACTAAATGGAATAGATCCTCTCATGAAAGGGAGAGGTCTACTTTTATTTTACCTTCTAGAAAACAGTAAGAGTGGTTAGCTACATTTAACATTGATTTAGATATCATTATTCATTACATTGCAGGCCAGAGAGAAGATATGATGAGGGCCACCTTGAATTTAATATCTTTTGTTCCTACTCTAGCAGCACACTTTAATATGTGATATATCCTGCTTAACCCACTGTTTAGAACAAGGGGCAGCTGCTTTCTATTAAATGACTCTCTGCACTTTATGAAATCCAATGTACTTTAGCTACACAAGAAACAGTAAATGGTATTGCGTACATTATGAAATCGTCAGCTTTCTGCTCTTTGTTCTGTTCATGAGGAATTGTAGTTCTATTCAGAGTTCCACTGTTGTCTAGGGCTCCGAGGATAGCAAACAGCCATCATTAAAAAAATTTCTTTGCATCTGATCCAGTTGTGGCCTGAAGAAGGAGAACAACATATGATACATGTTCCAATAATCTCAGAAGGCTCATCCTTTTATCTGTTGTTTTTACTTCAAGCAGCAAAGTTATCTATTAAAGTCCAGTCCTGTGACCAAGGCTCCTCTCCTTTCAGGCCTTCCACTTTGCAAATTTAGATCATCTTTTTGGGGAGTTAACCATTTTTTGTTTGGTCTACTCCTTGCTGACCAGGAAAATATTTGACAATAAGCTGCATTTTCCATTCCATTCCAACTTATGTTACACGAATGGGAAAAATGAGTCTCTACACCCTATTGACATTCATTTAATATATATATTTTTGAGCTTTGGTCTTATCTAGTACCTGTGATGCTTCTGTTATTTTGTAGGCTTATGCTTTAAATGCTTAATTGAAGGAAATTTTGTTATTTTAACCACTTCTTTTAAAATGAAACTTTAATTGGTATAAAATAAAAACATGTTGTGTACTACAGACTAGAGTATTTTTGTCAGAAGTACCTTAAAAGTTATTGTTGTAAGCATAAAGAAAATATAAAAGAATGATACAGTATTTCAAAATTAACATTAAAAGGAGGAGGAGGATCAGCTTGAAATTTTAACCAAACTCTGAGTCTGTATAACAGAAATAGTAGGATTAAATAAAATTAAGGGACCCATCTAGAATTCTGTTAAGCATCAGAAAGCACACATATGACCGTTGCAGCATCTCCATGGTCATATGATCAAAATTCAGATCCTTGGCAACTGGCTCATATTTATGATGGTTGCAGTGTCCTGGGGTCATGTGATCACCTTTTGTGACCTTTTGACAAGCAAAACCAGTGGGGAAGCCAGATTCATTTAACAACTGCGTCAAGAAAGTTGTAAAATGGGGCAAAACTCACTCACCATCTCAGTAATGGAAATTTTAGACACAGTTGTGGCGATAAGTCAAGGACTATCTGTAAGTGTGGGGGGGGGGAAATAGCTGTCTTTTCATTGCTTGTAGTGAAAGACTTTATCTGAAATTAATGGAATGTGGATGGTTTTTGGTTCTCATTATACCACATTACTGATAGTATCAGTGGCTCTGTCAGGAGTATATCTTTCGCTGCATAATCAGAATTTTATACCAGTTGAATATTCTGTAATCATAATGATTCTTTTTAAAAAAATCTGCTTCTGGTAACAGCTTAGTTTCCTTTCAAACGTAGATTCAGAGAAAAAATTTCATGCAGATTTGCTTTTTTTAATATAGTAGCAACTGGTATGTTTGTATAACATTATGAGCAACTTCTTTTTAATCAGTAGTAGTGTATCTGATCTTGAGAAATCCATACGGAAAATTAGAGAAGTCAATATAAAAATGGACCAGTCCGTTTAATGTGGTGTAATTCTGACGCCACTTCAGAAACTAGGAGATCAAAAATAATTAGTTGACTCGGCAATCAATGTCAAGATTTTAGGTGATTTTTTTTCTTATTTCTTGCCTTATAGATTTCTATTTCTGTTCATTGTATATACAACTATTGTATATCGGTACTGTAGCTTAAAGGAAATGGTTTCACAAGGTATTGATGATCAGAACCTGATTATGTATCAGAAGATGTATAAAGCCTGTTCATACTTTTCATTGTTTGCCTAACTTGTACCTAAATGACAGGATATATTTATGAGAACTCTGATAAAAATATTATATTTTCTTGCTGTTTTATTGGATATTTCAGCCCCCCTTCCTGTAACAAAAAACAGTTCCAAAATACTATTAATAAAAACTAGTCATAGGGGAGGTAAATAAAACGAGCATTATGGAATTGCTGTTTTCATTTGTAGAACATAATTTTTAGGGTCTGTTCAGTGATGAGAGCATACTTGCTTATGTTGTTGCTTCATGTCAGAATAAATGACACTGAATTGCCTCATACTAAATAGTTCTGTAATAAGATTTAGGATAATCTGTGTACCTGTACCTTGTCTGTTTCTCCATGGACTATTTGCACATAGTTTGCCTCTTTCACTGTGTTTTTGTCTGGCTCTCTTGCCAGATGTGCTTTTAGCTCATCTTATTATATCCAACAGTCTTGGCTTCTCCACCCACAGCAATTTATTTTTTGTAACTAGTGAGTGAGATACAAAAATGCTTCTGTGACAACTCTAATTTGAATGTGCCTTGACAAACTGTATAATTAAGTACTTTTGTGCAGATCCTGAGAGCAAACAAATCCTAGCTCCAGAGAGTTAAAGTCAGGGTCTGTTTTCCAGCACTGACATCAAGCGTGTACCCACATCTAGAGATATGATGCAATTTAAGTTATCCAAAGCTGAAGGAAATAGGGATCTATTTGTAATCGAGAAGAAGGACACGTGGACTATTTGAATTATGAGAACAATCCTCATTATAACTTCAGAATGAGACATATTAACAACTGAGTAATTTCAATAGTCTTAGACATGTTACTGATACTCTGTCTTATTCTGCCAGTTTAGATTCAGATTTTTTTTTATTTGGGCTACTGTATAAAGAAATTATGACAGTTGAGAGGGTAACGTTTACACTCACATAATCGTATATGGAATCTATTCAGTTTTACATGATTGAGGAATCCTCAGATGATTCCTATATAGATGCAGCCATTTACTGATATTTTTACACCTTGATCATCTATATGAAGCAGACCAGTACATAGAAATTATTTTCCTTATGCTAATTTTCTGCAAACACGTAGAAGCAGCAGATCGTTCTTTCTAAAATTTGGTAACTGAGAAGGCAGTGTTAAGACTAAGTGTTATTTTCAAGTTCAGTATAACATATTTCTATATCTTGCTGTCAAAAGACATTTTACTAAATTGTAATGAGTAATGTAACTAGTGTCATTATTTTTCCTTTCCATATTCTCTTGCGCTCCAAATGTCCCTCGGGGATATGCAAACATTTTGATTCAAATAGAGCTATTCAAAGCAGTTTGAATCAAAATGTTGTACACATCATTTCTTTCTCTTCTAACAGTCTAAATATATGAATTCAAGATCTGCTTCTATCTGTATTCCATTCTATGTTCTTTCTTTAACTTCCCACCAATTAGAAATTCTACACTTTCTACACTGTTTCACTTTAATTAGATTTTTATATATATTGAATAATCTGAAACGATTGGTAGCTTTTTGTTGAACTAAGGCCATTGCTTTTTTGCCTTCACAATGATTTCATTAATTTTTTATTTATTTGATTTCTGTAGCCGCCCCTCTCAACCAAGAGCAAGAGCCGAGGTGGCGCAGCAGTTAGAGTGCAGTACTGCAGGCCACTTTAGCTGACTGTGTTCAGCAGGTCAGCGGTTCAAATCTCACCGGCTCAAGGTTGACTCAGCCTTCCATCCTTCTGGGGTAGGTAAAATGAGGACCCAGATTGTTGGGGGCAATGTAAATATATATATACATTGCTTACTGGTGTATACCGCTTAGAGAGTGCTTGCACTTAAAGCGGTATATAAATCTCATAAATAAATAAATAAAATAAACCAGCGACTCTGGGTGGTGTATATCATAAGTGACACAATGCTATTAACCATGCAGTAGTTGTGGTTTAGACCATGTTTTTAATCTGTTACAAAGAAACAAATCTTTTATTTATTGTCCTTTATTTATTATCAATGCCATATGTCACTTCTTAGTCTGTGTTACACAATGGTGTCTGAAATATTTACTAGCAGTGTCTCTGATAGATGGAGTTTTTGACTTTCAATTTAATAACAAAATTCTAAATTTCAGCATTAAAATCTAATGACTGACTCTTAAAAAATAGCACAAATCTTTGTAGCACAATTTTTAAAGGTATAATAATTGCATTTATGTTGTTGCCTTTATCATGATCTTTATATCTGAGCTATTTTATTTTTTTATGTATGTGCATAAGGAATTAATTCATAGATGTCACAGTGCAGAGAAATAAAGACGAGAAGTAAAGAGAAGTAAAGAAAAGTAGATAAGCTTGCAAGTATTATATGATACAGATTTTACAAATACTCCTGAGAGAGATTCAAAATAATTTAAAAATATTAAATTTACTTTCCTTGAGTAAATAATATACCATGTATTTGAACTCTTAGTAATATATGGAAATTTAAAGCATATTGAACAATAATTAGCAATGTAATAGATTGTGGGAAATTAGATGTTGATACTTTTGTTTCTGTTTCAGATGATTGGCATCAGAAATCTGAGTTCAGGAATGAATGCTTGGACCTAATGTAAAAGAAACTGGCCTTAAAAGTGAGAACATTTCAGAGAATCTCATAATTAAATTACGTCAGAAATTCAATCATGTATGGAAGTGCTCGGTCAGTTGGGAAAATTGAGCCAAGTAGCCAGAGCCCTGGGCGTTCACCAAGGCTGCCACGTTCACCGCGATTGGGCCATCGTCGAACCAACAGCACAGGAGGCAGCTCTGGAGGTAGTACTGGAGGTGGAAGTGGTAAGACACTGTCAATGGAAAATATCCAATCCTTAAATGCTGCCTATGCCACGTCAAGCCCTATGTACCTAAGTGAACATGAAAACGTGGGTGCAGACACACCTAAAAGCACCATGACCCTTGGCCGCTCTGGGGGTCGCTTGCCTTATGGTGTTAGGATGACCGCAATGGGCAGCAGCCCCAACATTGCCAGTAGCGGGGTTGCCAGCGATACTATTGCATTCGGAGAACATCATCTTCCTCCTGTGAGTATGGCTTCTACAGTGCCTCATTCACTACGCCAAGCTAGGGACAACACAATCATGGACCTGCAGACCCAACTAAAGGAAGTGCTCCGGGAAAATGATATATTGCGAAAGGATGTAGAAGTGAAAGAAAGCAAACTTAGCTCCTCCATGAACAGCATCAAGACATTCTGGAGTCCTGAGCTGAAGAAAGAAAGGGCTCTGAGGAAAGACGAAGCATCCAAAATCACGATTTGGAAAGAACAGTATCGGGTGGTTCAGGAAGAAAATCAGGTTAGTGAACTTAAGCAGAAAAGAAGGGTGTGTGGGGAAATGCAGCGGTGATAGTAGATAGGTTTTGAATAATTCATTGCTGTGAAATTCCATCACGAATTCCATCATCTTACCCAATTTGAGTGGTTTTAAAAAGCACCGTATCACATGAAAAGATTCTGACTTGGCTCTTTCTGTATTACCCGGGTAAATAAATAAAGTAGGGGCAACTTCTTTGTTTCCCCCATTTTCAAAGCACCAAGTACGGGTAGTCCTCAACTTACGGTCACAATTGAGCCCCAGATTTCTGTTGCTAACTAAGACAGTCGCTAAGTCAGTTTTGCCCCATTGTATGGCTTTTCTTGCCACAGTTGTTAAGTGAATCCGTACCGTTAGTAACACAATCTTTAATTAAATCTGGCTTCCCCACTGACTTTGCTTGTCAGAAGGGCGCAAAAGGTGACCTGGACCATGGCAACCATCATAAATATGAGCCAGTTGCCAAGCGTCTGAATTTTGATCACGTGACCCTGGGGATGCTGCAGTGGTTGTAAGTGTAAACAAGGGTGATAAATCACTTTTTTAGTGCTGTTGTAACTTCAGATAGTCACTAAACGAATGGTGGTAAGTCAAGGACTACCTGCGGTATAAATATATTCTCTGATTTCTTCAGGTCAGAATTCATTGCGTAATACAGAAACACTGTAATTCATAATATCGTTAAGTAATTATTAACTTCAAAGTACAATTAATCAACAGCACCTAATTTGACAACTGACAGTTAACCCTTAGTCTTGGTATTTTCAAAACTTTTTTAATTGGGTTGCCTTTTTTGCTCCAAAGCTTCAGATAGATATAATCATAGAACTAATATTCATAGATCAATTTTTACCTCAGCAGCAATAGAATGCACTGCAAATTAGATAGGAAACTGCAAGAATGGCAAAAACAAATGCAGATGGTCCTCATTTAATGATCACTTGTTCAGTGGCCATTCAAACTTAAAATGGTACTGTACAAGCTGCAGTTAAGACTGGTATGCCAAGCGGATTTGAAGTTCTGATGTTTCTCCCCCCCACCACCTCGCTGCCCATGGTCAGGTGATTTCACTTTGGGCACTTGACAGTTGAGTTGTATTTATGGCTGTTTGCAGCATCCCATGGTCACATGACTGCGCTTTATGACAGCTTTGCCCAAAACTGGCATTTGCTTCAGGTTTTCAGCAAAACCGCTCCCATAGGGAGCTATTGGTTCGCTTTCATGACCATAACATTTCCTAAACAACCATGGATTCACTTTATGACTGCTGTAATTTTCTTAATGACTCTTGCAAAAAAGGTCTAAAATCGGGTTGGTCACATGACCAACCTGTTTTACAAACAGGGCTTTTTTTCTCATAGAACACCCCGAACGGAGTTCCGGCACCTTTTTTGGATGGAACCTTGTAGAGTAGGCAAGGCGGGTTGTATGATGTGTGTAAGTTCCGGCACTTTTTTTTTTTTTTTTTAAGAAAAAAAGCACTGTTTACAAGTATCATGAATTATAGGCCATGATGGACAGGCTCCATTATGGTCAGAACCCAGGGTCTATATGTATCCTACAGGAGATTTTAAATCACCTCCAAATGAGATTGAGAGAGGATCAAGAACACCTGGCAACAGTTGAGAAAAAAGAGACCAATGGGATGCTGAGTTTCATATGGAGAGGGTTTAAAGAGTGTATTTATGGCTTTTAGAATTTTTGTGGAGGGTTTTCCTTCTGAAGAAAGTGAAATGAAGAAGGGCAAGGCTTTCAATTGTTGTTTTTTTGGCTGCAGCCCCCATTTTACAAGATAGTCTTAATCTAGAGATTAGGCTGGAGTCCTCATTGCTCTCTTCAGGAAACTATTTAAAATAGCTGTTCTAGAAGGAATCGGGAATGAATGTCACAACTATACTTACTACATTAAGATAGCTACTTGTTTATGAAATGAAAGCAATTGGATGTTAGGTTTTTGTTATGTTTTTATGATATAAGCTGTCAGGAGTCTTTTTTTAATTCTGGCAATTTATATACTGGATGGATGGATGGATTGTCCTCGTATCTAAAAGAATAAAATATTTCTTTTTAGTTTAAAAATGCATGAAAACCTATGGCTTTTTGGTCAGCCAAATAATATTTAACAGAAGAGGATGCAGTGACTTTTCTACATAATTCTGCACACCCTTTCTAATTGTTGATTTAAATTCCACTATAATTACCACTATAATGATAGGCTTGTCGAACAATGGCCAAAAAAGGAAAGGTATTATTTAAAAGCATGGTGAAATATATAATGAGATGTGAAAGCTTGATGTCCTAATTTGCCAGTTCATGTCTAATTGAATTGTTTTACACCCTCTATACCACTTGCAACTAGTGACTTCTGCCCTTTATACAGAAGACCTGGATACTGAAATTTACTTCAAAGAAATATCCCCACATAGACTTTCAGTTATGGTTTATTTGGATATTTTTAGCTGAGCTCAAGCCACATTCATTGATGAATGTAGTAGTGTAAAGCAATCTTGAATAACTCACTTCCTCAAAATGAACTGAACACAGTTTTCATTGTTTCTAATCAGTGTTGTCAGTGAACATGTACTGTAGACTGAATTACTGAAATTGTAATTCAACTTGCCTGGTTTGGAAACCCTAGTATAAAAAAATAAGGTTTAAAGATGCTAGAAACATTAGATGAGTTAGATATTTTCTGCTGAAGAAACTGAGTTGGATAACTTATAACTTCAATTTCAGCTTCTTATACAAAGAGCATACTTAGTATGTTCAGAAAACAGAATTATAGGTAGTCCTGGACTTACGACCACAATTGACCCCAAAATTTCTGTTGCTAAGTGAGACAGTTTTTAAGTGAATTTTGCCCCATTTTACAATCTTTCATGTCACGGTTAAGTGAATCACTGAAGTTGTAAGTTAGTAATATGGTTATTAAGTGAATCTGGCTTTCCCATTTACTTTGCTTGTTAGAAGATCGCAAAAGGTAATCACATGGCCCAGGGACATTGCAAGTGTCATAAATATGAACCGGTTGCTAAGCATCTGAATTTTGATCATCTGACCATGGGGTTTCTGCAACGGTCATAAATGTGAAAAACAATCATAAGTCACATTTTTCAGTGCCAATTTAACTTCAAAAGGTCACTAAATGAACTGTTGTAAGTTGAGTACTACCTGTACTGTAATACTCATGTTTCCCCCGATTTAAGGCTGGGAAATGCGTCTGCAACACATGGCCCAATCCGGGCTCCGGAAGCCTTTTCCAGGCCCGATCTGGCTCCAAGGAGACTGCGGAAGCATTCGCCAGACTCAAATCCGGGCGGCAGCGGCCTGGAAAAGGCCTCCGGAGCCTGGATTGGGCTGCGGGGAGGATTGTAGAAGCGTTCCCCGGCCTCAAATTCAGGCGGCAGCAGCCTGGAAAAGGCCTCCGGAGCCCGGGTTGGGCCGTGGGGGGTCACGGAAGCATTCCCCGGTCTCAAATCCAGGCTGCAGCAGCCTGGAAAAGGCCTCTGGAGCCCGGATTGGGCTGCGGGGACGATTGCAGAAGCGTTCCCCGGCCTCAAATCCGGGCACCAGCAGCCTGGAAAAGGTCTCTGGAGGCATGGGGAAGTGTCCCCCAGCTTCAATTCTGTTCTCTGTTGCAGAGAACAGAGGCCTAAAGTACCATAAGATCACGAAAGATCAGTAGCATGAGATCTCGCCCCACTGATCTCACGTGATCTTGCATTACTTTAGGCCTCCATTCTCTGCGAACGCACCGAAGGCCTGGAGCAGCCAAGAAAATGAAGGATCTTGATCTTCACAGTGTGAGTATTGAAGGCCTGATACATAGAAAGACCCGGGGTGGAGGTGGGGAGGGAGAGAATATCCAGGCTGAATGTTGCAGAGCAACTGTGGTCGCTTGTAAGGGTGAATGACTGCCGGATGCTGTTGCAATATTCGTAACTTCAGGACTTGCTCGTAAGCACTAGGGAGCGCTCATCACGTAACTTTGAACGAGCATTAAATGAACGCTCGTAACTTGGGGATTACCTGTACTAATTTTTCATCCTATTTTAAAGTTACAAATACAAAAACTCTTCATAGCCTAAATTTTAGCAATCTAGAAATTGTTTCTATTCCATCCTAATTCAGCAAAAAGTCTGTTAGGAGTTAATAATCAAACAATAGTCAAATAGTTTAGCCCTGATCAAATAGTCCAACTTTATATTCCTTATTTTTGTTGTGCTCAGTCTTGAACTTTAAATAATTTCTATAGTATTACAGGATTTGATCTTTTATCAATCTTTGATATTTAAAAGGAGCCTTCAAAGCTTTCATCAGCCTACTTTTTAAATCCCATCGAAAGGCATCATCTTGGGTTTTCTTGTCATAGCTGTTCCAGGTCCAGATCCTTTTCTTGATTTTCTATCATTTTTATGTCAGGTAAAAGTTTTGTAAAGTTTGTTCATCATCTTTTAAAAGTATATCCACTGTATTGTTTCTGAGATATTAGTTATTAATATTTCAGTTCATGTTTCAAAAAACTGTTTAAGATAAGAAAAAGTTAAAGTCAAACTTAGCCATATTAAATCTTTTCTACCTGGTTCTTTACTTCCCTCTAGTGTCCATTCTCAACATTTATCCTAATATAGGTTTACTTTCATTTCAGTCATTTCCTGTGAATATATTATTTAATTATATCTATTTTTCAAATCTTACAGCAAAAATAACCAATATTCCAAATATCTCTGGTCTCCCAATCCATTTAAAACTTTCTTAACTCAAAATCATCTTTTTTTTTTTGCTTTTTGCCAAGTGTATATTATTTTAAATTCTTAAGTCTCTGTTTATTTATTTTTTAATCTAAAGAAGGTGAAATTCACCAAGTATCAAATTAAGCTGATCATTTTGAAGATCTCTAATATCCACAGGGTGATGAAATTGAACATTTCTGAATGTGATTAGAAAATAAGTTTGGCTGGCTCAGTGTAATAATAATGATG